AACATAAGGTTCCACCACTCTACCACCGTAGTAAACACGAACAAGTCTATCCATCTACACCAAAAAATCAAATGTAACTTTGCAACAAAAATTAAATCTTCATTCCTAAACGTAGTCCAAACCGACATATTATAACCAATGCACAACTTAAATTGTCCCAAAGCTACTACTCCAAAAAAATATTTAATCCACCTACAACTATCAATAAGTTTACTAGTGCATTACACATCGAAATATTACAAATACTCCGTCATACAACCCAAACCTCCGTCATGCCTCAACCATAATTTTTCATCCATCCATCCAACCAAACCATCCAAAAATTAACATTACCACATATATGGTTAAAAAAATCATGACACCAATGAGTACATTGCAAACATGTAGCACTACAACAAGCCAATCCTAAGAACAAATGCTAAAAATCATAAATTTGGGTAAAAAAGGGGTTCTAGGGTTACCCACCGATCTACAAATTCAACCAATAAAAACGAAAAAAAAAGAGGGGGGAATGAAGGAGTCTACCTTTCTCTTCGATTTCCACAAAAAATCCCGCGAAAAACGGCTTTAAATTGAGTGGATTTGAGGTGGAGAGGTGAGGGGGAGAGAGAGGGGAAGAACTCCTGCGCTGCTGCTCGGGCTGGGACTTGGCGAAAATGGGAGTGGGGAGGAGAAAGGTGGTGGGGCCCACGGGGTTTAAGGGTCGGCCCACAGAGGAGGGGCGCGCCAGCCGTGCTGGCGCCGTGGTATGAGGGGCGGCGCCAGTGTGGCTGGCGCCCCCATTCTGCCCAGTCAGCACCTCCACGACAGCCCTAGTGCCACGGTGGCACGGGCACGGCGCCAGTGTGGCTGGCGCCGCCATGTTGGGGTACGGCGCCAGCCACTCTGGCACCCCAAAAAGGACCATTTCCGGTTTAAGTTTTCCCAGGAGTCTATTTGTAAAATAAGTTTTCAAAAAGGACCAAATTGTAAAAATTTTAGATTCCAACACAGCAATGTAAAAGTCCAAGCATTGGCTTTTATTCTAGATGAGAAAACGAATGGCGTGTTAAGAGATGTTTTGTCTTGATAACAACTCCTGTTAATGTTGTCGACATATTTAGTCAATCGATGGCTTAGTTTCCTATTCGTAGAGGTCGCAGTTGTAATTGGCGCTTTCATGACTAGAAACAGGCCGGCGCCGCGACGAAGGTTCTAATTTGATTTCTGACCCTTTTTTTTCTGATCGAAACGCCGTTGATCGATCACTTTGCTTTATCTGACCACGCGCACGACCTGCACGGCAAAGCTCCTGCCTATAGCTGTTTATTATTCCCTGTGTGTCGAGTTCCAGTCCAAACACGCGAGCGAGAAAATTCCCTTGCTCTGACTCGTGGCAAGGAATTCACGAGTGTCGATGATCATTTCGTTGTCACGGCGTACGTTAATCTGGAAGAGAATACCGTAACTCTGTAAGAGACGAGAGTACATGCTACGGGAGTGTTTGAGAGCAGAGGAAAAGGTGAGATCGAGAAAGATATGTAAAACGAGCTAATCTATTAGCATATGAATAATAGAGTATTAGTGTATAATTAATAGAGTAGTTTGAAAAGCGTGCACGTGAAAAACGACTTACTACCGAACGCAGCCCCGGCAGGTACTCCAAAGTATCAGTAGCATGTATACATCGCCTGACCGACCACCGCCGTGTAATGACTACTGTAATGAATTGAGGCACAGTTAGCAAAAGAGCTCAATATATACATCGGGTATGGACGGAGACGTGGTACGTACTGTATACAAGTTATAAGACTGCTTGTGCGCAAAACGCCATGGCTGGCAGTTAAGGCCGTGCAGCTCCCGCGGAGATGGCCAGCAAAAACGCGCGTTGACACGCAGCAGCAGCAGAAGCAGGAGGAGGTACGTACGCTGATGGGGGGTGGTGAATGATGGTCCCGATCGATCGAGGCGAGGCGGACATGCGTAAATCCGCCCCGATTCCCCGTGATCGTATCGCGCGGCGGATACGTAGTACGGTGCAGTGCAGGTGGCGGCGAAAGCGACCCGAATTCAGCGTGGCGGATGCCGGATGGGACATCGCGCGCAGTGCATATACGGCTGAATTGTTTCGCGTTGACATGCAGATGCAGGTGATCGATGCGGTGCGACTTCGTCGTCGAGATCGATCGGTGTGGGCTTGGGCTTGTCGGTTCGATCGCTTTGCATCATGCTGTACCCCAACCAGGGTTCCCTTTTACCATTTTCGGTGCGACACCGTGGTAACCCGAAAACTGCATGATAACCACGAGACATAACTGATTTTAAAAACTAAAAAGATCACAATACATGATAACCACGATAATCATATGATAACCACGTGGTTTTGTAAACCTGACACCAACTGGAAGCTTAAGTAACTAATTTGGATCGCACCCCGATTCCGGCCGAGTCCGATTGATATGGTCCAGAGAGAGACGCCGCCGTGCGAGCGTGACCACCACCACTGCATGCGTCGCATGATTGGTGCGTGGTTCCGTCGAAAATGTCAGCAGAGGAATGCTCGCCGAGATCCAACTTCTCACAAGCAGAGCAACCCTCCTCCATGCTGTGTTGACCGTCGAGTCGATATATAGTACACACAAGAAAATGTTCGGATCCCTTGTGGTTTCGATCGTTTTCACCACTTGCTTTCTGTGAGACTGTGACGGCGGCAATCCTGTTCTTTTGAGATCTTTTACATTGCTCCAACTAAATTGCCTCCATGAGGTAAGAGCCCATAATAAATCCTAACTGTTCAATACTAGTTATATGTTAATTGACGTTTTGGACAAGATTAAGATTAAACTTTTACAACTTTGACCATCAATAACTTTAAAAATATTTAGTTTAAAGAAACTAGAAAAAACATATATAGATTTGTCTTTCAAAACACTATAATAAAAGTAAACATGTATTTATTTATTGTATATATTATAATAGAAAATTAATTAAGGTTAAAGTTATATCTTGTAGAGCGTGTCATTGTCCAAAGCGTCAATTAAAATGAAACCGAAGGGAGTAAACATCTTTTTTATCTAATAAAATATACTGTCTCCTTATTAATAAATCGGAGCTACTCCAACAATCATTGTCCTTCCTAATTAATCACCCATGACCCATTCATCCGTAACCTAGCTACCAAAAATCAAGGAAGAACCAAACATTCTGAGTTTCCATATTCCAAATATCTAAGTGAAAACAGAGAAAAACTATATTGTTAGAACTAAATATAAATGTAAAAATAAGTTTTCTAAATTGGCAGTGTATTCTAAAGCCTCAAACTGAGGCTATGTGAAGCATAACCTGTATCTATTTTAAAGTTTTTGAACCTGTTTTTTAAAAAAACAACTGAAACTTTGTTTTTCAAATTATAATTTGGATACTCAAATTTCAATTTGAAATCGGAACATGTCTTTTATATTTAATATTATTTCGAATTTTATATTCAGTTAAATAAATATTAAGATATTCCTTATTAGGCTGTAATAATTATCTTTAATAAAATTTGCATGGCAATAAATTATGTCTCCTATGAGGTATAAGACCAATATTAGCCATGGGATCATGGAACAATGGACGATGCATAGTAAATTGGTGTAGGATAAAAAAGTCCGTTTGTTTTTTGTTGCACTCATGCGGTTGCTTATAAGCTTATTAACATCATATAATCCCAGGTGCTTTCGAGAAGAAAAAAACATCATATAAATCCCAGGTGAGGTAAGGTTACGTGTGTGGTGGTTTGTAATGTAGCGTTTTCACCTTGCGAGAGGTTGCAGTGTGATGCAACACAAATATATATTTTTAAAACATTTTCTGGCAAGTGTGCTGCTCAGGAAATCTTCTCTTTTCTCCATCCCGTGCTGCCGTGCAACGTATGTCAACGGACGGTGTCAAGACAAAGATTAATTAGATTATGACATGCCCATACCCGATACCAAGAGGCACTCGCTTGACCTCTTTAATCGACTTGTCTTTTCTCACTTGTCCTATACTGCAATTTACGCAAGATGGAAGGTCGTTGTAACGTCCATTGTACTTGATTTTCAGTGCTGTTTGCAGAAAGCCGGGTCGATAAAATGGCTGATTTCTCTCTTAAGGATAAAAAGAAGCTAGTAAATACTATATAATGGAAAGGAATCGATGTTAATTTTGTTACAGTATAAGAGGACGGTAAGCAAATGTTCTGAAGAGTCGAACGCGAGACTGCCATTTGCACCGTGCGCGGTCTCTTGATCTCTCTTTTTCATGTCGTTAATTTCGTCAATAGATTATGACACCCGTGCCATTTCAGCGTTGACAGCTGCCGACATGTGCCATTTGGTTGTACCAGTTTAATTTCGCAGCTGGTTGGCAGCTGTAAATTTTGCTGTCACCATAAAGTCCAACCGAATAACTGATCGAAACTACAATATGGAGACATCTCACATCCTCTTGTAGAGGGGTAGAAATGCACGGCCAACTCAGAACATCCGTGCAGCCTCAACGAGAGGCGCCGCTGCTGCACCGGAGAGAATTCAGTAGTGTGTGGTTTTGTTGCATTTAACTACTCCAAAGACTAATCCTCTCTTGCATGCAATTAGTACAATTAAGTCAATAGTGATTCAGGCAACAGCTAGCTAGCAGATATAAAGACGGTTCTCTGTTCTTGGCTGTTTTCTTCCAACCGTCTCATCCCGCTGTTATGCTAATCCAGGAATAGACCGAAATTAATTAAGGCAGTAATCACCCAGATGTGAAAAAGAAACCAACTGTTCCAACTTCCAAGTGGTCTGTTTTGGATCGAACAGTGATTGGATCATGAGCTATGACCCTTTGAAAACTTAATCATTAAAAATAATTAAAAAAGAAAAAAAACACAAGTGTCAAGGAATTCAGATTTGGCGCCTCTTTTCATCGCCATCTTTGACCGCGCAAACGCCGTCGTTCGCGAACTCCCCCCTCTTAAAGCCCCCAACCCCCTCGTCTCGCCACTCGCCACGACGCGACGCGACGCGACACGGGAGCAAGCAGCGCGCGCGCGCTACTCCGAACCGAAGGCCCACGCGGCGCCATGCTGCTGGGTGCCATGAGCGGCGGCGGCGTCGTCGTCGCCGTCGCCGTCGCCTACGCCGCCCTGGCCGTGGTGGCGCTGCGGATGGCGCTGTCGTACAAGTCGGCGCTGTACGCGGTGCGGCGGCTGTGGCGGTGGGCCGACGAGTGGGCGCAGGCGTACCAGTACCACGAGGTGCCACGCTTCGCGTGCGACGGCGGCGGCGCCGAGAACCCGCTGTTCCGCAAGGCGGCGCAGTACGTGGCGGTGCTGCCGTCGCTCGAGGACGCCGACGCCGCCTCCGTGCTGTCGTCCGCGTCGAGGACCAACGGCGGCTTCTCCCTGCAGCTTGGGCCAGGCCACACCGCGCGCGACGCCTTCCTCGGCGCGCGCCTCGCGTGGACAAACCGGGGCGACGTGCTGGTTCTGCGCGTGCGCCGCCATGACCGGACGCGCGTGCTGCGGCCCTACCTGCAGCACGTCGAGTCCGTTGCCGATGAGATGGAGCTCCGGCGACGCGAGCTGCGGCTGTTCGCCAACACCGGCGTGGACGGGAGCACCGGGACGCCGAGGTGGGCGTCGGCGCCGTTCACCCACCCGGCGACGCTTGACACGGTGGCCATGGACCCCGACCTCAAGGCTCGCGTCCGCGCCGACCTCGAGAACTTCCTCAAGGGCCGCGCCTACTACCACCGCCTCGGGCGGGTGTGGCGCCGGAGCTACCTCCTCTACGGCCCGCTGGGCACCGGCAAGTCGACCTTCGCGGCGGCCATGGCTCGGTTCTTGGGCTACGACATCTACGACGTCGATCTCTCCCGCGCCGGCAGCGACGACCTCCGCGCGCTGCTCCTGCACACCACCCCGCGGTCCCTCATCCTCGTGGAGGACCTCGACCGGTTCCTCCAGGGCGGCGGGGCCGGGGACGCGGAGGCGAGGGCGGCGAGGGTGCTGAGCTTCATGGACGGCGTCGCGTCGTGCTGTGGCGAGGAGCGGGTGATGGTGTTCACGATGCGCGGCGGCAAGGAGGGCGTGGACGCGGCGGTGGTGCGGCCGGGGAGGCTGGACGTGCACATCCACTTCACGCTCTGCGACTTCGAGGCGTTCAAGGCGCTGGCCAGCAACTACCTCGGCCTCAAGGACCACAAGCTGTACCCGCAGGTGGAGGAGAGCTTCCATGGCGGCGCGCGCCTCAGCCCCGCCGAGCTCGGCGAGATCATGCTCGCCAACCGCTCGTCGCCGAGCCGCGCGCTGCGCAACGTCATCACGAAGCTCCAGCACGTGTCCGGGGCGGCGGCGGCGCCGCGGCCGCCGCACAGGCGGAACACGAGCTGGTCCGGCGCGGGCGGGCCATGGGAGGAGCAGGCCGCGCGCGCCAGCGCGGACGCGGCGGACGGCGGCGAGGAGGCGATCACGGCGACGGCGGCGTGCGGGGTGTTCGCGAAGGACGCGCCGATGAGGGAGTTCAAGAAGCTGTACGGGCTGATCAAGATCAGGAGCCGGAAGGAGGGCTCCAGCGGGTTCATGCCCTTGCACGGCGGCGAAGCGCCGTCGCCGGCAAACGGGCGGGGCAGCGAGCACGACAAGGAGCGGTGATTAATTAGGCGATGGTAGTAGACCCCGTCAAACAAGAAAAATATTTTTGATTTTTTGTCCGTGCTTTTTTACTTCGTGTTAGGCTAGTAGGAGTACTACGTAGTTGTAGTTAGTTCACTTTTTAATTGTGGATGGAAGAAATCAAACACGAAATGGAGGATGATAATGGGATTGGGTGATGTACAATTGTACATGAGGATTGTTTGGTTTTAACAGGGTATAAAACAAAAGAGATGGGCAAGTTGAAATTCTTGAAAATTGCATGTGAAATATGTCTAGTTGGAATGCAAACTCCCAACTCCCAAAGTGCTCGCAATCGCGGCACCCGCGCGGCTCCGGCGTAGTCAGCTCTGTCCTGGCGCGCGGGAGACAGCGACTCGTCGTCGGCGTCCAGCCAGGGCGAGCGGCAGCAGCTATCATGGAGTGCGTGCCATTTGAAATTAGGCCCTCTTTATTTCCCAAAACAAAAATTTTCATGCTGTCATATCGAATATTTGGACACATATATGTAGTATTAAATATAGACGAAAAAAAATAATTACACAGATTATATGTAAATTGTGAGATGAATCTTTTAAACCTAATTACGTCATGATTTGATAATGTGGGACTATAGTAAACATTTGCTAATGACAGATTAATTAGGTTTAATAAATTCATTTTCCTGGCGGAATCTGTAATTTGCTTTGTTTTAATGCTTCAAATGTATATCCATATATCCGATGTGATAATTAAAACCAAAAATTTTCCTCAACCAAAAAATAGTGCGTCTCCAGCCAAGCCAACCAAGCCAGCGCCCTGCTGCTATAGCTTACAAGGTGATAGCTGCGGCTGCGGGCAACGCTATGTCGCTCGCCAACCAGGTCCAGGTCGGGGGATGATGGGTGGGCGTCCCACTACTGCACCTGCTAAACACTATTGTGCCAATCTTGGCCAGCTTGTTGCTTGTTAGGCACAGGCGCCGCCGTTTATATGATGAGACCTTTTATAGTGTTTGCATTTCTAAAATGGCATAGATCTAATGGCTCATAATAAAAGATACCTTATGAAAGGTATCAGAGATAGAAAGGTACTAAGGATTAAAAGGTAATTGATAATAGGGCAATTATGTTTAACAACGTATGGACGTACCGAAAGGTACGGTGTAAGTGGATTTGAAGGTACCACAAGGTACCGCGCAAGTAGTTTTTAAAGGCAACGTAAAATATGATTTATGTGGTGGGGACAAAAATTACATTCTCTTCTATTCGGTTTCCAATCTTCGGCGTTCTGTTTGCGTCGGTTTCCAAACTTTGGTCCGATTTACGTGGTACATATCATATTCGCATGATCTTGATAATTATTTCCAATTAGTCATTAATTTACATAGCAATTTGGTGATCCATCGTTTGATGAATGTAATCAAAGATCAAAAGGACAACAAAATGAGAAGATTTACGCACCTAACAAGAACAAAACAAGTTCAATGAGAAAGATTTGCGAAAAAAACTAAACCAATCGTCTGACAGATCGAGACCGTGCGGCCGCTTCTAGCTCCGGCGAACATAGGCAGTCCTGGACCACTTCCTCCGGGTCCTCTTCTTCCGCCGCCCCTCCCTCCAACCACCGCCTCCGGCCACACGTCCACCGCCGGCCCTCAATTCTCCACCTTTCAACTTATCAAAGAACACGTAAACCTTACATACGAACAGAACGTATCTAAGAACGATGCAACGCAACAGGCTACGAGCTAATTCCTTCGATACCTTCTCATACCTTTTCATATGTGTAAAAGACACATTTGTCATTCTAATATCATCATATTTACATTAATGCCACCTATTACAATATTTTCTTTCCATACCTTGCCCCTCGCAGATCAACGGCTCACGTCGCCCCACCTCCTTGTACCTCGCAAACATCGTAAAATCCCTCTTATATGATAGGGAAAGAAATTCACTTCCTATTGGCGGCGATTGAATTGTTTCTTAGGAGTACTAAATTCTTGAGAAATTTCTACTTACATTCAAAACGGCATTACTCTCTCTCTCTCTCTCTCTCTCTGAATAGGAGTATTAGGAGTAGGACAGTAGGAGTACTGATGAATGCGAATCATGCCTGGCTCGATGCTGGACTGATGATGATGAGTTTAGGTGTCGGGTTGAAAGACAATGATAGCCGCTAATTGCCGCTGGCCTGTACAATTCCCTGTTTTGATTACGAGATCTCTTTGTATTATTGTGCGGCTGACAGGAAGATCGATGCACGAGTGTATGGTCCTTCTGCCTTTGGGTTCTTGGCTACCATTTGTTTCGCTTCATTCTTCCTACGGAGATCACGCGTGTCAGCACAGCTGTTCCAGCTCGCGCTCGGGAGGTTTTCGTCTGGTGATCTGGAAAGCTCACTGCCTAATTGATGTACTCGCAGTTTTCCTTTTTCTTTTTCTAATGCATTTTAAGGGACATATCGCGTATGGTCCTTCGTAATGGATCAAATGCTAATGCTAGAAGTAGCAGGAGTACTGGAGTAGTAAATCACAGCAACATGAGGTATGCTACTACAGTAAAAAAACATTAAGAGAGTGCTCCAATATAATGATTTCTTAAAATAAATTTATTTTTGAATAAATGTGAGTTAAAACTGAACTTCAACAAGCGAACTCCAATGTTGGGCTTTGGGGAACCTTACCATGATGTGGAAACACTGAAACAGAGGTCCTGTCAGTGCAAACTGGACAATCGCAAGAGGCTTTTTCCCCGGTTATACCGGAGGAGCCACCCGGTGGCCATATGGATTTCCTGGCAGTAGTTACCATGCAGTCCTAGTAGCTACGGAGTACTGCATTTGATCTCAATCCGGATTTCCTTCGGACAAACCTGAAAAGCCGTGAGTGCAAGATTGCTTGTCAGGCACATACTGACCTGTCCTTCTCCGTTTTTTATCCTGAATTACACAGCATAGGCCCTAGGGTCAGACCACTCCAGGCCTACCTAGTTTTATCCCACCGTTACATTCTAAAGTGCAGATATGATTTTCCATGCACAATTTTAACCGTCTGTTTTATTTAAAATATTTTTTAAAAAATAAAATATAGGTTACGTATAAAACACTATTTATATTTTATCATCTCATAATAATAAAAATACTAATTATAAAAAAATTTAAATAAGACGAATAATTAAAGTTGGACACGTAAACTTATGGTTGTACTTAAAATGGGATAAAGGGAGTACTCCACTCCTAAGACTACGAATCTGGACAAACTTCTGTCCAAATTTATAGTCTTATGTCACATCTCTTAAAATCCCTTATATTATGGGACAGAGAGAGTATTACGAGTAGGTTTTCACTTGTTTGCATGTACTCCTGGGCACTTGGCCAGGAAGGCAGGAACTCAGGATGCAATGCAGTCACGGACATGATGAGCTGATGAATCTAATGCCTTGCTGCTGGGCTGGACAGTGTTAGGTGTTGACGGTGAGGCTTGACCGCTTCCCCCATTTATAGTTGGTTCACACGGCCATCCAGCTTTCATAAGGCATCGCATTCATACAGGTCAGCTGGGGGCGTATTTAGTTCCAAAATAATTTTTTAAACTTCTAACTTTTCTATCACATCAAAATTTTCCTACACATATAAACTTCTAACTTTTCCATCACATCGTTCTAATTTCAATCAAACTTCCAGTTTTAATGTGAACTAAACACAGCCTGGGTGCAAATGGCACTCCAGCAAACCACAATGGTGAACGCTCGGCAGGTATATGCCATGACAATACCAGATGATAAAACGGCAAAATCTTTTGAAGAAAGGGCAAATTTAGCTATAATACTGACACTGTACTAATTAACAACATATAAACAATATATTCTGGTGGTCTATAAATACAATAATCCAGTCTCGCAGCTCATTGGTTCTATACTATATTGGCCAAGATTGGCATCCATGGCCATCTCAATTCTTAATGATAAGTGCGGCCCGAAATACTATATGGATACCGCAGTCTCTCATAACCACCTTACACTAGTCCCCCGAATAAATAAATATAATCCCAAGTAATTAAGTAGATCGAACAAATATACACAAACATACATAAACCCAAGCTGGCCATCATCGAGCAGCCTTTGTTGCTATGCATCTCAAAGAGCTCTCATCTCCTCAACAGTTCGATGCAGATTCCCAAGTCGAATCCATGGCACCTCTCAGTTTTCCTCCCTTCCTAAAAGCGCACCTCAAACACCTTGTTGGAATCCGATTAGCCAAGCCTCCAGGCATGAGCCAGTGCAGGCAAAACTTTTAGTCGCCTGAATACTGCTTGTACTAATAAAAAGAATCTGGCTCAACCTTAACATGTCAAGCATTGTCCACCTCCCTAGTGTCGATTATTTCTTCGTGACAGTACAGTATTTTTAGCTCTTCTTGTAGCTGAAAGTGATGATAGAGATCCATCATATATAATGATTATCAAATGTACATGGTGTCCATGTTAGGATTAAAATTGACTAACTTCATGGGTGCCATGTTTAATGTTCACTATTGTCCTATATATTTATAAAATAGGTTTTGCCCCCTCCCCCACAATTTGGCATTTTTAGTAAAGTACCATATGGTCTAAATAGAATGATCCTTATTGTAGGTGACCTCAGGTGTCAATACAGTGAAGAAAACTAAACAGACATGACTTACTGACCTGGACATGTTGCAGTTTTGTTGTGATCAGTTCATCGGTTAATGAAATCATTCTGCAAGGTAGAAAGGTATGTTACTGCATTGATCATCAGGCAACCATTGGCATGAAAAATAGATGTTTTAATAACACGCGCCATTTTTTCTTTCGCCAGGCCAGCGGAATAAATGCCGATCAATTTTTATTAAGATGGAAGGAGAGCCATGTTACGAACAACAACAGAGTTGTTGAGGCAACTTGCCCTGGTCGGTCATCCTACAGACTAAGGACCTGCACATTTTACAGCTCGCCGCGATTTACACCGGCGGCGCTAAAGCGAGCATCACTATCTAGACTACTCCCACTGCCTTAAACGTGTCATGTTCAAGTCTTGATTTGAGCATAAAACAGAGCATAAACATAATACTATGGCAGCTATATCCAATAGTTTGAGGTTTGCCAGTTTGGTTGAGTTATGAATACAAGGCAATGTTTTGGTAGCTGGTAACATTGAATACCAGGTTGGAAATTCATCCAAAAGATTAAACTGATGGAGAACAATGAACTCTTCACAAATGCTTCAATCCATGCACCCCTCTCTAACGTGGAGGCTCCCTTTGGATTCACACATGTTGAGTTGCATATGACTTATGAGTTGCATGCACCAGCCAGCTTAATATAAAGCTTAAGTTGATGAGGAAAACTAAGAAATTCACTTGTACTTCAATGGTACAAGGTGGTGACCTGAGTCCGTGACGACTGGGAAAGCATGGTTACGGTAGAGGAATGGGCATAAGCACCACGGATGTAAGGATGCAATTACCACCCCTAAATATCAGTTGCAAGTAACAAACCTACCTAGATTGCAATTCAAATATTTTGACAAGTAATGACCGTTCTCCCTCGGAAATAGACGTTTCAACCTGCCAAATGATTGTGAGCAAACTTTGAGTTAATGAACATTTGGTAGCAGTATTGAGAATTCTTTGTACAGACTATGTACAGACTAATAGAAAAGAATGATATGTGGGAAAAATTTTGACACCAAGCTAATAAGCTTCTTACCTCTGTATCACCATCCATATTACCAAGTCTATACTGTGTTGCTGGAGAAAACAAACGATTTAATCGTAAATAAAGGCGAAAAAAACTTTCAGCAAATACAGAGGAAAGTATTTACCGTCAGCTTTCTCATTCTGTTGCAAGCTACTTAGGAGGTTTGTGATGAGATCCTAAGTGAAGGAAATGGAGAATGTTTAGTTTGCCAAAAACTCAAAATACTGCAATTAATTATACTGCCCATACTTAGAGGTCACTAGATTAAGCTACTCCCATACTTGCTGAAATGTGGTCTGCTGTACAAGATTCCGTAGATGGGGAATCAGAACGGACGCAGATACTGAACCATTGCAGAGTTCCTTCCGCTGATGACTATTCGACTGCAGCATCGATGGGGGAAAAATGTTATCTATTGTGAACAATCTTAAAGCATGGAGAAGGCACAAGGGCAGTGGAAACTGTATAAGAACAAGAAGGCCATTGCAATTGCATGAGCTGCACTAGCCAGAGATATATAGTTCTGTAGCAAGTGTCACTGAAAAGAAAATACTAAAATGATATGTTAAAAGGGTTGAACCTTGGTTGCCTTTCTAAATCATCTAGTGGCTCAAAAATCGGAGATAAGTGTCTTAAATGATATGAAGAATATACTACTAGTATTTTCAGAAAACATTAAGATCCAGACAATGACATGACAATAGAAACAGAAGTACAGAACAATGCCCTTAATCAAACCCTAGTATTCAAAACTTGTAAGGTTTTATTCAGATGCAGGAAACATTTCACTAAGAAATTCCCAACCAGCATTCTCTCCAAGAAAAAAAAAACAGTTTTTGTCTGAATATCAAATCACAGTAAGTAATTAGTTTCTACAAGTTGGTACATTATTGACATTGAAAAGCTTACCATTGGCTTAGCATCCACCGGCCAATGACCAACGCTGGCTGATTTTCTCAGTGAAGATCCCTGAGCAACTCAAGTCATGACACTTGATGGCTGGATGTGGGTTTTGAAGTAGTGTAGACTGTAGAGTACAACAGAGCTTTCAATAAAATGGATAGGGCACAAATTCTTACCTCCTGTAATTTGCGTGAAATGCCGCTTGTTGGAACTTCCTGAACCTGTCAAGTAAGATTTTAATTAGTATCCCTTGTAGTGATCTTGCTCAGTCTGGAGCACAACCTATTGAAGTGTATGCTCAGAACGAAACCTACCTTTGCAAGATCCACATTCTCAGATGTCACTGAAAAACGTCCTTTTATCTCCACCACACTACGCTTAGACTTATCTCCCAAGGAGCCCACATAGCCTGCAAATAACAGGCAGATAATCATATACTTTCCTTCAGTTCATAACCACAGTGAATTCAAATGATCTAATTTATGTTACAAAAGTCTGTAAACCTTAAATGTGGTCATTTGCTATGTTAATAATATTAACACGTGACTGCTGTTTATCATGTGCATCCAAAAAAGTACTGGCTGCTTCCTACCTCCAGAAGACCGAATAGGAGCAGACAGACTATTTGCAGAAGCACGAGTAGGGAGTGCAAGAGGACCACTGAGATTTGTGGTTCTTTTTGTACAACTCTTTTGTTTATCAGATGCCAACTTAACTGCCGCTTCCCTGCAGCAAGGAATAACAATAACCAAAAGTGCTTTTAAAATGCAAATGCCTTTTTGAGCAATTTGTTTCAGCAAAAAAATTATGAAACCTCCTAACTTCATAACAGTACTCACAGGAAACTCAGGTATGCAAATGCCTTTTTGAGCAATTTGTTTCAGCAAAAAAATTATGAAACCTCCTAACTTCATAACAGTACTCACAGGAAACTCAGGTATACAAATTCAAGAAGAATAACTACTAATTTGTTTCTATAAAATCAATTATTGCATGACCTAAGTCAAACATTTAAGAACTAACGACACTTGAAAGCTCAAATATTAGCCGATTTTAAGGGGGAAAAAAGCATCTTAAACTGTACCGTTTCATTTCTGAGGCATATTCATATGTAATATTTCAAACAGGAAAGTCCAAAAAAAACATGCATTAAATTATTGGTATGCACAACATTGTAGCAGCCAAGTAATATTAAAATTGGAATAGGAAAAAAAAACAGTGAAAGGCTTACCTATCAAAAATGCGACTGCTTTCAGTTATTGATTTATTATGTACACCAGAACACAGAATTGGGCCAGAGCAAGTCCTTTCTTTTTGTTTAACTTCACTACTACTGTTTTGTCCTTCAGAATCATGTTTTGATGTAGAGGGTAACGATTCGTTTTCTGACCCTTGTTTTCTATATCCATCAACTTTCCTTTCACTATCAGCATCACCAGGTTCAGAAACCAATCCTCTGCTTGTCTCATGCATATTCCCCCCTGGACTTACTGCAGTGACACAAGTTTGTTCACTGAAATGTAACAAAAGAGTGGAACATTATGAACACACTACCAGTAACACAGAAAAGCATGCATCAAGGCTCACTGAATCTTTCGCTTGTTTTAATTTATAAGACCAAAATTTCACCCTACACCACATAAAATAAAACTTGAATCCTATATACTTCGATTGGTGATGTTGAGAATCACAAGCTAGGGAACAATATAGAACATCTATATCTTTTAAAGAAAACATTGCCACAAAAAAATATTGCATACTGATTCAACCTGAAGTGCTTTCCACTCAAAATTTTTGGTTGTCCAAAATGATTGCCAGAAAACGGCTCCTGCAAACAGAGCAATCATAAATGACTTGAAACAGAATCATATTTGGTACATAATTTTGTCTTACTTACAAGAAATCAATAAGCTATGACAACATGGTGTGCAAATGTTTCTGCAGCACTCAGAATTAGCGAGAAACAATAACAGGATCAGAACATAAGCATCTTCCAGATTTAAACAGAAGCATTTGTGGCATTACAAATGACCCTGACTTTTCAAATTTGATAAACGGCAAGCTCTTTTCTGTGCTTTGAAGTTAAACATGTGTGATACTTCTTCTATTTGACACACTAGATAAAGTTTTCTCATGATCCCATCTAGCTACAGTTATTACCCTGTCTTACCAGAACGCAAGCCTACGTCTGAAACAAAATCAAGTCGAGAGCAGCTAACCTTATCAGCTTCATTTATTCTATCATTGTCAACATCTTCCTTTATTTCAGGTGGATCATCATCATGAATCTGCAAAAAGGTTGGAAATCTCACTTATAAGACTAAATTACAGTCATTTTACATCTTAGCAATGTAACAGAATGAATCAGAGAGCAATGTAGCATTTCGATATAGAACTAAAGAAACTGGTTGTTTTACCAATGATGCTTGAGCCTTTAAATCCTCAATATCGAAGTTCCATGCGCTTACGCCTCTTTGGTACTCACTCTATTAGATAATTCAGATGATAAGGAAACTATCATGTAAGTGAAATAAAAGTGCAAACATATCTATAATAAACCAAACTATGTTTATCATGAATATTAGTTTGTATGTGGAACAGAAGTGCAAAAATCATTAGGGTATTACGTCCATGGAGCTAACAAGTGAAAGAAAAATAGAAGTTAGCTACTGCCTGTAAGGTGGACTAGCTAAAGTGATCTCTCGTACAAATCATTGCGTTGGCTGAAATGTGTCTTAGACATCATATTCTTAGCATAAATATAGTGACACCATAGCATACAAGTGATAAAAAAATTTAACGTCATTTTAATTTTTAAATTAAAAAAGCATCAAACATAGTCTAATATGCTGGGATCTTAAATCATTCTGTGCTAGTCCTTGTTCAACCAATAACATATCCATGCATGAAAGTAATACCACAGTTCTAACTTCATTTTGCAAGGGCTGGGATTTGTGTTACTGCAAATTGACCCTGGCCCTCTACAAATTTGTTTTTAAGCTGCATCTACTGACCAAAATCATTAAGACTGGTATGGTCAGTGATAATAAATTAAAAACAAAGCAGAAGATTTGCCTGTAAAATGAATATATATAATACCACCATAAAGCCTATTTCAGAAGTTTGTGGGTAAAATAAACTAGCTAGCATATTTTCATGAACTCAAATGAAAGAACAGCACAAAACAAAGTGGAACTTAAAAGAAACATCAAAATCACAAACCATAGAAAGTGCCTCCTGTTCAGAAGAAGGCATTTTCTTCAAAGCTAATTGTGCTGCATCTTTTAGCTGCAAATGCACAGGATAACAGGAATTAATTAAGGCATAATGTTTCCATCATTAAGTAAAAACAAAAGGAAAGTAAACTAGCAAAACCTGGAGCGCTTTTACACGATCCCACAGAGGGGGCAAATCAGTTAAAATACTCTTAACAGTCAGCTCTGGAGGTTTTGCGTTCTTGAAAAATGAGTGCTTTAGTAACTTTTCAGCCGTTGGCCTCTTTGTTTGATCTTTGACCAGGCACATTGCAACCATTTCCTTGAAAGACTGATAACAACTGAAAAGCCTTCATTAGGAGGTAAACATTGAGGCTAAAACAAGCAGATACTGCCATAAAACATAGACTCGCTAGCCAAGAATTAGCTGAAAGGACTAGTACTACCTTTGAGAATCTTTTATCACGGTCATAGTCAAGGCCTGGTGGTGCATTTTGAAGGGTCATGAGAAGAACCTACAGACCACATAAACATCCTCAGATTCTGGCAAAACATAAACATCCTCAGTTCAGCAGAAAGTTTGTATTTGTAGGATCCTAAACCCAAGATTGTTTTCTATGAACAAGAATGTTCTACAGGCATATTGCTAACTGCATGGATAACGCTGTTCATCGGCAGTAACTTTAAAGTCCAAACAAGTAATTTCACGAGAAGAATGTATGTGCATGTAGTATATGGAATTGTATACAAATGACAGAACATGTATTGCAAGTGCAAAGTACATATGTTTTCTAGCCCAACATGACATACAAAAATCACAAAAACATCATCCCTGGCAGCAAACACTAACCATGTGAAAATTTGAATATAAGACACATAGATATTTGGCTGACCATGCACTTGTTAATTAGACTGTCACTCTTTTTCTTTTAATAAAAAGGTTTCAATTTGCAAAAGATAAAATAATTCATTGCCTTCATGGGAGGATACTTCGAGAAGGGAGCATGGCCATGTGCTAGCTCCAGTGCAGTTATTCCAAAAGACCATATGTCAGCTCTGTACAAGGACAAATAGTTGTGAGCGCACTGTGCACCTCAACAGTACAATAGCAACCAAGTAAAATATAAAGACATATATAGTAGAAAATACAGAATGTTTGAACACAAGCAGCACTGCAGTTACATGTTGAGTGCAACGACAGAAGAAAAAAAGAATGTTTTAGTTATCTGCCAATGGTTCACTGAAGCATTTGATACCAAAATATACCTTATTCCCAGTATTTTTATGGTAGTTAGAGTTCTTACCCTTAAGGAAATTTTAAATAACCAAATTAAGTTGGTAAACAAATGGTTTGAAACATATTTCCTGGTAAAATATTTTAAGAAACACAATTTTATCTAAATATTGAAATTAATATCTAAATATTGAAATTAACTTTTTCAAAATAACCAGGATACTGGTAGCTAACGGAACAAGGTTATGCTATTACCAACGTACTTGAAATTATATCCTGCTCCAGGCTGGAGAACTTCTGGAGCCATCCTAAAGACCAAATGACAGCAGAAAACACGTTTAAAGGTTTGCAGAACACTTATTGTACATACAACAGAGAAAACGTAAGAAAACTCCAGTTACCAGCATGGTGTTCCCACGAATGTATTCCTGGATCTTTGTCTATCACCTCTATCAAACATACAAGCAGAGACACCAAAGTCCCCAAGTTTCACTATACCAGGACTGTCCATAAGGATATTACCCGCCTGTATAATATTACGCTGAGCAAAGCAACTGACAAAGTTAGCTAAAATGAATACTACTGTAGAAGCTAACCTTGACATCCCTATGGATATGTCCTTGCCGATGGAGGTACTCTAGAGCCTTAAGTGTTTCCTTTAGGATAGAGGCGATAACAGGCTCCTCAAAACCATCAGGATATGCAACCTTCATCAGGTGTAAACATGAACCCTCTGACATGAATGGCATTATCACCCAGAGGTTATGATCCACAACAAATGAGCAGTAAGCCCTGATGACATTAGGGTGATCTATCAAGCTCATCGTTTGTGCCTCTTTTCTTATATCATCCTGGGTACAATATGTATATATACCACTATGAGATGCTAAATACATTATTGAACTTGGGGAGAGGATCATTAAGAGACCTCAAACATCAGCCTATAACAGTAAATGTATATAATTAATTTACTGCAGGTAATATTCATGAATCCTACTACTTAGCATTAAGATAGAAAGAAAAATAGACGCATTCATGATCCAATGCAACAAAGGTGAAAAGTACTACAAGCAAACAAGCTATACCACAACGTCCTATACATCTAATTTACTGGATCAGTAACCCAAGACAACTGCATGTCATCCTATAAGCCGCAAATGCACTGCCCGGAAGAATTAAATGTAGGCCTTTGTGAAGTTAACCATCCACTATCTATGAAGTTAGGCCGAGGATGAATTAAAGTGCCCATGGATAAGGAACCCCACGTTGTCTCGATATAGCCACAAAACCTAATAAAAAGTAACCGACAAAATGAACAATACGAACGATCGAACTAAAAATTTGCTAAAATGAATAGCATAAGTGAGTGGAGCTAAATCCCGACTCCGCAAAGCACAGTTACCACAACCTAATTCTTAAGTTGGTACCACGTCAATACTGATCAATAGAATAAACAACTTTAATTGGATCAAATTGTCCCAACTTGACACAACACACACAGCTCAACTGCATCGAATCCTCCCCTGCACGACCGCATATCCCCCGATCAAAACAGCGATCACCACCGGAATCCCTAGGACACGAACGAGTGAGGGAGTTTCGATCGAGAGAGAGAGAGGGGGAGAGAAAGCTCACGAGGTTACTGTTGACACGATCGAGATCCAGGCACTTGACGGCGACGGTCCGGTTGGATGGCAGGAACACCGCCCGGTACACGACGGCGTTCGCGCCGTAGCCGACCTCCTCCAGAAGGCGGTAGTCGCCGGGCGAGGCGGTGAAGGCCGTCGGCACCGCCGCCGCGGCGGGCGACGACGACGCGGCCGTCCGCCGCACACTCCCGCTCCTCACCATGGTGGCCCCACCCCCCACGCTGAGCAGAGACCCCCCGCCGTGCCGCCCCCCACCTCCGGCGATCGCCGTCGGTCGTTGACTCGTGTCGCGCGTACGAGACCGCGGGTGGACTGGTGACTGAAACGAGGAAGAGAAGAGAGAGAGACGATGGGGAGAAAAGGGTGGGTGGATTTTGGGAAAGGGAGGAAGTAATTATTTTGGCGTGACGTGGCGGGCATGGGGCCCGAGAGGCGGGGGCCGTATGAGTGGGCGTGATTGGTGGATAGGCTATGACATGTGGACCCGAAGGCGTGGGTCCCGTTTGGCAGTGGGAGTGAAGAGATGGTGGCTGTGGGGTAGCGGAGTGACATGGGGCGGCAGATGCCGCCGACTGTCTGAGAGATCTCCGCCTCCCGATGTTGGTCTGTGACTAGGATCGTCTGCAGGGGCTTCCCTGTGGCTGATAACGTTTGTTGAGACAAACATGGCATATCCGGATGCACATCCTCTGCAGTGGGTTCACACATCAGTGTCTGCTACTGTATCAGCAGTACTGCAGGCAATCCCCGCTAGACATATCTATATCATTGGGTCAATTAGGTTTTTAAGGAGTATACTTATTTTGTAATAGAGGTAGTAGTACAAGCTACATCCCTATCAAACCAGACTTGCTAACTATGTGGTGAAAGTTTCTCCTTTATGCATTCGTAGTAATATATTTTAAGGATATCTGTATCGTATAATTTATATCATTACGTTGTATCTTAGTATACTATTTTATCTCTGTGGTATGTTGGGAATAAGGTTCAAATAAAAGTTTATGTGTCTTTTCAAGTGTTAACCACCCCGTAGCATGTCTTCGTCATTTCTTTGTGTGGTTGTACTGCATACATATGTATCCCCACTGTTCATGACAAAAGGCATCTTGGTTTTTTTTCACAATTTTGCAGCCCAATGATTGTCTTAGTACCTGTGCTAAGGACGAATTATCAAGTAAATATAGTAGTTATCATATGACATTCAAATAAGAAAGATAATATATGCAATTGATAATTGTATTACATCTTGACTCTGAGACTAAGATAAAGAAAATCCCCTTGTAACCCATTTGTAACCCATTTACTTATGCCTCTCTATATACTCGTGTTGCACACCATCTTCACATGAAGGTCCTTATTGGTTGGCAATATCTCATTAATTATTAGCTCCTAACAAATAATTTGAAAGTAAAACTTTTATCTATATGTGAGTATGTCCTTAACGACCTTAAAACTAATGTTGAAAACGAACTACGCTGAAAGTATTCTAAAAACAACCTCAAAATCAAGTACTAAATTTTAAATTTTGGCAATGCTTTATTTTTTATAAGGGAAACAATAAGATCATAGAACTATTAAAAACACATACAACTCGACGGCCACATAAATAACAGACGCATCGTCTTCTCCGAATGCAAATGTTCTGCATTCAAGGCATTCAAGCCAACCAGACTTTCTCTGCATGCAACCAAACTTCCTCTGCATGCAATGTTTTGCACTAATTATTTATGAAATTTCTTCAAATCAATTATGCGCTTATCAATTATAAATTAGAGGAAATACATATTTTTAAAAAAGTAATTCGATAGGTGGCCAATATTCTTGGATCAACTAGTAAATTACTTATACACAGAAATATCCTTTTTAAGGTACACGGAAAATATTTGACACTGAAAAGAGAAAAGGGGTAGTAAGGCAACGAACCCACAAAGCCGATGGGCACAGAGGATCCGCGGTCGTCGGGAGCAGAGCAGGCTAGCGTGTGCCGCTGCGGCTACCAAGCCGGTACCACGGCCGAGGACGGCTCGTACAAAAACGGACGGACTCGCCGCTTCGCGGGCCCACCTTCAGCCACCGTACGATCCAAACCAGCCTCATTTACTACCACCCTCGCTGGGGTTGGTTTGCTGCCGACATACGTGGGCCTACGATCCTAGATGGGCCGGCCCCACTTTGACAGCTACTCCTACTCTCATGGGCCTAGTACCCAACCAGGCCACCAGCCCAACTTATATCAGAAGACAAGTCCACCCCATAGCATCATCGTCTCCGCGGAACCACGCCTCGTCGCCGCCGCCGCCGCCGCCGCCGCCGCGCGACGTCCTAGCTTCCCGGACCGCCTCCGCGTGGTTGGATCCGGCGAGAGGGGAGAACTGTTGTGTTCCTTGGAAGCGGGAGCTGGATGAAAGCTGGGAGGAAGAACCTACGGCGGGCGTGCAGCGAGGGCGCCGTCACGCTGGGGGAGGGCGAGAGCATCATGCAGGTCCTCGCGCTGCGCGGCTCCAACGTCATCGAGGTAGGACAAGCTCTCTCTCTCTCTCTCTCTCTCTCCCACCTCCAGGTCTCCCCTGATCGTGAATTCCCTTGCACTCCATTCGTATGTGTTCCTTATCGCCGTGGCTTGCTGGGTGTTAGGTGATGGACGCCAAGGGAGTGAAGTCTCTGGCCTTGTTCCCGGCCAAGTTCCAGAAGAGCTTTTGGATCAAGAATGGTGAGTGGTCGCCGGACTTTAGCATAGCTGGTCACTGCTCCCGTAGTGAACCGAGCTGTCTTTTGCCGCCGGTTTATGACGGTTTGGTTGTGGGTTATGTGAATTTGCAGGGAATTTTGTGGTTGTGGATGCTAGTGGCCGGGATCAGGCGCTCGAATCAGGGAGCAAGATAGCCTGTGTTGTGTCCCAAGTCCTCTTCCATGACCAAGTCCGGGCTATGGAGAAATCTGAGGAATGGTGAGTTGCTTGGTTCTTTGATCGCTGAGAGTTCCCTAGTAGTACTAACAATCAGGGTTCAGGGCTTCCGAGTGTATACAAGTTGTAGGAAAGGCTGGTACTGGATATCAATCTGTGACCAGGGGTAACTTTTGAAATTGTTTGCCAGTAGCTGCAGATTCTGCATTTAATATGCAAAATGGCAACAAGAAATTCTTGTGCAACTTTGGTTGAGGTATTTTGCCTCATGAGTCAAGAAATTGTCACCGATGTATTTGTTGGTGTAACCAGCATGAATAACCTCGGTTATGGTATTTTGACTCATGAGTCAAGAAATGTCACCAATGTATTTGTTGTTAACGGCATGAATAGTTTTCTTCAAGCTATGCTCTGTGTTGTGACCTTAGGTCACGAACAAGATCGGGTATAGGCCGGAAAGAAGTGTTTTCCCGCCTATCCTTAGAAATGAGCTCAAACAGCAAACACAACCTTTGAGGATTACTTTTGTATTAAAAATGTCTTGTTGTGCTACAGGGATTTGACCGGCTTTTATAGCCTACGGTCTTACATGTGATGTTACGTTTCTACCCTCATGGGCTTTAGTGAACTTCCTATAATGCCCTTGCCATGTCAGCAACCCTAGGGGTACTACAGTACATTCTCGGGGTCATTATAGTCTTTTGGCTCCAGCTGGCAAGGGTGGTTGAGAAGTGGCCCCCACAGAATCTTCCATTCGACTGGATCTTAACTCGAATAGGTTTTTCCTTCGAGTTCTCTTAGCCGAATGTCTTCTATGCTTGAGGGTTCGCACATCCTTCATCAACTTCCCGATCGCCAGATTCACCTGCCATGTACTTAGAATTCATCCCCAATCAAGATGAGTTACATATAAGTGATAAGAAGCCACTCGAGGGTGCTTTCCCACTCGAGAGTATTTTCCAACTCGAAAGTGTTTTCCCACTCGAGAGTGTTTTCCCACTCGAGAGTGTTTTCCTACTCGAGAGCGTTTTCCCACTGGAGAGTGTTTTCCTTGTTTTACACTTAGGAACTTTCCATAAACCATCTTAGGTGTTTCGACCGGATAAGAGGGAGGGCGTTGTCCCCCTGTTACAACACTCTGATGCTCATACAAAACAATCAGATTTAAGTGCAATATTTGCTCCTTGGTTTCAAAAGCATTTGTGTTGAGCTGCGAAATACAAAGTAACGTATACTGTTTTTATCCCTAGTTTCATCTAGGGTCCAGTGTTAGTGACATTGGTTTATAGATTGTCATGGAACTAAAATATCCTTGCTGTAGTAAATGCTTGTGAAGAGTTCTGCAGACCATTGTTTTAAATATTTGAATTCTCTGGCAACTTTGGATTAAAGTCAGTTGCCTGATGTCACCTTTGCATTTCAACAGCCTGAATAGTTTGCTCAGGTTTTTTCTTGATCAAATATCCATGAAAATGATGTGAGGAATCTATAACAATACCACAGCAAAACTAAGACTTCAACTTATTGAATTCATCAGTCCCCGTTTATCATGTAAACCGTCAGGTTCTCTAAGAACTGGAACTATAGGTTTAATTATATGTTAGTCAAAGGGTGGCTTTACTGACATCTTCAAACTGGCTCTCTGATGAATTCATTATTTTCGTACATACTAGGCCAGCTATCTTCAAGTCAACTTCTAAGGAAGGTTCAGAAGCTGGAACACAAGAAGGAACAAGGCCACAGATTGAGGAGGAACCGGATTCTGATGAAGATGATGATCTGCCACCGCTTGAGGCGAACACGAATAGACAAAGACCATTTGAACTGTATGCCGACTCAGAGAGTGATTCTGACTCTTAGACTAGTTTACATTTGAACACGCCATTGATGATGTTGTGGTTTGTGATGGAAAAATACACCCGGTGTACTTATGGTCAAGTCTTACATTCTGCCAAAAACTGCTGAGTGTCAAAATATTCTGAAGAAGTTCGATGTCATTCAGTAGCAGGCACAAGGCCTTTCACTTGAAACTATGATCAACTCCATATGTTGCTTTTTATTGTTCTCAATGATGGTGCATTAATTGTCTGGACACAGCCTGATCAACATACTGCATTTTCTATCACCGGTTCGGAATTATTCAAGCTTGTTGTGTGTCAGCTGTTTGGCTCCAAAGCTTGGCCTGTTTCTCAATTCTGCAGATACTGCTAGCTGTCGGAACTCCTAAGCTAGAGCTGACTGGCCAAATCGAATGAGGAGTTGAAGTATCAAAGTCATTAGTCATAAGCGTGGAAAATAATCCTTCTTGTGACGACCTTCTGGATGAAGCGACGGCGTGGTAAGATCCAGCTTCGAATTAAATTGTTGATTTGCTTATGCTGCAATTTATGTTCACGATCATGTCTGCTACTAGCAGGATAAGGCCCCAAAGAGAATTTGATTTTATTATGGGTTTATATATTCCATCAAGTCTAATTATTAGTCAGGGAGTGCGTCTGTATCGGATGAGTTGTGTCAATGTTGAGTTCTTAATAAAGAATAAAGGAGTTCTTTTTATTAATAAAGAACAATTGACACTGGCAACTTGGCAAGCACAGATGAGTTCTTTTTATTAAAAAAAAAAATTAGGACTGGAGCATTATTACTGGTAAGCATGTACTCCTGGGTGGTACCGTGGTAGTAGTCAATTACGAGAAAGTTTCAAAGAAGTGAAATTTGCAACCAGCAGTGTGGACCGGCTCCTTTTCTATTACGCGGATTTGGTTGAGATTTCGGGGCTTTTTGGACTTTTGTATTGCACTGCAGATTTCCCTACTTGCTTCACAGTGGTTTCCCAGATTTTGCAACCAAACCATCCCGATATTTTTGGATCACCCGTATAATATTCAGTCAATCTTTCGGCGAAATTTGCTTTGGCAACTTGGTCTCTGCTGTTGTTCACGATTCTATTATCTATGCAAAGATCAGTGTCACAAAATTCGTTGGAGAAGGCAATTTCGTTGATCGATCATATGTACACACTCTTTGAGAAGATGATGTGAAATCTTGAACTAAAAATCTACAAAATTTGGACATTTTACACTTGAAAGGTGAAAGAAAAAAAACGAAAGGGCGTCCTCTTGGTGGCCGTCGCGGCGAGCGGGTCACCAGAACGCCCGTTTCCGCCGGAATCGCCTCGCCGTGGCGAGAAGTCCGACTCCGACGCAGACAGCCCATGCTCCCATCTCCAGCGCCCACGTCAACGTCTCCGCCTCCATCTCCGGCGTGTCGAGCTCGCCGTCGTCTCCGACCACCTCCCACTCGTCATCCCCGCACGTCCCGCACTCGCAGTCGCACCCCCACCCTTCCTCCGGTATCCCCTCCAGCCTCGTGCCGCCGCACCCGAGCCCCCTCGCCGACGCCTTCGCCGTGGCCCTCATCAGCGCGCCGCCCTCCTCGAGCACCACAACCTCGGCCACCGCCGCCGCCGCAGCCGCACGGCGGCACTCGACGCGCCACCCTCCTCCCCCGCCGCGGCGGCGCGAGAAGACGCCGTCCGCCACCAGATCCTTCCCGGCGGCGTACACCTCGAAGCGCGCCCCCTCGGCGACGCAGACGCGGTCGGCGCTCGCGTACGCCGCCGCGTCGGTGCCGCCGGCGCCCACCCTCCGGAGCGGCACCTCGGCGGGCGCGGCCGGCGGGAGCGCCCGCCCGCCGAGCTCCAGCGCGGCGCCGCCGATGGCCGGGAGGTAGACGAGCGTGAGCTCGGCCGGCGCCGGGGACGAGAGGCGGAGGTAGAAGGCGCGGACACCGAGGCGCGCGCGCGCGCGGATGGAGGCCGCCATGGCGTGGCGGCCGTCGTCCACCGTGGCTAAGCACATTGCTGCTGCCGTGTGCTGGATGCGATTGATTCGCGGAATTCCGTGGGTGTGTCTGTGTGTTGTGTCGCGTGGGCGCGAGGTGGAGAGATAATAAAGCGAGGCGGGCGGGAGGAGGAGGCGGGAGATGGAGATGGGGATGCGGCGGATGCGGAGGGTGGATCGGTGGGCAGAGCGGCTCGCGGTTTTGGGCGGTGCGCACGGGGTTTTGTGGGGGAATCAGTGGTGTGCGCGTGCAGGAGCACACGGGTTTGGGACTTGGGGTGCTCAGGTGGGCGCGCGTGGGGAGATGTCCCTGGGTTGGCTTGGATTTGTCATTTTCCGGTTGCTACTAGTTGTGCTAGACTACAGTGTTTAGGAAGCGACCCGCCGACTTGGCTGTCAACCACGCCGAAGAATTGGTGGCTGTTAGCTGACGCAAATGGGGGGTCGGAAACGTGTCGCGATCTGCAATGGGTTCGTGCGTACATACGCGAGGGCGAGGCACCACGCATCAGTCCATGGGATCGCGCTCCTACGTGGGTTCTACGTGTACCCACGTCCCTCTGGCTTTACGTTAAGTCAGAGGAGACTCATCTCAGTACATGCGCATGACATTTTTTCTTGCAGTAACTCGGTAACTTTCTACCAGTTTCATGTGAACCGAGTTAACCGTGGTAGTACCATCTTTTTTAACTAGTCGTGCTGATTGTAATACACCCCCTTTTGAAACGCACTGTAGGAAACAGTAAGAGGAGCTCTCCAATTACTCCATCACATCAAAAATCTATTTATATTATTAAAGGAATAGAAAAAAAAGCCTCCACGTTCGCTCTCATGGTCTAGAAATTCTCACATTAATCAGAGAAAAAGAAAAAGCAGAGTTCATATAGAAATACAATTTAGAAATAGCTGAAATTCGGAATTAAAAAAAAGGAATATTAGAAGAGGAGACTAGAGTACACATAGAAATAATTTAGAAATAGTTGAAATTCGGAATTAAAAAATAATGAATATTAGAAGAGTAGACTAGAGTCCATATAGAAATACAATTAGGAAATAATAGAAATTCGGAATTAAAAATAAAGAATATTAGAAGTAGAGTATAGAGTCTATATAGAAATACAATTAAGAAAAAAAAATAAAAATTCGGAATTAAAAAATAAGGAATATTAGAAGTAGAGTATAGAGTCCATATAGAAATACAATTAAGAAAAAAAAATAGAAATTAGGAATTAAAAGATAAGGAATATTAGAAGTAGAGTATAGAGTCCATGTAGGAATTTAAAATTAACTAAAATTCGAAATAAATATAATAAAATTAAAAGTATAGTTTAGAGTCCGTATAAAAATACAATTTACAAATAACTAAAATTCGAGATTAAGAAAAATATGGGAAGAAGAGTTTAGAGAATATTGAAAGATGAGTTTAGAATCACATAGAAATACAATTTAAAATAATAAAAATTCAGAAATAAAAATAAATATTATTAAAAGAAGAGCATAAAGTCTATATAGAAATACAAGTTACAGAAAATTCGGAATTAAAAATATATATTAAAAGTCGAGTCTAGAGTTTATATAGGAATATATATAATTTACAAATAATTAAAATTTGATATTAAAAATAATTAATAACTAACACGTATATAAAATACATTATGAATATTACCCATTAGTAGTTCGTAAAGTTATTGCAAAATTTAAAATTATGTTGTCATTTTAATATATTTGAATAATATATTGAGAAAACATATATGCTATTATATGAGAGAAAATATAATGATTCGCCACCATGCTAGTTGAACTAAAGAAAAGTTCTCCAAAAGGTCTAACATCTTAATTACCTTTTGAATTAATCTAGAAATGCAATACTAGGAAAATTTTCATATCCTCTTATTACTACGTATAGAACGGTTCTACAGGTAAGAAGTCCTTAGCAAATCGAATCCTCCATTTGAATAGTACTCGTATCAATAATTTCGTGGTCAAGAACACGAAATGATACTCCTATAAATCATTTTAGGTCAGAAAAGAGCCTATGCAGTCAACAGTGCGATTCCTGTTGAATCTGCAAGATAGTATAGTAGTCAATAATAGATTACACAGGAGCGCAGCACTCCACGTTACAATGCGTGCTCTACTATCCACTGCGAAGGACGCAGCGCGACTCAGCTAAAAGTTTGAGCCTCTACCATACTACAAGCCATATTGGGTGCAATGGCAATGTCAGGTTCAGAAGCAGCTGCCTACCTGACCCAACCTCTCGTCTTGTTCACGGCTGGTTGCTGCCTTGTGGCTCTGGTAACAGGACCCGTCTTGTGTGTGGCAGCGGCCGTCTTTGAAGTTGCCGTCACCCGTCCTGGGTTCTTCAGCGGCTCGGTCGATTTTCTCTTCAGCCTTGGCTCACCTTGCAGGCTCCTCTTCCTTGAAGCATTCTGGCTTCCAACAGGCTGGTTCTCCAATTCCCCACCAATCGATGAATTCCTTGCATCTCCTTTCCTCTTCTTCTCATTGACAACTTCTGGAGCCCCAACAATGGAAGAATTGTTGGTGACTTTCTTGTTCATAGAATCTGAGCTTCTCAGAATGTGCTGCTCCTTCTCGCTCATTGCTTCCTCTCTTGTCAAGAGGTGCGCCTTTGCCTCTCCAGGAGTACTAGCAACTCTCATACAGTTGGTCGAGTCAAGTATCATGTTTGTGTCCTGAAGTGTTGTCCTTTCTTGCAAGTTATTCTCAAGATCTCTTGGCTGAAATGTGGAGAGGTTAAAGTCCACATTATTTTCACCCCTTTACTGTAAGAATGGGCACAATGTAGCAGTTCTGAGAAAAGAGCTTACCTTGATCTGAAGCATAGCCTCTGTTCTCTGTGTTTCCAGGAGCTCCTGTCCTATTTCCATTGCCTACAAAAAAAATTCAGGATGATACAAGTGTCAGGTAGGTTAGGAAATATGTATATTAGGGTCAGAGACACTAGCCACATGTTACAAATCACCTTAGATTCTGCAACTGATCGATGGTGTTCTTGTTCCTTCAACTTGAGCTCCAGCTCCTTTATCTGAAAATAATAATATAACAATAAAGCTATGTATATTAGGGTCAGAGACACTAGCCACATGTTACAAATCACCTTAGATTCTGCAACTGATCGATGGTGTTCTTGTTCCTTCAACTTGAGCTCCAGCTCCTTTATCTGAAAATAATAATATAACAATAAAGCCAATCCAAACCTGGACCTTTTCAATTAATAGCCACTAACAGTTTAATGTTAAATTTGAACTGCAACCTCAGATTCTGATTGCTGCTGGAGTCTAAGTTTATGCTCTGATTCCTCCGCTATCTGGAAAATAAAAAAAGAATGGGTATATGTCTAGAGTTTAGTACCCTGTGCACTACAGTAGCTACTAACAGGCAACAGTAATAACCACTTTTGATCAATACCTTCTGCTGAAGGGTAGTACACATTTCTTCTTTCTCCTTGAGTTTCCCAAAAAGCTCATTCTGCTGTTTCTCTGATGTAATTTGAGAATGCATCTTAGAATCCAGCTGGCTTTCAAGCTCTTTTACCTATATCGATTACAAAAATGTAGTCAAGTACATATGAAGAACAACGATTGAAGTGTTGCCCTGAACTATATGTACCTTTTCTTGTAAATTTTTGTAGAATTGTTCTTTCCCTTTGGCTTTGTTCTCTAGATTTTGGCAGTTATCTTCCAGCTTTCTCAAGGAATCATCCTTAAGTCTGATATCCTGTTTAGCCCTTTCAAGCTGGCATACATTCACAGAAGGAAAAGTGTGGAGGAGTTTATGTCATTGGCTCAGTTTCAAGGAGGTTCAGATAGCCAGCTTGAAAGGAAAGGCAGTATTATTGACACTTACCATCTGTTTGACCTTTTGAAGTTCTGCAGTGTCAACCTGCTTCTTTGCTGGACCCAATTCTATACGACGAACACGACTTGCAAAGTTCAATGAGCTCAAAGTTTCTGACACATCGTTGTTGGATGGGCTAATTTGCACAAACATTAAAGCTTTTGAGTCCCCTCCTATTATCAGTATGAAGAAGCACCAAAAGAGCAAATTAATGATGTAGCTAAGTGAAAGACACACACGATAATTGCTCAAAAAATACATAGAAGATTGGAAATATTGAAGTGATAAATTATGAAGATGGTTCTCTTCCAGAAGAACAGGTCAGGTTACCTAGAGAATCTTGCAGCAAGTGCGTCAACTTTGAATTCCTGCCCAGAAAAGGAATATAAACAGTGAGAAACATAAACTGATGGGTTAAACAATATTCCTTTATGAAGACCACAAACCTGTAGGGAATGTGGGAATTTTTCGTTGCAAGAGCTGAAATCACATCACCCAAAGCAGAAAGTGATCTGTTAATGTTTTGTGCTTCCTTAAGCCTTTCACCTTGCACATCGGTCTTAGCTAATCGTTCACTTCCAGCCAAATCTACAAGCCAAAGCTTACTTCTTGTACATTCTCCATTCATCAGGTTCTCCGCTCTCACCATGATGCAAAGCATACTGAGGTACAGATATAAAGGTCAAAACATTTTGACCAGAAGCAAGTACTCTAGAAAAGAAAAGAATAATAATAAAATTTTGACCAACCAGTGGGAGCGACTGCTGTGCTCATTCACATTGTTTGATCCTACAGCCCTTGCATTGCTTCCAGCTTGCAAGACATCCCAAACCTCCTTGATGTTCTCAACTTTGGCCTCCACAATGCCAGGGACATGATGGGACCCTTCACTTGCCTGTTTGATTTCCAACCTAAAATACCAAGATTACAAGTTATCACAGGATGGCAATATTATGGAACCCAGCACAGATCCTAAAAGAAACGGTCATACTTCTTAGACGAAGGGGATGATGCAAGCAGGTCTCTGATTTGCTCATTGTAGACCTCAAGCACGCTGACAGAAATGCTGTATGTGACAGTCTCTTTTCTCTCTTCTGCGATTTTGAACAACTCCTCCAGAGTTCTATAATTTACTCCCCTGTTCCTCTCAGTTCCTTCCATGGTAAAAGTCTTCCCTGTTCCTGTTTGTCCGTACGCAAATATGCACACATTGTAGCCATCCAAGACCGAAGTAACCAGTGGAGATGCATCGGCATACACATCAGCTGCACATTATTGGAAATTTACAGATTAGATGTTATAATGCACCATTGCTTTAATTACTAGCTGCACATTATAGAGCTACCATTTTGATCTTTCATGTCTAAAAAAACACAAGAACTGTAAAGGACAAAGAGGCCCAATAGAAACTCCAGCATAGTTAGAAATACCTTGATTGTCTGTCGGCATGTAGACTCTGTCAAACTTGAATGTCTTCTTAGCTGCTCCACCGTTCACAATAGCAATGTCTCCATCTTTTGCTCCATCAAAATCCACTGCACATTTGTAACCTGATGATGTCTCATCTTTACTTAATGGGCGGCAACGACAGAAAACCCTGATATTTCCTGGAATGGCATGTACAGCCAGTCAGTAGAAAGAAAATAATTATATATGGCAGACTAGAAAAAAAATGTGAAAGCACCATAATACAGAGGAGAAGATCAGAAGAGGCAGGCACCTTTGGTCTCCTCAACAATATTATGAAGTTTCTTTCTCTTGGCCATCTCTTCATAGTACTTCAGTTTAAGATCTTCACACTGTGCAACTGCAGCAGAAAAAAAATGCTTACAAACTTTTTCATTTTAAATGCTCTGAAACCTTTACAACAATGCAACTGATGGATATTACCTAATGTTTGAACAGCTCCTATCATCTTACTCAGATCAGGAACAGCGTTTGCACAGTCATGTGCTTCAAGAGATAACAGTGTTTGCTCTTGTTTCATAGCCTGAAAATTAATAAGTGATATAATCAGTAAAACTTGGCACGTATTGTATTTATCAATTCTTGTTGTAGCATTGCAGACAGTAAATCTGCTTTTACCTTGATTTTATTTTCCAAGTTAGATATGGCAGCTGCCCATAATTTCTTGGCATTTTCATACTTCTGGGAAACACTTCTCAGTTGATCAGCTTGTCTATCAACGACTTGTTCTGTCAGGAATGTAGAACAGCGGTGAGCATATATAAACATTTAGGAAACAAAGTTGATTATCCTGATAGCTTAGTTCATACCAATATTATCACTTTGCATGACCTTCTGATGAAGCTCTATCTTAAGTCTCTCAAGCTCCTGATTGGTAGATTCCACTGAAGACCACGCCATATAACATTCATCAGACTTCATGTTGCACTGGTTGGTTAGCTCCTCAATCTGTTTCTCATACTTTGAGATTAATTTACTTGTCCTGGTCTGCATTGTAGATTGATATGTATCAGTATTACACCAAATATGATTCTGTAACTGTTTGTGAAAATACTGACCTGTAAAGGTGAATTCCCTGTATGAGCTGAACATCTTTTGCATAAGACATTCCCTTCTGTAACCATGTCTGTCACTGCAAGTTCATGATTAAGGTTATCATGCTGAAAATTAGACCTTGAAGGAGCAAGTTGCATCTAATATCAATGTCTTACCTGCCATTGCTACCCTTTTTCGAATACAGATGCCACAAACCATGGGACTTCCCCTTACTCCTTTGAAGTTTATGACAATGGCACTGTCACTCTCAACTGTCACTCTAATATCACGCACCTGAAGGGGTCTGTTACCTCCAACCACCGCGTACACATCAAGTTCAGACAAAATCTGCACATCAATCAAAAGTCAAATTGTTTAGCTAGACATGAAAATAAATCGTGATACAAAACTAAGAGTCACATGAGTCAGTGTGTTTGCCTTTTCTTCTTGGACAAGGACATCAAATGCTCTAATTCCTTTTGGCCCATAAGTGTTCACTATCTCAGCAAAATGCAGATCTAAGAAATAGTCTCCAGGAGCAAGACCATCGATTTTGTAGCTGAAATTTCCATATCGAGCTGAGTGGTAAAGTGAAGGATAGTCACCACCTTCAACTATATCCTCAGATGTCTCTATTGCATCCCCTCCTTCAAAGAAAGAATCCTCAGAAAGCTTTGAAGAGGGTTCACAACCTTCAGTTGCACTGCCACCGGCATTAATGAACAGAACAGAGTCATCTGTTTCATCACAGGCACAAGAAGGATAATAAGAAGCACTGTGGAACTACGATGACATGACCAATTAACATTTCGACAAGGTACTTCCAATTTTCAATTTAGAATTCAAGATTATGAAATATCCATTTTGAAAGCACATGACTGATGATGGCTATCGAAGCCCCTTCTACTTGATATTACTACAGCACCACAGTCGATGCAACCTTGTACTCTGACATAGAAACAATCTTATTTTCTTCAACCAATCCAATGCCCATGACTTTAGTACTACATGATGTATTATTCATTCACTCTGAGAGTATCAAATGTGGCCAGCACACTGATCCACTTGAAAATAGGCTAACATGGCAGAGAATCAAGTCAATGAAGAACCCACAATTTTAAGCAGAGAAACAGTACTCTATCAAATATTCAAATATACTCCAAAGAGCCTAAATCGACGCACAAAAACTAGAGCATTATGTGAATGATTCCACACATAGCTGATTCCTGTTACATGGAGAACCTTATTAAGCTCCTAGCACAGCACAACACCTGAAGGCCTCAAAATTGGGATTGCAACTTTGATACCAACACAGGTAACACACCAGAAAATCCCAAATCTGGGCACATCCAGCCTCCTAAATTTCCTCCTCCACACGCACACGTGCACACACACAAGAAAAAATAAGAGCAAATTTGGAAGCATACTTTCTAGGGTTTTCTGCCCGAGCCAAATCGAGTACTCTAATTCGACCATCCTATACGCTCATATCCCAAGAACCCCCACGCGGAGTTGAGAGAAACCTAAGCACAAGATCTGCACCCTGGAAATCTAATCACAAACCAAAGGGGGAAAAAACCACCTGCACGGCAGTCGCCCCGCATCAGCCCGGACAGAACCACGCGTGGCCCGGGCACCAGGATCATGGACTCCGCCGCCTCCTGCGGCGAAGGGGCCGGCGGTGCGGGCGCGGGCGCCGACTCCGCCTCATCGTCGTCGGCGGCCGCCTTCTCCCAGCCCGTGGTCCACGAGAAGTCCATGGGGGTGGGCTCCCCCGGGCACCGCTCCTCCTCGCCTTCCATCGGATCCGCGAGTTGCTGCTGCTGCTGCTTCGGCTGCGGCGGCGGCGGCGAGCGAGCGAGCTAGGCTAGGGTGGCGATTTGGTTGGGGGAGAGATGGATGGAAATGGGGATCGATTTGGTGTGCTTCTTCTTCTTGTTGCCTCTTTGTGCCCCGCGGTCCGAATTCGAACTGCGGATAGCAACGGCGACCGTTGTGTGCTTTTGTTTGTGTGTGGGCATCCTACCGTTGCATACGGTGCGCTGCGCGGGCCGGCCTACCCGCACATATGAGGCCCAATTAATCTGCTTTTCACCGGATGTAATAAGTCTATTTTGTGCTCCTCGTTTTCTTGCTCGTGATTGAATCGTTTCCCTCACAACCGCAATACCAGGTATAACATCTTCATTTTCGAAAACTGGTGTAAATCGCCTCCTTTGATGATTTGAGAAGTGGTTTTTTTTCTGATGTAGCAAGTTGACTACACTTGACTCGTTTAGATGTGAGGAGAAAGATGAGATGAGGTGAAGGTCACTAACATGTGGGTCCCACCCAACTTGTCACGTCAACATAAACCATTTCCTAATCCATTGAAGGAGGTGATTTATGCCGGTTTATGAAGATGGAGGAGGGTGTTATACCGCGTTTGGTTGAGGAAGATGAATCAGTCAGGAGCAAGGCATGACGGACTCGAATAGACTTATACCTCGCCATATTGGATGGCCCAAGAGGCCAAGATTGCCCACGGGGCTCATCTTTTTGGCCCAACAAAATGTGCACATTTGCTCATCTCTCCTTAATAAGGCCACGTTCTTCGGCTTGGTTTGGAAGAAAATTTTTCATAATTAAATATTAACAAATATAAACTTGAAAAAGGGTTAAGTTGCTTTTTAAAACAACTTATATATAAATTTTTTTTTGCAAAAAACATCATTTAACAATTTAAAAAAACGTGCTAACAGGACCTTAGTAGCTGCATGTCTTTTTCTACTTGTAACATACAAATTGATGAATAACCACTCTACCTAAAATTCCAAAAGGTACATTTTTAAATAAAATTTTCTATATACGTTTTTTTATTAAAAACTATTTTAAATATATTTTTCTTAATTAATTCATTTGTACCAAAGGTTGTGGGTCTTATATATAGACAAGGCCAGGATGTAAAATATTTTCATTATTTAAAAAAACAATTTTTATTATTCAATGATTCATTCAGCTATTTAATCATTTATTTACATACGTAGACATGGATTTCTGCACACGACGCACGAACGGAACCACACCTCTGTTGCCATGTTGATTGCTCACGGCTATTGCAGTGTGTGTTCTCACGCTGCCTACTTTTATATTGGCAGATGAGTTTAGAGTTTACTCCAGACTTTAGAGTGATGCTGTACAGCCAGTACTTTATGCAGAATCCAATCATCAGAGAATGGACCAAATTTGATCAGAGGCAGCTATCCTTCGAAAGCATAAAGGGAAGGCTAGCTACAAATCACACTTGTCATTTGCCAAGTTGGTAGCTGTCACATACTTATAATGTAGGAGTACGTACTCCTAGGCCTAGGTAAGTGATCGATGCCGGCAGATGGAGTGAATGTGATTTTTTTTTTCTCTGAAAGAATAATTAGGGATTCTTTTGAAACGTAGCATTGAAAAAACGAAGAAATAAAACATACGAGATATCAATTAAAATGCAAGTGCAAATTACAGAATTGCATAACGCACGAAAAAAATATACAGGAGCAATAGTTTGAGTAGACCGCAGAAAAAATACAAGAATCACTTGAAAGAGATAGACTCAATGGATTTTTCCCAAGAGTTTGGAACTTTGACTAACTTCCTTCAAAATATGCATTATTCCATGAATTTTTGGAGGAAATGATAGGATTTACTCCTTTGTTTTAAATTCCTTCCTAGATTTTTTTGCTATAGGATTAGAATTCACCAAAATTCCTATGATTTTCATACAAATCAAAAGAGGTCCTTAATCTGCAAACCATTATACTACCTTTTATGTGAAAATTATCTACCTTTCTGTGAACAATTCCAATGATTTTTGGATTGTGTGCCTCACCACATAGGAGTAGAAAGTAGCTGACGATGACATCATGTTATCTATCAGGAAATGCAAGTTCCGTAAAGAAAGCTAAGCACATCGTTTTTGTTTTGTTCTCGTATGTGGAGGTGACCTCTTCTCTCCTTCGACGTAATTACCATTGTCTATGCGAGTGACGAACAATTACTTTGTAATGTCCTAGATAAGTAGAGTCACTGTCATGGCGCATGCAGTTGCAGTGTAGATTGCCATTGACGCCGTATAAAAATACAATCAACCACGCTTCCATCACTCGTGGCATCGACTCATCAGCCCCCAGAATCAAACCCAGTAAAAAAAAACTGGATTAAGCTCGATGGATTAGATGATTAACATGGCCATCAGTAAAAAAGTTAAAAAAAATAAAGATGAACACGACCGATAGGATAGGCATTAGGCAGAATGTATCCATCTATCCATCGTCCACTCGTGACAATGACAGCCCAAACTAAAAAAAGGCACAAAACTGAAGAAGAAGAAGAAGAAGAAGAAGAAGAGGAGGAGGAGGAGGAGATCAGAGACATGAGGCATCATCTTTTCGCTTATGTTTATACTTATTAGCAAAATTTGAATTTTTTAACTTTAAGTTTGAAGTTAATTTTAAATTTTTTTTCATCATAATTTATTTTTTGGGTTTTGCTTTTAGAACGTTAAACATGTATATAAAAGTTTTTTTTTCAGCAAATACGCCGTCGATGGGCTGCAGAGTTGCAAAAAAGGACTAGACACGGAAGCACACAGAAAAATACACTGCAAACTTGAGAGGAGGCTGAAATCGAGATGCAGACAAGCACAGCATTGGGATCTGAATTTCTGAACTTCTGACGAGAGCACACGAGCCGTCAATTGACACGCAACTTGTCGACAAAAAAAAATACTCCTCCTCCCTCCACTGATGCAATACGTACGTGCACCACCAACCCACCAATGCGTTTGCAACGGAGAGGAAAAGAAAGCTAGTAGAACTAGTAGAATGATTGGAATATACTCCTACCTGAGCTGAGCTGAGCTGAATGGCCTATTGGGTTCCATGTTACTGCCATGTTTAATTAAGATTTAAGAGTAGAGAAATGGAGAGAGATCAGGGAACTGAATCCTGATTGAATGAATAAGTACAAAAGTTAGCTGCATCATGCATGCAATGGCAAATGCAATGCTGGTGCTAAACAACCACCTAGCTACAGATGCTGCCAGATTATAGCTAAACAACCACCTAGCCCCATGTCAAGATCATAGCTTGTTTAGTGGCAATGAACCAAGTTTTATCATAGAGTATGAACACACTATGTTAGTATATTTATGACGTAACGACTTTACACTAAACTAGTAGAGAATATACGGCGCATTTTATTTTATTTTATTTTATCGGTATTGTTCGTGCGGTTGCTCTTGATCCCAATCATTCGGTTGTCGATAAAGAATTCGGAGATGTTTGATCTCTAATTCCCAGAGACCAATCAAATTGAATGAACTAATGAATTCAATTCAGGTGTTGAGACATTCATAAATGAAATGACAAAGTTTTTTTTTTTAGTCACACCGGAAAACTGATGATGAGAAATGGCTAATCAAGATATGATGATGGCGATGGGATGCTTTGGATTCTTCAGAGGTCGAGGAATCCGGTCTGCCGGAGCACGGCGTTGCGGACGCGGCGGAGGTCGCGCCCCTTGAGCGTCCTCCCGGCGCCCTCCAGCACCGACGACGACCGCGCGTGCCGCCGCGCCGCCACCACGTGCGGCGGCACCATCTCGTCGTCCTCGTTGTCGTCGGACTCCTCGCCGCCGACGACGTTGTTGGCGGCGGCGCCCTTGCCCGGCCACATCGGGACCCTCACCGGTGCCGACCGCCTCGGTGCCGCGGCGCCTCCACCCGGCGCCGCCGCGGCCCTCACGGGCACGGCCACTCCATCCTGACGCCCGTCGTCGCTGCCGCCGCCGCGCCCCCCGTTGGCGAGCAGCGACGACAGCCCGAAGCTCTGCGGCACCGTGTGGGCGCGGCGGGGCGCGCGCGGTGGGCCCTCCGGGTGTGGCGGCGCCGGGCAGCAGTAACCGTCGTCCCCGACACCGCCGGCCGGCCACACCACGTCGCTCTCGTCGAGCTCGAACGGCGGCGCCGCGCCGTCGGGCCCCGACTCCGGCTGCTTCAGGAGGCCAAGAAACCGGAGCGAGCCCGCGCCCGGCGACCGCGGCATCGCCATCGCCCCCCACGGAGCAGCCACGGATCAATCCTTTGGCTCTGATCTCCCCTTCGCCGTCGACGGCTGCGGCGGCGGCGGCGACCAGCGATTGCAACGAGGTGTTTGTGTTGGTTTCGGATGCCGCGAGGTGCGCGTTATATACAGGGGAGAGAGGAAGGGGAGGAGGAGGGGGCGATGATGAGTCACTGGAGGTGGGGCCCACACTGTGGGGGAATCTCCAGATAGATGCAGTGGGATTCCTGTGTGGTTTTGGAATGCTACAGCAAACACAAGAACTGATCCTTCCCGTGGTTAATTCGGGGGCGCTTTGCGCTTTGCTTTACTGTACTATTCCTAGTTCATACGCCCTCCGTTTCATTAAAAAAATACTCTAATTCTAGACAATATAATACAATGAATCTAGACAACACAATCTAACGCAATGAATCTGGACAATCTATCTAATTTTGTTGTAGATTATGTCAAATCCAATTGTAGATTGTTTTTATTTTTTAAAACGAAGAGAGTTGGGAGTAGTGTGACGAGCTAGCTGTTTCCCATGACGAAATGGCGTAAAATGCTTTATAGGATAGGTGTTCGTTTGCGGATTGATGTATCTGATTCCGCATCACCGTGATCCCGTGATACTATTCTTTTCAATCAGGATCACTCATAATGGTTACTAAGTACTACCTTTGCGAGTTTGGATCTGTTTTAAGGCATTTGTTGGGGAGTGTCTTATAAAGCGAAAATAGTTTTAGAACAAAACTTGTTTGTCCAGTTTTATTATACTAAAATGTGCCACATCCACTCATTATCTCTTGTATTATGGGACAGAGAGAGTATATAACAAGTAAAGATGAAGAATTAAGGAGTCTATCTAGACCATCCAATTACCAACCAATGTCTAGGATTCATTGAACCTTCCCTGCTAGCCTCATCAAGAACCAAACTCGATCAGCTGCGAGCTGTTAGTATATATGAACAATTGAGAGGACCTGCGAGACTGTGAGGTCGCCGTCGATGGCGGTCACTGGGAGTGACTCAGGTGGTGCTCTAAGAGATTGTCATTTAATTGATCTCTTTTGGATGATTTAGATGGGTCTACTGTTAAAATTGTTGAGCTATAGCGACTACACCATTTATTGTATCGTCCTCTCTACATTTTTCTCTAGTAACGAAGATATTTACTAGCCAGTGGAAGTTTCAGTGTGAATAGCTAGGCGAATTGTTTAAAATGAAATCCACATGATGTTTACTTTAAGACTGTGATTAATGCTCAAAGAGCCAACGTACAGTGAAGTATACTGTTTTACTGAGAAAAAAAAATATTGGGTGCAACGTACTAGCAGTAGCTTGACGATGATGGATGCATGGTGACACCGGCCGGGTCAATTCAGAGGTTTTCTTGCCTGCGGTTAAGACGAGAGTAATTGGGGGAGTAGAAGACAAGATGTGGTGGCTAACAAGTAACCAGGGGCTACTGTTTCAGTTCGATGGTGATAGTGGCCTATATGGAACGTTCCAAACCATCTTTCGACCGTGCAGTGTACCTGGCATATATGTTTATTCTTTGTAATCAAGAGATAGTCATATAGCGCGTATCTTGTACAATTGCGAGCCGGAAATTAATTACTTATTTGGTCGAAGAGATAAATACGAGCTTACGAGGTGACACTCAAACGTACTACACCTTTTATGCGTGGTTGATGTGCAGCACACGAGAAAACTGCGTTCTCGTGGTGAATTAGACGCGGAAAGCTAGCTAGGGCAGTTAATTGGTTGTATACACCATCCGTTTCAAAAAAAAATTAATATAATACTCTCTCCGTGATAAAATATAAAATATAGTACTCCCTCCGTTTCTAAATATTTGGTAACGTTGACTTTTTAAGTACATGTTTAACCGTTTGTCTTATTCAAAAATTTTTGTGAAATATGTAAAACTATATGTATACATATATATTTAACAATAAATCAAATGATAGGAAAAGAATTAATAATTACTTAATTTTTTTTAATAAGAGAAATGATCAAACATATTTTAAAAAAATTAACGGCGTTAAATATTTAGAAACGGAGGGAGTAAGAGATTTTAGGGAAATGTAACTTATCATAGTCTATCCAGATTCATATATCATATCCATCTAAAATCCCTTATATTAAACATGACACGTTCTAATCGTGGTTATTATGCTAAATATTGCTTTATGTTACCCGCGCGTGTGTGCGCGAGGCGTGAATGAATGATTGGTGGCGCGCGGGTGGTGGCCGGCGCCGATCATTGGGCGCTGGGCGACACGTACGACAGATTGATGATTTTACAACGTGACCCCGGCCGCCTGCCTGCGGGATGTGCGGCCCACCCCCGCACGTACGTACGGTTAATTTGCGCGATCGAGCGGCGGGGGCACACACGACCAGACACGCACGCCGTGTGCTCGGCGATCCCAAGCGCGCACCGATCGATCCGCGCACGTCGCGCGGCCGCGGAGATTCACTGTGCCGATCGATCCACCGCGGGTGGCGGGGTCCGGGGCCATGGCCAGCGCCTCACACGAACCCAGCACAGTACCAATCCTTGCATGATTGCGCGTGCATGAACGCCACAGTTGTAACAGATGAAAGGACAGCAGATGAGAGAACCTTTTTTTTCCTGGGAACTAATACATTCGTTCCAAAATATAGCAACGTATAATATAATAAGACTCATCATAATATTATGATATTACGAATCTAGATATATATCCATCTATCGATTCTAGAACTATAAATTTAAATATAAGACATGTTTCTATGAGTAAATTGTTACATTTTGAGAGGGGAGTTAGCATACGGTCCTCGCTCACTCTCCTCTCCGCCGTGTTTGTAGCAGTAGCACTACACTGCGGCCACTCCGTGCAAAGCTTGTCCGACGTGAAAAGATGGGAGAAACTACCCTACAAAGGCTGACGCGAGAGGGCCTTTCGGGCGGCAGCTAGCATTGCCGGTTTTGTGCACGCACGGCCACGGTCATACACATTGCTGCCAACCTGGATGGATTTTCTCTCACTGTGCACAGCACAGCAAACACCACACTGGCTCTCAGTCTCAGCAGCCTTGTAGTACTACTGTCACAGATCTCACAAGCACAGCTTCTTTGTCGTTGTCGACCAGAAGCATCCACACGAAGAAATTTTCAAATTAGTAGTAACTGAGCCATGTCCGGCGGCATTTTACGTTATAGTAAGACCTAGTATTACTACCGGTGATAGGACTAATTAAAGATTGTTCTTAGATTACCCTGAGAATGAGAGAGGCTTGGAGATGGAACCTGCCTAGCCAATGGCCCATGCTAGTGCTACCTACACCAAGTCACCAACAAAGATGGAAGAGATCCGTGACTAGAAACGACCCCACGTTAACCTACGCATCACTGTGCCATCCCCTGAATCGGGAAAGATGCACTGCACTGCCACTAACTACGGCACCACTATACGCGAGTCATCAGCGAGTGAGAGTGACAGTGTACTACTGGTAGGGCAGGGACCTCCTCCAATTAGGCGACTAATAGAAACAAAAGTGCTAATGCTACTACTAGTACGAGTTTTGTTGTGTGATGAGTAGTACTGATGTGGCCAACACGTCGGTCCCGCCTCCCCCTGCACTGCATGGGAACATATACTATCGTGTGGTGTGGTGTGGCTGGAGATGGAGGTGTCGCGTCATGTCAGCTTCGCCTTCACACACGCGCCGCAAGACGCCAGTCGGGCGCGTTGCATCACTTGTCATCGCCGGCTCACAGGCTTTCCTGCCTGGATGCAGCTTTGGCTCGGCTGTGTATGCAAAGGCGATTTTACATCGATCGATCTTCACGGGAAAAGCCATGTTAGTAGCAGTACAGTACGTCACGGCGTCAGATGCATCACCGGGGGATTGAGATCTTGAGATCGATGTAAAACTGCCCAGTTGCGGAGGTCAGATATCAGGAATGAAACTACTCCTATTTTGATTCGGCGGCTATCTGGAAAAAACATACTCCAACATCGCAGGTGTCGTTAGGAACCATTATTCAGCACCAGTCCTCCGAAACGATGTAAATAATGAGTTTATGGAAGAAGGGACAACTGTTTTACTTGGGCTTACGACCTCGATGCCCGCATGGTTCACTCGATAAACTTGAGATACAGTGCAAGGAATTCAATCATTTGAACTAGATGACAATCGATACTCATCTCATCTAGTATAATGTAGTCGTACTTCAATGACATTGACATGTTTTACACATACAAAGATACAAAAAATGTGTCGGACGTAGCCTATGATTGGTACTTTGGTAGGGACCTACAGATCAACTTGTACTCTACAGATGCGAGATAAGGAAGAAAACACTCGGAGCAATCAAGCTGATTAAAAGAATATGGGTGGTTAAAATGGACATATCTGTTGCTCGACGCACTCGTACATACAACAATAGATCAACCAGTAATGATACCTGCCAATACATCACTTTTTCCTCGTGCAAATATGGTGTACACTAAGCGTATAGCATCTAACCAACCATCAAGAGACTCCCAGGTATCAGCAACCTGAAAAACGAGTTAAAAATCACAGGCTGAGAATTGAGGTGATAATGACAGAGGGAGGGCCTAGGGAGGAGCAACAAGAATAAACAGTGCCCTGAAATGTCAAGAAGGCGGTACAGTACATGTAAACTTAACTCCTGAACAACAAGCATCAAATGAGTATGTACTTACCAAGAACAAAGGCCCGTGAATTGTTTCTATACAAAGGCCAGCACCAGGTGGCAGTGTTAGATCGGAGCATGCAGACACTGAAACGATATCTTCAACAGCTACTTTAATATATTTTTTGCTTCTCCCCATATGTCCAAGGGGTTTGCTAGAAGGGCTTTCAGAGGCATCGACCTAACATTTGCAACAAAAATAATGAGACTCAAATCCTGGTGAAATGCACATGGGTAGAAACATCTCCGGCTAAAAGAAACCGTCTGAAAACTCCAGGTACTCTAGAAGTATGCTCATGTTAAAGTAGAAGAACTTACCTGCTGGAGTCCCTCATGGTTTAAGACAAATTCTGACCTTTCCCAATGTTTATGTGGTGCAATGGTGTTGTCTGCTGGAGGAGCAGTTAGATACCCAGCTTTTAGATATGGTAAAGGTAGCTGCAAAGCATAGCATAACAATAAGTATGCCAACCACAGAATAATTTAAGACATGCAGATTACCTGGTGTATGAATAATTGAATAGTTGCTGAAAATTCAAAACGAGATAAAATAAAAATGATAAAAAACCAAGCTAGTGATAAAACTAGGACATATATACATATCACTTAAACACTGAGGACACACAAGTTCACAATCTTTACCCTAATTTTCTCGATCATATTAATTGTTCCGGTGCATTTCAATATACGATTTTGTTTCCTTGTGAATCATCATTTGTACTCAATAAAAAAACCAATTACATTTAAAAAACGAAGTCCAATACAGGAGATGAATTGCTTAAAGACAAACTTCAAACAAAGAAATACTGAAAGCATAGAGCATGCTAACATACCATTGATCGAACCAGACGTAGAGCACTGCGATAAACCTGCATTATCCACAACAACATTTCAGTACATCTACATAACGCCTAAAGATTCATGAAATGTCCTATGGAATTTCAAGCTTATAACCACATCATGATGCGAGGCATAAAATGCTAACTCTGCCAAAATAGTCAGTTCACTCATCCAAGTAACATGGAAATGCTACTATAAGATAATATCAAAACCCACAAACTGCTGAAAGCTAGCAGAATATACATACAGGAAAGAGAAAAATATTGCTGAATTAACAAACGTTTCTACAATACTGAATCGTATTTGTTGAATTAAAATATCACTTCAGTGACTTCAGTTAAGCAGGAAGAATACAATGACTGACTGACTATGAAACTCTTCTTGCTTTGTTTTCACATCTCTACCTTCCAGGGCATCCCAATAAGGAAATTTAAAGGCAGAGTAGTCAAAGAGAGGAAAAACACATACTGAATAATTTGGCTTCAATGCATGAGCAGCTGCGACATAAATGGCGGACTGACTGTACAAGTCATTTGGAGAGACATCTGGACCTGCAGACCTCATTGTATCCTCTGCTAACCCATACTGTGACATCAAATATATGAAAGTTGGTGAATTGTTGTTAGCAAAAAATGCAGTCAGCTAGCATGTACGAATATTGACAAAGTGCTGTAAAAAAACATACCAGGACAGTTCCAAGATTGTAAATAGCCCGGTGGAAATCAAATTGCAACTGGATTGCAGATCGAAACTGCAACAGAAAAAAAATACAGGTTTTGAGTTTCAGAATTTTCTTGTAGATACATTTGCTCAGAAGTAATTTCCCTGACACTTAATTAGGAGGTACCATATAACTACCTTGCTTATAGCTGTTTTTATGATTGTTTGTTTATCTCGGGCTGGAACAATTGCGCTCAGCTCCTACATTATAAGATAATAATATTGACAATGAATGAAAATCAGTGTGATTACGAAGATATGTTAAGTCAGACATAAGTAACAAAGTCACAAAGTCGTGTACCTGTAGTCCCAAACCCCAGTTGTTGAGGGCCTGCAGTAGAATAGTGACAAATGAAATCAATCAAAATGATGATTGATGAAAAATAAAAGGCAAGCACACAAGATAATGGGATTTGGATGCAAAGGTCTAACAAACGTTCAATTGAGTATTAGTTATATTGCCCATTAAATCAGCCAATTGAGACCATCCTAACCTGGGGGCTGTTCCAATTTAACTGGACTGCCTTGTCATAATTCATTATAGCCTGTAGAAGAAATAGACAGAAACGATCAATTAGTAAGACATGATCTCCAACAAGTTGAAAACAATATAATAAAAGTATTATCCATAAAATTCAAGTAAATAACTTCAAGGCATTTTTTCCAAAGTAAATGTAAGTCAGGCTAACCAAATTATAATAAATCCTTACTCTCAATAAAATATACTATCTAACCAAAAGGAACAATGATAGAAAAAGAAATCAGATATTATGTTTGGTTCAGTGCTGCTAGAGTGCTAAGAATTGCACGCCCACTATTTACCGTGGACAGTATTACTAGTTTACATGTCAATGACAGCAAAAGAAGACAACCATTTTACAAACCGTACTTGAACCAAAACACTTCAACAAATGCAGGCATATTCCTATTTCATCAGCTCACATTTGGGTTTGCAATTCAAATTGTTCAATTTTCACAAGCTTAACAATGTAACTATTGCATATTGGGAATTGAATCACTTTATGAGAAATTAAATTCTAGAAGTGCAGAAAAGATTAGAAAGCAATTTTCCTTTGGATACTAGCAAAAGAAAGAAAGATTAGTCTTTGTGAAATACATGCGCAACTATTAACATTGTTTATGACCTGCTTCCAGAGTTCTTCAGCCTCTTTGGTACGTCCACGCATTTTGGCTCGATCAGCAATAGCAATAGCCCAGTTGTAATATGCCTAAAATGATTAAAGAGAGGAATGAGGTGTAAGTTTGGTCAAACAAATTATTCTGAAGCAGAAAATTATTCACAAATGACAGCTTAGTCAAAATTAAGAATTCTCAGAGTGCCCATAGAGTACCAATTTGGGCCATTTGGCACAGTGCTTTAAGGAAAAACAAAATACAATCTCTAATCCAGTCTAGCAACTCATAGTAGTGAAATTACAATAAACAAACCTACATCATATAGCGTTGGGCAGAGTCGTGTAGCTTCAGCGTACTTTTTGCAAGCCTCCTCGAGTAATGAATCTTTTGAAGAACTAGAATCAGGATCCACATTATCTGCACTTTCCTGAAATTATAACTAGTGATTAGAATTACAAGATATTAGTATTGCAGAACCCTTCTACATTCTTTTTATCAGCAATTCTGTTTTGTCTACATGGTTTAAGGAACAGAATGAAGTAATGCAGCGTTCTATTCAATCAACACAACAGCTGTTACATACTTCTATAAGGAACACAGTTCTACCTGGAGGACTAGGGCCCAATTATAGTATGCATCTGGATCTTCCGGATTTCTTTCGATGGCACTAACATATCTGCAGAACATATGTTTAAAGCACAATCGTGAACTAATTATAAGTTCATAACGTCAGCACAGGATTAAGTTAATCAAGTCAGACAAACAATAACCTTTTGGCAGCAAAGGAAAGAATGCGTTGACGAGAACGACCTTCCTCGTCAACTCCAGTGACACTATTTATCAAGTCCATGGCAACATCATGATGGGATGAGAACTGTAGGCTGTCCTGGCTGAAATGGAGCAAAGAAAGTGCTGCGATTCGTAACATGGTAGCTAGTTTCGAGATAATTTGGAGAATTGAGGATTAAAAAATCTATCTACGATCTCATCAGTGGTAATAGAAAAAACAATTCTAACAAATAAAATAGTGTTGATATAATCATATAAATAATAATATTGATAATGAAAACCCACGAAACTGCATGGTGGTGACTTGTTGAAATGAAACATTTATTGACTAGATAACTGCAAGTGTTTACATTTAAGTACAAACCAGGCTCTTAGGATATAGTTGGTAGGAATATTTGTCATGTACAGGTCAGGGGGAAATCCAGATGGTTTTTCCAGAGTTTAGCACTGTCGCGACAGCCAATGTTAAACAGGACAAGACAGCCTTTAGTGCTCAAGCCCTGAATCCAATTGGGAAGCTAAGCACGGTACAATTTACTAGTTTTTTCCCCCTTCCTGCATACCAGACACAACTATTGCACTATGCAAGCATCCACGATATGTTAGGTTTGCTAAAAAAAATCAGAGTGCCGAATGACTAATAATAACAGTCATCTGATTCAGCATGTTATTTTAGCCACATCCTAAAAAATGGATCCGCACGTAGCAACTTGAAAACTTCACACGATCAGTAAGCTAGTTCATCGGTACAGGGTGAAGTAGGAATACGGCATTACAACCCCTGGAAGAGACTACGTGGGACTTGAATTGGCTCGAAAAATAATATAACTGACGCAATCTCAGACATATCTAGAAGCCATTAGGACGAGCAAAGCCACTAACCAATCAGATCACCAGCGCCTTCCTACGAAATGTCAAGCACTAAACAATTCGACGAAAAAAACTATCGAAATGTACCACCACGCAGTTCACGCAAATGGCAGATCTGAGGGAAGGTGTACAGCTGAGCAAGCAGCGAAAGCTGAGACGCAGCTGCACAGCTCCAATGGCTTCTTCCCCCCCCCCCCCCCCCCCCCCGAGTCCCGAGATCCGAATAGCTTCGTAGAAACCCAAAGCGAGAGCATAGAAACTGACCTGGCGCGCTCCGCACCGGCAGATCCGATCCCATTGCCCTCCGAAAGCGTGGATCTCCCCGACGAGGGCTCCCCGCTGTCCTTGAGCTCCCCAAGCAGCTCCCGCATGGTGAGCGCCCGCGAGGGCTCGCCCTCTGCGCCCAGAGCCGCGTTCGTCTCCGAATCGTTCGCAATTCCCGATTCCTCCCCCTCCTCCGGAGCCTCCCCCGCGTCGGGCGCCACCACCGCATCCTCCGCCATCCCCGCGCCGTTGGGGAGCTCCCCGGAGTCAGCGGGCGTCGGCCGCGCAGAATCCTCCATGACTCGAGTCTCTCCTCGGATTAGGATCTAACTCGGCGGGAGATCTGGGCGATGCGATGCGATGCGATGCGAGGAGGAAGAGGACGCGAGCCGAGCCGAGCCACTAGTGGTCGCTCCCGCTGTGAAGCGGATCGTTCACTGGAAAGAAAAGAAAAAAAAGGGTTTACGTGTGCGACCACTGGGGCCCACCCGTCAGAGTCTCATTGGTGTAGTTGGGCCGGGCCGTGGCAAACCTGGGCCGGCCCAAAAGTGGAAGGGGTCCGTACCTTCCAGAGGCTTCTTCGCCACCAAATCCCAGAGTCCAGACTCCAGAGCATTCCACGGCCTCCCTACAAGTCGCGGCCGCGCCGCCGTCGTCCGCCGCTCATCGAATCCAGCGGAAGCGGAAGCCTCGCAAACCCTCGTGCTGTCTCCGGCCAGGCCAGCCATGGCGGCGTCGCTGCTTCTCCGCGCCGTGCGCCGGCGAGACCTCGCGTCTCCTCTCGGGACCGTACGCTCCTTCCCCTCATTTCATCACTTCCATAGTTGCTGCCCTCCTTGGCGTAATAATCATCTGCGTAGCGTAGCGGTGCGCGCGTTTTTTTTCCTTTTTTTTTACCCTTTTATGCTCCGATCCGTGCCAGCGTGATGTATATTGCTACCCGATTCTGTGTTAGGTTGGTTGAATCGAGGTTGATTGTGTGTGCTTATGCGGAATTTGTTTGATCCACGGCTGCTTTAGTGTCCCGGATGGCTTGTGTTAGTGACGGAATTATGCAAACGTCGCGGTTCCTTCTCTAGCGGCCTGAAATCTGACGATTTAGAGTCCGATTTTCTATGTCTGTTCTATGATCGGATTGGTGCCTCACTACTGACTGCTGTAGTGGTGGCTGGACTAAGCTCTCCACTTGTACTGTTTACATCATGATTTGGTTCCTGCTGATGTTGTTCGTAGTATGCTTTGTTTCTTGCTTCAATTTTTAGTAATATTTCTTGAAAACAATCTGTAACCTGCTGGAGCTGGGAAATGATATGTGCACTACCATTCTTAGGCATCTGTGGAACAGATCAGCATCGAGGAGCAGTAGAGATAATGGTGGAGTGTTTTTTTTTCCCATCTGCTCTTATCCTTTGTCAAAGATCTAAAACACATGCATAAATGTGCGGTAGTACTGACTGTAGAGGTGTAGGATCTTTTGAGTTAGCATTAGATGCATTGAAGTACTGATAGGCTTGGATTCTTTGCAATCATGCCCATGGTTGCATGGAAAGAAAAAAAAAAGAACTGAACAAATGGAATATTGAATAACTTCTTTTGTTTGAAATTTTGGATTGTAATGAGCTTCTGCTACTTGTTATGGCCGGAGCTACCTGACTTTATGTGATTATGTTTGCTGGCTCTTTGGTGATCATGCTTTTGATGCTTGTGCTTATATCTTCCCTCCCTGGCAATCTGCCCTTCTGGTGATGCTCTCATTCGAACAGATGATTTCCTTTTTTCACTATTTTTGATAATGTCTTCTTTTATGAACCCATACAATGGTTTGTGTCATGTTGACTCATCTCCCTCTTCATTAAACTCATTCCTGTTTCAGTTGACCGCGAACGTCCAGTCAAAGTGTGCTGCAAATGTGTGTTCAAGATGGGCTGGTTTTGCAAGAACTTTCAGGTAATTATTATTATACACTCGCATTGTTTATTCTTCAGCTTATAAGCCGCAGCCAAAATTTGAATTTTAAAACTTAACTTTGGAGTTGTTTTGGTTTTTTTTTTCATCATAGTTTATTTTCTAGCATTTCCTTTTAAATTGCCAAAAACACATATGTAAAAGTTTTACTCCCAAATTATTTTTTGGTTGTTGATAAGCTGTTACAGCTTATAATCAGCACAAGCGAAACGATGACAGTATATCTTCCTTCAGACATTTGACTGAGGTTATTTTGGTGTGCATTTAACCATTTATGTTTATATTTTGCAGTGCAAAAGCAACTGGAAATGAGGTTATTGGAATTGATTTAGGAACAACTAACTCATGTGTTTCAGTTATGGAAGGAAAGGTTAGTTGCGTGCTAGATTCTGCGTGCTGTGTTAGTATGTTCGCTGTCTTGTTTAATGGATCTTTTTACTGACTGCAGAACCCAAAAGTAATAGAGAATTCAGAAGGAACCAGGACAACACCGTCAGTAGTTGCTTTCAATCAGAAGGGAGAGCTACTTGTTGGAACACCAGCCAAGCGTCAAGCAGTGACCAACCCACAGAACACTTTCTTTGGTACAAAGCGTCTGATAGGGCGGCGCTTTGATGACCCGCAAACTCAGAAAGAGATGAAAATGGTACCATATAAAATTGTGAAGGCTCTGAATGGTGATGCTTGGCTAGAGACAACAGATGGCAAGCAGTACTCACCGAGCCAGATTGGTGCCTTTGTTTTGACCAAGATGAAGGAGACAGCTGAATCTTACCTTGGAAAATCTGTTTCCAAGGCTGTGATTACTGTTCCAGCTTATTTCAATGATGCTCAGCGTCAGGCTACCAAGGATGCTGGTCGCATCGCTGGACTTGATGTCCAAAGAATCATCAATGAACCCACTGCTGCTGCTCTGTCTTATGGAACAAACAACAAGGAGGGTTTGATCGCTGTGTTTGACCTTGGAGGAGGAACATTTGATGTGTCCATTCTAGAAATATCCAATGGAGTTTTTGAGGTATGTTGTTGTATAACTTAGAATTCCTTGTTGTTACTTCCAGTTGTTTTTAAAATTGCTATAAAATACTTATTTTCTTTCCTGATGAGTGATTATGCTGTTGTCTCAGGTCAAAGCAACAAATGGTGACACTTTTCTGGGTGGAGAAGACTTTGATAATACTCTTTTGGAGTTTTTAGTAAGTGAGTTCAAAAGAACTGAAGGTATTGATCTGTCAAAAGACAGACTGGCTCTGCAGAGGCTACGCGAAGCAGCTGAGAAAGCAAAAATTGAACTCTCATCAACAGCCCAGACCGAGATTAATCTTCCATTCATCACAGCTGATTCCTCTGGAGCAAAGCATCTAAATATCACATTGACAAGATCGAAGTTTGAAAGTTTGGTGAATAGTCTGATTGAGAGGACTAGAGACCCATGCAAGAGCTGCTTGAAGGATGCTGGTATAACTACTAAAGATGTTGATGAGGTCCTTCTTGTTGGTGGCATGACAAGGGTTCCAAAAGTGCAGGAAGTTGTTTCTGAAATCTTTGGTAAGGCCCCTAGCAAAGGAGTAAACCCAGATGAAGCTGTGGCCATGGGTGCTGCTATTCAGGGCGGCATTCTCCGTGGAGATGTAAAGGATCTTCTCCTCCTTGATGTAACCCCTCTATCGCTTGGTATCGAGACTCTTGGTGGTATCTTCACCAGACTAATCAACAGGAACACTACAGTCCCCACGAAGAAAAGTCAGGTCAGTATGGTTTTACTCCTGGAACTAGTACAGCAGTTCTTCTGTATTATACTCTCTGCATTATACGCTAGAAATTTGAAAGTTATAACCCTTAATTTTGTGGAACCTATTGTAATGATCTGGATCTGTTAGTTTTCTTGGTGATATAGTACTGGTAGATATTAGTATTCCGTTGGCATCTGGTTGCATTATGCCTATGTATTTTCATATTTGCACAGCTATAGCATAGCCACACTTTGTTTTGTGTCGTACCTTTCTGTGATGATCTTACGGTGGCTTCATGTTTGTTGTCTCATGCAGTGCATGGCACAGCTTACTCCTCTGTTCTAGTTATTGTTCTTTGTACAATAGGACCTTAATTTACCTGTCAAGTCAATACAGAATTCTATGGTTTGTTTGCATGATCTAACACTGGCTGTGCCCATCTTCTACAGGTGTTCTCAACTGCTGCTGACAACCAGACGCAAGTGGGTATTAAGGTGTTGCAAGGTGAGCGTGAGATGGCAGCAGACAACAAACTTCTTGGTGAGTTTGACCTTGTTGGCATTCCACCAGCGCCAAGAGGTATGCCACAGATTGAGGTCACATTCGACATCGATGCCAATGGAATCGTGACGGTCTCAGCAAAGGATAAGGCAACTGGAAAGGAGCAGCAGATCACAATTCGATCCTCTGGTGGGCTTTCTGAGGCTGAGATCCAGAAGATGGTCCATGAGGCTGAGCTGCACTCCCAGAAGGATCAAGAACGGAAAGCCCTCATCGACATCAGAAACACCGCAGACACAACCATCTACAGCATAGAGAAAAGTCTGGGTGAGTACAGGGACAAGATACCTGCAGAGGTTGCCTCCGAGATCGAGACGGCGATTGCCGATCTCCGCAATGAGATGGCCTCGGATGACATTGAGAAGATAAAGAGCAAGATCGAAGCGGCCAACAAGGCTGTCTCAAAGATTGGGCAACACATGTCTGGTGGTGGGTCTGGTGGCTCGCAAGCAGGATCACAGGGCGGAGGTGACCAGGCTCCTGAGGCTGAGTATGAGGAGGTCAAGAAGTGAAATTGACCGTTGCCCTGCATTTAGGAGTAGTAGTAGCTAATTTTGTAAGAACTTCGAGATGCTAGAGCTGTGCACGGTGTAATAATGTTCTGGGGATTTTGTTCTCCTATGACACGTCTTCAATTCCCAAGGGCGTCCAATAGTGATGTACTCCTATAACTTTGGTTGCATGTGTTCCCTTGCTCGAGAGGAACATGGGCAACACAAGCTGGGCGTGATCCTCTACTCCTGTTAACTTGGATATCTTGTTCCTCTAATTCTGTATGTAAATTGCACTATCGACCTGGGTTTCAATGAAGCGGCGGGGTCGTTAGTTCTGTGTTTCCATGATGTTTACGGTTTACTGCGTCGATCATTTAATCTCCAGGTCTACTGCTTATCAGCAAGATCTTTTTGTGCTCCACATCCACAGAAAGTAATCATAAGCTCGCTACATCAGAATGTCCTAATTTTCTTCTGATATAACTATATTGTCGATCATAAGTTCCTAATTTTCTTCTGATTGACTATTTTGTCGTCAAAAGTAATGTAAATCTGAATCAGCCGGCCCTCGATTGAATAGGTGAATCAAGATCAAACATAAGAGGCATGGGATTTGCATCTATATCGATGGGAATGAGCACAATGGCTGTGTAATGTTAGGATACAGCCTCGTTGTGGGGATCGGAGATTTCTCCACCGAACCCCTTCGCCGAAAATGGACGTCGCACGCTACAGATGGTGGTTTAGAAGAAGCACCTCAAATTAAGAGGTACCATCCGAACGAAATGGACGAGAACCAGATGCCATGGAACCAACATTCATGGCCAGATCGAGAGAGAATGTTTGGATATGCATGCGAAAGCAGGAAAGCAATTGGAGATATGCAGTTCAGGTCAGTTCAGAAAACCTTGGACTTGGCCAGGTTACTATGCAGAAACCAATGCAGCCATTTGCTAGCCTCCTTCCCAAAGAGAGAAAGAGAGAGATGAAAGAGCCAATGACAAGGCAATGATGAAAACCTTTTCGCCTGTCAGACCAGCCAGAGAGAGCAGCCAAAGCTCTTCATGATTGCACACCGATCTTCCACAGTTTACGCCAACTCATCACCCATCAGGAGGAACACAAAGGATTTACATACCTTGATTTATATACCCCTGCATTGAATCTCCCCTTCTTCCAATAGACGAGACCACTACAAAAATAAAACTAAAAAAATGCTGATAAAACGAAAGACTCATGGAAAAGCTATCTCTGAGGGGAATGAAGCCTGGTTCGAGAACCCAAAGATCCGAGATAGATGTTCGCATCAAGATGAATGCATAAACCATCAAAAATCACACATCCTAAGGGGCCTTGAACCAGACAACATTCCACCCAGAAACAATAGCTTCCTTCAATCCCCTCTATCACTAGCATTGTGTCATTTGTTTCCCTTCCCGTCTATGCCAAAGAAGCAGAGAGGCAATGGAGCTATGTATAGATTAAGGCTGCGTTCGTTCGGGTAACATTGAGGGAGATAATACCTCGTTTTCCGCGCGCACTCTTTCCAAACGACTAAACGGTGTGTTTTTTATAAAAATTTTCTATAGAAAAGTTGCTTTAAAAATCATATTAATCCAATTTTAAAATTTAAAATAATTAATACTCAATTAATCATGAGCTAATGACTCACCTCGTTTGGCATATATTCCCAATCTCCTCAATCACCTTCTCCTCAAACTCACACCTAAGAGAGGCACACACAAGGAGTAGGGGAGACACACCCTGTACACTCTGGTGCTGAAGTGATGATGGTTTAAATGATTAGTACTCCTGTACATCGTAGGAGTATGCAAGATTAAACAGTGATGAACCATGAGCCACATTTTGACCTCGCTGTAGTACATAGCCACTGACAAAACAGGCCATATAGTACTTACCGGGCCCACTAGCCAGTTGCAGTAAGGTAGATATAGCCCTGTACACCCAGTGGCTGACAGTTGGGGTCCTAGCACAGTAGAAATATTACATGGCGAGGAGAAGGCATTGAAGAGCTATGAATAGAGGGATTCAATGGAGAAATACAAGGCAGCTAGTGCTTGTCCAGGGAGCCGTAAATGGTGGCCAGGTGAGATGCCATCCGACTATCCGAGCCGTCTGTTTTGATCTGGAAAACCCTAGGCGATCGAAAGAGGGCGGCGGGGTTGTTGCGGTTGGATGCGTGCCTCGAGATTCTCGATTTCTGCGCTTGGCTGCTTGCTCTTGTTCTGTTCCTCGCTCTCCCTACACAACAACGAGAAGGTGTGTTAGATCGATTTGGTGTTTACTGTTTAATTACGCAGATTATCATACTTGATCACTCAAGTACTCCTATAAGATATAATCAATCGACGTATGTACCGCGCTAAGTCACCAACACGTACATTTTGCTTACTGCCTCCTGTTCATAAAATACTGCTCCAGCTTTAATCTAAAAATTTGTCATATGAAAACTATATTTTCAAGTAGACCCTGCTAGCTAAATATTTTTATAGCAGTACTTTATTATTTTTCTTCTCATTTTAGTCATCAAACCAGTACTACTCTCATCTACTGCTCATTTTTCTCACCCTTATAGTTTTCTCTCCGTATTAATAAAGTACATAGTAAAATTTTAGTTTACTGTCTAATTTGTCTTTGATTACATGTCTTTTAGGAACGAAGAAGAGAGCTAGTACGTTTGAATTTGGAAAGGATTAGTGGCATTGGGCCATGGATTTTATCGTCCATGTTAACTGGAAGACAGAGCCAAATATTGTAGCTTTAAGAAATTTATTGTTGCATATCGATTTGTCGTTACTCGTTTCATTATTGATTTAGCGAATCGGGGCAACGCGATTATAGTACACGATAAATCTTGATCTTTCAAGGGAATTAATTCGGCCAAATCTATATCCTATCCGAAACAGAATGTAACTGAAGCTGTTAAACAGGGGAAAGCTCTCGATTTGCAAATATGCATTGGGAGACATAGACCAGAAAATAGTAGTGCACAGAGTGTTCAGACAACTGGCTAGTCCATTAGTGCCACTTATATGTTCCTTGTTCTTCATATATAGCGATATATATAGTTAAGCTGGGAATCAGTATAAAAGTGAGGGCAACATGCGGCGAAAAGATTGGCATAGAAGAAAAAAAAGGAGGTAAAAGAATATATGATAGTAATTATATTTTCCAACTCCCAATTATAAATGAAGGCCAGAAAATATGTAGAGCAAGCATGCATGCACAGTAGTACAGTGACTTTCTTATTTAAGGATCATTTATATTATTCCCTTTGTCTTTAAATATTTACACCACCATTAATTTTTAAACATATATTTAATTATTTATGTATAATAACTTTTTTAAGCATAAAGAAATATCTTTATTAGTGATAAAATAGGAATTACATTCATGCTTTAACAAGTCCATGCATGGTATACGCAGGGACACACAATCTCCCCTCTGCGCGCGACCTTGAACTCATCATGCCCAATTGACCAAGAATACATGAGCTACCCTTTCGCTTCTCTATCTTATGTACTTGTAGGCATGTGAATATATTCCACCGCCGCACGGAGATAAATAATAAAATATGTGTTTAATAGGTTGAAAAGATTTACTGGTATTGTTTTTTATTGTGCTTATAGAGGTATGATGTCCATGTGTACGTTTATAGAAGTCTGCATATGTTTATATGAGCATATGGATGTGTGTACTGTGTTTAAATTTTCTTTTACACAGAGACAAGTAAAAATTTGCGATCGGAAAAGGAAAAGGCAAAGCTAAAACAAGAAGTACGCTGCTTATCACCAGCGGCATCAATTAGTGCAATATGTACATGCCAATTTTACACCATGACACCGTGAAATATGGAGTACTGTAGTCAAGCGTTAAATGGTAAGAAACAGAGATGAGATCGATATATATATGTCAATTTTCCATGATAGTATATTATTATATCAATCAATTAATTCGCACCACATTAAAGAGTAGACATACATATCACAACCTCTCGTTCCTATAAATACTGAGCACTACACACCTGCCTGTACTATATGAGCTGATCACCTTGGATTGAAACACACCGAAAATGGGCAGGAGATACACCAAGAAATCGTCTCTGATGATACCTCTCCTGCTTATCATCCTTGTCGTCGCCGCTGCATCCACTACTGTTGCGAGTAAGCAAAATTAAGCCTGAGATGTATTGTACATGCGTTTTATTTGGTCGTTGTTCCTTGGGGTTTTGTCAGTAATATATTTGGATTTGGGTGATACGTACGTACGTAGGGTCGGCGTGGGTGGGGGACTACGCGTCGAACCACGGGTGCGGGGAGACGGCGGCGGCGGAGCTGTGCGATCCCCGCGACCCGGCGGCGAACCGCGCGTGCGACGACGCCTGCCACTACAACGGCTGCAGGGGCGGCCGCTGCATACTACTCTACCGAGGGCACCTGGACGGCGGCGACGGCGGCGGCGGCGGCCGCCGAGGCATCGGCCGGGGTTGCCACTGCCGTTGAGGGTGTGAGATCGATGCGATGACCGATCATGATGAGGAACAACTTGAATTGACAGCCGATGGATGAATCAATCGATCGATCGAAGTTGAGACGACATCGATGCGTGATTTGTTGCATGCATAATTTGGTAATGTGGAATTACTACATTTATTTCATACCTTGTTCGTAATCGTATACTATTAATTTGGACTTGAAAAGGGCAAGTAGGAAACTATTTCCATAGTTCAATTTCTCATGTCCATGGATGTGAAAATGCTCAAAATCGTGGATAAGTAAGAGAGATAAAACGGCAGGAATTAAACCGGTCGGGGCGTATGCACGCGTGAAATACGCGAGAACGTTGCGCGCGTGTCTCTGGGCCGTCCGTCGAAAAGGCTTCAAGGCCGGCCTCATGGGAGAAACGCGAGACACCACCGAGATGGGCTGAACTGGATCGGATATTGGGCTTTACGTTTTTTGGCCCGCGTAGCGTGCGTCTTGTCTTTCTCCAGATGTTGGGCCACAGCGCGAGGAGGCAGATGTGTGTAGGGCGCTGTGCGGCCCGACCGGATGCGGCCCAGCACTAGGGTCTTTTTTTTTAATCTTTGCATCACTAATTACATACTACTCCTCCGTCCAAAAAAATAATAAATTTCTACATGTGTCCAGATTCGTAGTTAGAATTGGTCTTTTTTTTTTGACGGAGGGGTACTTCTTCCATCTCATAAAAAAGAGACATTTAACTATTTGCCCCTTTTTAATATATGGCAATTAAGATTTTTTATGATATATATTATGATATATAGGCTCTCATATGTCTATGACACGTGAGTTCAGTGATAAATTCTTTAGAACTACCTGTAAGAGTGGCAAATAGTTAGTTATTCACATAAAATTGAATATAGTATAGGATGTAATGTATCATATTACTACGAATCTAAACCATTTTTAGATTCGTATTATTAGGACGTGTCACATTTAATACTAGATTTATTTTTTATTGGACGGAGGGAGTAATAGTTTTGCAAACAAAAGTTTTCACGACGAAAAAAAGAAGGGTGCGTTGGGTAGTAAACCCCAGCGCGGTGCAGTGCAGGGTGGGGGCAACCAACTTGGCAGCGCGGCGTAAAGGCAAACAGTTGCAATGCAAATGCAACGCCACGTTTGTAATGTACGCCCGCGCGGCGCGCCGCCGATGGTTGAAACCTGTCCTGCTCCTGCTCTTCTCCTGCCCGTGCTCTCACAACCTGTCAAGCTTAACTAATAGTACTTCATATAAGAGCTTGTTTAGCAGCTTGATTAAGCGGCTAGTTATTACTATGATTAGGCACCTCTCATGCATTATCGATGAACCCATGATTGGATCCGATATACACACACACACACACACTCCTATCTGGGTTAGATTTAATTTGGACTGCACAAGCAATCAGCAATCAGCAGTGCAAGCAGTAACTCGATCAGATCAGTTTCAATTCCTGGCACGCACACGCATTCAGGGAGGGATAGGAGGACCACACGGTTAGCATACGAGATCCAACTCCACCTGCCACTGCTCTCTCTGCACATCTCGTACTTGCTCTGATCAAACTGTCTCTCCATGGATGGGTATATGATATAATCCCCCTTTTTTATCACGCACGCATGGATTAATTTCGCACGATCCAGTTAATTTCAGCCCAAAGCTAGGCCCACACAATATTGCAAGCAGCTGGCATTGGCCATTACCTACCGGAGGCGCACGTACGTACAACATGCCTGCCTTTACGTTTTCTGCCGTATGAAAACGGTAACGTACTCTCTATCTAATTAACAACCTAGCTACTCCTGAATACTCTCAGAGAGAGAGAGAGAGAGAGAGAGAGAGATTGTTCTAAAAAAGAAAAAGAAAGAGAAATATATACAAGGAAGCTAGAAAATTAATAATTTAGCGAAGACTGCAGTCTGTACGTACATACGTACACATCCTAGCTAGCATAAGTAGCAAAGGTACACTGCATACATTGTCTTCGATCAGCAATGTACACTGTGCACAGTTTTCAGCCACCCAACTGTTCCGTGTAATTACAAATACAACGACGCATGAACGGTCAGTACATTAGTACTCCTCCTAAATGTGTATACTTACTTACAACAAGTTGCAACTGACCAGAGCTGTGGGTGATAATAATAATAATAGTGAGTACTTAGCTACTTCGTCCGTTTTATATTATAAGTTATTTTAACCTTTTTCCGAATTAAACTTCTTTAGTTCTGACTAATAAGTTTACAGAAAAATTTAGCAACATCAATAAAACCAAATTAGTTTTATTAAATATAAATTCAATATATTTGATAATATATTTGTTTTGTATTGAAAATGTTGTTATATTTTTCTACAAACTTGATCAAATTTTTAAAAAAGTTAGCTAAAAAAGTTAAAAAAACGATTTATAATATGAAACGGAGGTACTAGCAGGCTATCAAATATATATATCAGTAATAACGGCACTTAATTCATGCCACTAGCTATGCGAGGGTGAAGAAATAATTTAGGCAGTTGGAACTAACTTCTCTAGCTGCCAGGAAGATCGATGCATGGATAGGTAGATGGAGATATATTGGATGTGTGGGCGACAGCAAAAAAAGCTTCTTTCTATCACCTATTCTTTCGGATCAAAAGGATAGATAGATCAGTACCTTTAATTACATCATTTAGCTGTGGGCATTCAAAGCCGTATGTATAATATCCAGCTATAACACGCTGCCTGTATACTCCTGTTGGTTGTCAATTAAAAATACGATGTTTTAGAAAACGCAGTCATCAAACACAAAATCTTATAAATCATTAATATGAAAAGAGTATACGTTAAGATATTTTATGTAAAATGTCATGAAAAAGACTTATTATTTACTTAGTAGATTTTAAATGACTCATAGTATTACTAACAATGTCGGTGCTGTAATAACGTTAAGTAATTAAACAAACGAAGTATATACGTACCGGCCTTGTGTTTGTGTGAGCAGAGAACATTAATTTGATCCAGTTTGACCGACCGGCACATCTTATCGCAGTTAATCCTTTCTGGTATTAGTTCAGTACCCTTCTATTTCATATAAATCAACGTACCTCGTATTAGAATGTAACATACTCCCTCCATTTTTTAATATATGACGCCGTTGATTTTTTCTCACATGTTTAATCATTCGTCTTATTCAAAAAATTTACGTAATTATAATTTATTTCGTTATGAGTTGTTTTATCACTCATAGTACTTTAAGTGTGATTTATATCTTATACATTTATATAAAATTTTTGAATAAGACGAATGGTCAAACATGTGAGAAAAAGTCAACGGCGTTATCTATTAAAAAACGGAGGTAGTATATTATTATTGTGAATCTGACTATATATACTGCTCAGATTTATAGTAATATGATGTGCGATGTTGGTTTATTTTATTACTAATTAGCACCTGCACCAACAGCAGTGAAATGATATGATCGATCAATCCCGATCATTAACCGCATGCATGCCACTGTTTTACCAACCTACGTAGGAGTACGAGCTAGGCTCGAAATGTACGTGTCCAGTACTAAAAGGAACATTCACACACATGAGTGCACAGTTACACAGGAGTCTATAACTACATGCTCTGATAAAATGGTAAAAAATATAAGGGAGAGAAAAAAAATGCAGTAAACAACACAGTTTTTGACAGTTTGGACATACTACGGTACATACGTACCACAATAATTTTGAGAGTTCTAGCACGCAACAGATCACTGTTGCCTTCACCTGGAAAACTTAAATAAACATATATATATATATATATATAAATATAATTTCAGTTAACTAATTTGATGCCAGTAGCCTTTGAGGATCTTCTGATTTGTATTGATTCCTTATGTTTCAGACGTCTGTACATTCTCAAATAATTTAGTAGTTCACTACTGAGGACTTAATTAACAAATATACAACTTGATAATAGTATACTGTTTTAGAGAGGGGTTAATTAATTTAATTGGATCTCAGCTTGTAGCTAGGAGTTGTCCATACCCTATTAGAGATCAAGAAGTACCATATGCAGCAGCTAGCTGAGATGCTTGTTTTTCTTGTTGGATGTTCATGCACAAAACTTTGTGTAGTACCAATTCATTCTTTCACCCTAGCTTTTCCCCTTTGTTTTTCTTCTTTTTAAAAAGCATGTTCATGCATGCAAGCGTGAAGCTAGCTAGCGTTAGCATAAAGGAAAAGTCAATCAACAGGAGAACATGTAAAAAAGTACATGGTTTTTGTTGCTAGATACTCTGGCTATGTGGACAAGTGCATGTGCATTTCATTTCATTGCCGTAAACTTTACTATTTTTCTCAAGATGACATGATGGTTCCATCGTATAAATTAGCTAGTTGTCGCTCTCTTTTTTTTATTATGGAGATGAACAACATTCCGGCTAGCTAATTAAGGGGGTATCTTTAACAACAACATGCAGCTTAATTAAGGATGTTAGTTCCATTGTTTAATACTGAACTACCTTATTTTGGACCAGCTGCTATATATATGAATTCATCATCCCCACGCAGCTGTGTTCACTAATGTTTGCATTATTGCATTTTATATATATCAACCATACGTACACAAAGCATTCATTTTTCTTTTGTTTAGATATTTTTTAAGAGTAAATTGCATATTGTACTGGGTAAAGCACACCTTGTTTATTCACTTTACACCAGGGTATATTGAAATAAGTTTCACTTTACATTAATTAGGTGTTGTATCATATACTCACTCCGTTTCATATTATAAGATTATCCAGTATTATATTGCCCACATTTATATATGTGCTAATGAATCTAGACATATAACTTGCAAAATATAATTAAAAAATATAAAATATTTTTGAATTTAGACCATGTTGGATGAAAATTTATCAAAAAATGATGAAATGTCATGAAAATTCTATATATCTGATGATGTATCGATCCTAGTGTTAAGTAAAACTTAAATTGTTAAACCCTAGTATAAAGCGAAAGCGTGTGCTAAAAACCTGATACCGAGCAAAACAAGATGCACTTTACCTGATGCAATGTACAATACTCCCTTCATCCCAAAAATAAATGCAACCCTGTAGTTTAAATTTGGATGCACTTATTTTGGAAGGAAGTATTATCTATTTCTAAGCACATAGAGAGAGAGAGAGAGAGAGTTTCTTTTATTCTTGATGAAGGACTAGTACTTAATTATCTATGCCATGCTTGTCACAACTTTTCTACTACTATACCATTTGATTAATTAGCAGTAAAAATGAATAAGTTCAGGAATCAAAAACATGTGGATGCATGCATGCATGTTACTAGCAACTAGCACTAGTACCTAATCAAGCTTAGCTGAGCTAGAATGGGAGTGACCTGTGTGGTACGCAACGTGGGGCGTGTGGGGTTAGCGAGAGGGGGTCCGCGTTCGCGTTTATACTCACTCACATCCCTCTCTGGATGCACGTTGCGCGCCACCACCACCATCTCTCTCTCTCTACCCCTGCCCTGCCGGGCCCACCACACAGGCTGTTACAGTGTGGCCTTGTCTGGCCACTCTCGTCCACCCTCCTACCGCTTAATTCTCCTCTATCTCTCTCTCTCTCTCTCTCTCTCTTTTTTGTTTTCTTTTGTCTTTCTTATAATTAATTGATCTCTCTCTCTCTCTATCAATAATTCATTGTGATCATCTAGCTACAGTGCTGTGTTTGATGTGTTGCATTGCAATGCCTCCCCCTTGTGATTTTACAGTGAATTTGTGAAAAAACAAAGAGGGGCAACAACGTACAGCAAGGACGGCCTGTTGTTGTGCAGGAATCAGAGCATCGTGGGATCCAAAATGTAGGGTCCAGATTCCCCGGCCACTCTGCACCATCAAACCTGAAAATCACACATGAGCTTAGCTAGCTTACCAGTACTAGTATAGCTACAAAGTGACATACAGTTAATAGTATAGTAAAACATTGAGTTAATTAGGTAGTTTTAGTGACTTGATTAAATTAACCCTGGAAGGAGTACTATTACAGGGCAGGAGGGGGGAGGGTGGCCGTACGTAGCCATCCTGACAGCGCATGCAGCATCTGGTTTGTTCTGTCCATCTATCTATCACCTCCTTCATCTCTCACATCATCATCGTCATCTTCACCTTCGATCCGCAGAAGCATTTCTTTCCTCGCCTTCTTCTTCTTCTTCACAGCACAGTGCCTTTCTTTCTTTCTTTCTTCTCCACCGCCCTAGTATTATATTTAGTACAGCCCTATCGCTGCTGCTGCTACAGTAGTGACCAGTACTAGTACTACTAGTATACTGCTCTCTCTTGCTAGCTTTGCCTCCTCTTCTTCTTCCTCCTCGCCTTCTCCCTGGCCTTGCAGTTGCAGCAACCACCATATCTCTGCCAGCCTAGTACTATCTCACTCTTCTCTTCTCTCTCTTTCTGCTTAGCTAGCTCGAGGGTTAGCTAAGCTTAGCTTCTCCTCTCTTTTTCTTTCCTCTTTTCCTCACTGGCTTCTTTCCAGTTAGTACTACTACTGGTAGCTGGTAAAGCTTATTAGGTCGTCGTTGTGGATGGATATGGATGCCATGGCTCCGTCTCTCTCATAGTCCACACTACGAGCTAGTTAGCCACTCAGCAAGAGAGAGGAGACCGATCGAGCTCTCCATCTCCTTCAAGCTCATGCATGCACTAGTGTTGCTGCTGCTGCTCGTCGCATCGCAATCTCATCATCATCCCCACCTCAACACCTCAATTCCACCACTGTCACGCCGGGTCTAAGCTAGCAATCGATCGATCGATCGACAGCGAAAGATTAGTCCGTCTTTTTCTTTTTGTTAATTTGTTGGCATGCAGCAGCCGGGGATGCCGCCATTCTCGGCAGCCGGCGGCGAGGGGGCGCCGTCGCCGATCAGCAGCCGGCCGCCGCCGCCGGAGCAGGCGGCGGCGGCGGCGGCGGAGGAGCAGCTCAACGGGAGCTCACTGGAGCACGACGGGGTGCTGGGCGGCGAGGAGGGCGACCGGGGCGGGTCGTCGGCGGGCAACCGGTGGCCGCGGCAGGAGACGCTGGCGCTGCTCAAGATCCGGTCGGAGATGGACGCCGCCTTCCGGGAAGCCGCCCTCAAGGGCCCCCTCTGGGAGGAAGTCTCCAGGTTAGCTAGCTACCTAATTAACTTCTTCTTAATCCCAAGAATTAATTACTCATAATCCATCTGATGAGCATGAGCATGGCCAGCATGGTCAAAATTCGAGCTCAATTTTGGTTAGATTTGCATGATATATCGGAGAATTAAGCTTGCTCGGCGCGCGGCAATAAGGTACTAGCAGCTTAATTGCGGCGACGACGAGACGAGCACAGTGAATTTCCCAATTAAAAATGACACACATATCGCTCTCCCTCCTCCGCTTTTCGGTTCCCTTTTGCCCTTTGCGTCACTTCATGTATCCAGCGCCACACTGCTGATGATGCTGTTCGTATCAGTAATTACCCTTTAGCATTATATAAATATATACATGCTTCTTCAGATCCGATGTAATTAAGCATGCAGCATCAATCCCAAGTCCAACAATTCCAAAGGGGTAAATTATCTTTCGCTCTCTACCACCCACATGCAGTAAAAAAATTCTGTGCAAATGGATATGATATAGGGTAATTAAGTGCTAGATAAATAGATTGTTCTTTTCAGTGAGAGCAACATGCATGTAGATGTAGCTAGGTAGTAGTAGAATGTTACTAGCTTAGATGCATGCATGTGTCGTCGTTGCTGCGAACAAGTTGTGATGGCAACATGAAGGGGAGATGATGAGTTGATGACGAGGTTTAATTTGTGGCTGCCATGGCGTGGCGTGCAGGAAGCTCGCGGAGATGGGGTACAAGAGGAGCGCCAAGAAGTGCCGCGAGAAGTTCGAGAACGTCGACAAGTACTACAAGCGCACCAAGGACGGCCGCGCCGGCCGCGGCGACGGCAAGACCTACCGCTTCTTCACCGAGCTCGAGGCCCTCCACGGCGCCGCCGCCGCCACCGCGCGCCCGCCGCCGGTGTCCCTCGCGCCGGCGCCCGTGGCCGTGGCGCCGCCGGCCACCCCTGCGGGTCTCTCGGCGTTGCGCGTCCACGCCTCGCCGCCGCCGCCGCCTGTCAAGCAGCACGCCGCTCCGCCGCCGCCTGTCATGGATGTGGCGGCGTGCGTGATGACGATGGACGACGTGAGCTTCTCGTCGGGGTCGGACACGGAGGAGACGGCGGAGGAGGGCGGGAAGCGGAAGCGGAGGGGCGGCGGAGGCATCGGCGGCGGCGGCGGCGGCGGGAAGGCGATGAGGATGTTCGAGGGGCTGATGCGGCAGGTGATGGAGCGGCAGGAGGCGATGCAGCAGAGGCTTCTGGAGGCGATCGAGCGGCGCGACCAGGAGAGGATGATCCGCGAGGAGGCGTGGCGGCGGCAGGAGGTGGCGCGCCTCGCCCGCGAGCAGGACGCCCTCGCCCAGGAGCGCGCCATTGCCGCCTCCCGCGACGCCGCCGTCATCTCCTTCATACAGAGGGTCACCGGCCAGTCCATCGCCGCCGTGCCACCGCCGCCGCTGCAGCCCACGCCGGTGGCTTCCGCTGCACCACCACCACCACCGCAGCATCATCATCAGCAAACACCACCACCGATTCAGGTTCAGCCGCACCACATAATGCCGATGACGCCGCAGCCCCAGCTGCAACCACCGCAGCCGCAGAGCAAGGAGGCCAACACCGTCGTCCGGGCGGCGCCGCCGCCGCAAGAGCAGCACGACACGGCGGCGTCCGGCGGCGGCGGCGGCGCGTCGTCGTCGAGGTGGCCGAAGGCGGAGGTGCACGCGCTGATCCAGCTGCGCACAGAGCTGGAGACGAGGTACCAGGACTCGGGGCCCAAGGGGCCTCTCTGGGAGGACATCTCGGCGGGGATGCGGCGGCTGGGGTACAGCCGGAGCTCCAAGAGATGCAAGGAGAAGTGGGAGAACATCAACAAGTACTTCAAGAAGGTGAAGGAGAGCAACAAGAAGCGCCCCGAGGACTCCAAGACATGCCCCTACTACCACCAGCTCGACGCGCTCTACCGCACCAAGGCGGCCAACGCCGCCGCCGCCGCCTCAGCCTCGCCGGCTCCGGCGACCACCACCGTGCTTGCCCCGGTGCCGCTCTCCCAGACGCCGCCGCACGTCGACCACGGCGGCAGCAACGGCAATGGGAATGGGTGGGCGAGTGCCAACAACGGCGGCGGCGGCAGCAGCTCCGGGGGCATGCAAACGAAGGCTAGCAACAATGGCACGGCGACGGCCGGCGGGCTGCCCGTCGTTTCGGTCGCCGGCGGCAACGGCAACGGCAACGGCGTGGCGGCGACGACGGATAACAAGGTAATTAGTTAAAAACGCATTGCATTTAACTCGTGCAGTGTACTTGTGCGTGCACAGGCACATGCATGTACGCATCGTTGCCTGTACGATTCGTTCTGATCGATCGATGTCACGTATCAAATCTGTAAATTTAGGGATCGAAGCAGGTGCCCGTCGCGAAGGAGACGGCGGGGCAGAGGCAGCCACAGCCGTTGGCCATGAACCACAACTACGGCAACGACAGAATGGCCGACGACATGGACAGCGACAGCATGGACGACGACGACGACGACGACGAATTTGACGACGACGAAAACGACGACGACATCGGCGGTGGCAAGATGCAGGTGCAGTACGAGACGTCGTCCCATTTCCAACGGCCGCAGCTGCAGAACCAGAACGTCGTCGTCGGCCGGCCAAACGCGAGCGGCGGCGGCGGCGGTGGCGCTCCGACGACACCGGCGGGCCCTCCGCCGCCTGCGGCAACAAGTGGGACGTCATTCTTGGCCTGCGTCCAGTGACGACGACGACGACGACACGACGACATATATACACCAAGAGAAATATGCTCAGGTGGTGGCGATCTCGATCTCGATCTACTATCTCCTGTACCATATGGACCTAGCTAGCTAGCCATCCACTTGCATTCTTTAACTCCTACAACTACACTATATCGATCCCTAGTTAGCATAAGCTCGTTAAAACCTGAAGGCCAAAATTTACTGTTCCTTGCCTAGATTCCAAGTTCCAACAACCTGATCTTTTCCGTATATTTCTTCTCCTTTCCTGCACATAACATTATTTATCGTCGTATACACCTTGTACATGTCACACACTCACCATGTCCATACAAACATAAATGGTATTGGGGGACCTCCTGGAGGGAGAGATCTAGCTAGAGAGAAGATAAAAAGGAGGTGAGATATCTTTGTACATGTGAAGGGTTTTGCGTACGTAGGTACATGTCTGTTTTTCTCTTTAGTGCTGTATTAACAGTCCAGTGCTCAAGTACTACAAGCTACGGCAACCGAGAGAAAGGCATGCATGATCATGCTTCTTTTTTTTGGGTATACTTTCGGATGTTCTTTTTTTTTTCTTTTTAGAAATTTTACTGTCTGTTATGTGTTATGCAAGTTTTCTTTGTCATACTGTTGGTGAATTGTACACTTGGTAATTGTAAAATCATTGAGGTTAATATATATGCGGGCATATTACATCCTTAGTGTGTAGCAGCTGCTCGATCCATTATTACCTGATACACGGCATGGCCATATATCTATGTATGTAGTATTGTAGGCGTCAGATCGAGATGCCCGGTACTTGCAGTAAAATATGTCAAGTTCTGGTTATTCTCTAGGATCCAAAGTTTTGTTTATTATTCTGAACTGTTTTAGTTTAGATCTACTCCAGTATGCTGAGTTACGTTGTGCTAGCTACCTGTTGTGCAACCTCTCTCAATCCAGTACAGAAACCACATGAAAATAATTAAACATGGAACATGCATACAGGGAACATGCTAAGTTCCGCTTAGATCTAGTAGCTAGTGGATCTAATTAACATAGCAAATGTAAATGTTTTCATGGCAACAAATTAAATCGGTAATACTGTACATAATTTCTCCAATCTTAAACACATATAGGGTTGCAGTTTCCAGATTCTTTCAAATATCAGTTTTTACAGTCTTCGAAGGGTATTTAGAGGTATTTCTTCCATGTTAAATCTGTGTACTACCTAGATTGATAACTCTTCTTAGCTCAAGTTTAAACACGATAATATATATCACGATATATATACCTCTTATCTTCTATTAATTGTGCGTACGCCCACGATCTAATTAAGCAAAACTTTTAGCACTCACTTAAGTGCTTCCTTTGGTAGCCACTAGCCAGCAGGAATTGTCCGACGACGTACGTGAGTTGAACCGTGCCATGTATTACTAGTTGATTTAGAAATACCCATGAAATCCCGGTGTTCGAGACAGGTCATTTAGAACACTAAATTTTACAGTGTTTTTTTTCCTTTTTGCAAGACTAATCTATAGAAAATTTCACACCAAACCAACCAGAACTTACAAACTAAAATCCAAAAAATACCGAGTAAGAAATTTCATGCATGCGAGTCACCTGACTGGAGCGATGACGTGCAATATATATGTATGTACGTAGCCGCAGGAGGAAATGGTGCGGATAGAGAGGCGGAAGCTTGGAGTTTAGAGCCAGGAGTAGCAACCCTACAAAATTAGTTTGGACATCAGTGGCGGATCCAGCCGCATAAACGGTTGCAGGGCATTCAGCGTATAGCGAGGTGAGGTCAGTACTAAAGTAGCGTGTCACAGACAGATATATATACTTAGAAAGATTAATTTTCATTTCTTATACGGAAGAAAAAGGGAGCTTGCTGCAAACATCTACTACGGATCTAAGTTTGCTGTACTAACTTTCATGCGAGCGAGGTATATGTAGTACGTACGGAGTATACATCTTCTTTTTTTTTTTTGCAGGCATCAGCACGTGTAGAAACTCCACTCTGCACGAGCTAGTCACTGTTTTTTTTTTACCCCACTCCATCTACCTACTCGTACCAACATCTTGTTCTGTAGAAGCACTACTTATGCACAGTTGCACACACCATAGGCCGGTAGCTTAATTAATTGTTGGAATAGAAAAACTGAACAGCTGGGAATTAATTCTACAGAAATATGTAAAGTTAACACCATTTGAACATATTCTATGGAGCTGCAAAATTAAAGTAGCAGATTAATTATGTTCTCAAACTGACTGATTAATTGATATACAATTATACAATACAAGCATTGGCACTGGGGTTGCATACAAGACCACATGGGGCCAATTTGTCTTGAATGCCTTATGTCGGGTTGCCATTTTGTTAGCTTGGCACTGTTGCCATTGCTGATGGCTTAATTAGGTGGGGAAGATGAATTAAACGGGGCAGACGCTGCGTGCGTGCGAGTTTAAGTGCCCACTCGCTCGGGCACCCTCACGCTTATACGCTCACACAGCTCTCATCTCATCCACACGTGCGTGTGACTGCTGATGTTGTGACTGTGGCAGTAGCTACCTAGTAGCAACTCTGCAGCTAAATTAAATTAGCTTCCTTAAAATTTTGGTTTGTCTGATCACCTTGTGTAAAACTGTTTCGTTAAATGGCATTCAGTTAAGTGAAAACGACTTCCATTAATAGCATTAATTAGCCTAAGTTGGCACATAAAACTACCCCATCGGGCTAGACTATTCCCTCAATTAATTGTCACAAACAGTAGCGGGAGCAGTTCTATTTCCCATCAAATTTTGCACACGTATATATATACTGTATTAGCCAGGAGGGTAAAAGAAATATGCGCGCATCTACAGTTAAATTCTGGAGTACGTTACATGTATATATATGTCAGCAAGCAGACAGCACACAAAATTAACAACTCGGAGAGAAAAGATGTATATATCGGCGTGAAAATCATCAAACAAAGGGATAAATATTATCTAAAAGACAAGATACATAAATGGTTAGAGAGGAGCATCTTGCATACCTAAGGCGACAAACTGGTAAAGGGGAAAAGCCATCCATCCCTCCATCCACCACAGGCGCGAGAAAAGGTGATGCCAAAATGATGGGGTCACAGCGCAAATGATAAGAGGAACGAGGGGGAAGCCCTCGCGTTGATTCGGCAGCGTGTAAAATTGTACGAACCTGACTAGTGGATTAATATGCCGCCTGACAACGACACCATTATGCATGCATGAGCTGGTTTCTTTTGATCTGTTTCAGGATTCAGATTGTTACTGGATTGTACTGTACTTGCCCATGAAAGATCAAATTAAGAATTAAGGTGATTGCTTCTTTACTACAGCGATTCAGTCAAGAAGCTATGCTGAGCAATATACATGTTGCCTGTAGAGAAGTTAAAAGAGAGGGGAAAAAACATGGCGCTAATATATAGAAAAACAAAGTATAGTGCTATACAGTAGCAAAGAGGGGCACAATACATATGAAGATGCTATACAATTGCAACACATGTGGTACATTAAGATCAGGCGGTTATACATCTAATGGAGTGAAAAGGGACTGTACCTGATTGCAATGTGCCCATACTGTAGATAAGCCATGGCGACCATTCACTTCCAAACATTTGTGGTCCATTTGGGTGCTCATTGACACAATACAGCCTAACAAGTGAATCATCAGTATGGTCCCATCATGCTGGAAGGAGAGCTGAATTATAAGGGACGATCTAAGCATATCTTTCTTTTCTTGTCTTGTATCAGTGAGGAAGTAAATTCACATTCTCACAATAAAAATCTAGCAAGTTTTTGATGGACCACTTCAGAAAAAAAAAAGAATCTTGTATCCATGAGATTTTCACATATATATGTACACGCTTCTGAGATTAAAAGAATTCTATCATCTCTAACTCTAGACTTGATGATGCTAGGGTAATCTTTAAGTATGTACTCCCTCCGTCCCAAAATAAGTGCAGTTTTACACTATTCACGTTCAACGTTTGACCGTCCGTCTTATTTGAAAATTTTTTATGATTAGTATTTTTATTGCTATTAGATGATAAAACATGAATAGTACTTTATGTGTGACTAAATGTTTTTAATTTTTTCACAAATTTTTCAAATAAGACGGACGGTCAAACGTTGAACGTGAATAGTGCAAAACTGCACTTATTTTGGGACGGAGGTAGTAGAATACTACAACCATAAAAGCTTGCCTATAAGAGAACTTTAATGACAACTATTGACACCAGTAAATTTCCTTTCTTTCTTTTTTTTCCACCTTTACAAAGTGTTAGGTGCCAGCGCCACTCTGTTACCTTTTCAAGTTTCAACACTAAAAGCTTAACAAAATAACAAGTGAAGTTAGGACCAATTGTTGACAGGGATGCTTCATCAACAAGTATGACTACAACTAGTCCTGGGCTCATGGCAGCCTGGCCAGCATATGTAGTTTTCTTGAATATAATTAAACTGCTGCTATAGTGAAAATATATATCGAAAAATGTATTGTTGTATCTAATAAATATACTTGAAAATATTCATGTTACTGTCTCACAATGTACACACTTGTGAATGCGCCATTTACATGCACCACGCAATTTAAGTGGTAAAAGCATATTTTCAAGGGCATCTTTTACCACTCAGTGGCCCAAAAGGGTGGGGTTCCAATCCAATCCGTGTGGATCTTAGTGCTCTATATGGATGGGCTGGTTCTACTCTTTCGAATGAGGCCTCAGTGAAAAGATAAAAGTAAAGCTTCCGAGGAAAATTATGCGCACCTCGGTATTTCATTTGATACCACATCTGGATACTCCCATGTTTTATTGGGCATTGACAGGCATGGCCATGGATATCAACCATTGACCTGTATAGAGAGCATCCAAATCTTTATGCAAGTGGCCCACTATACACCTGCAAGAAATCATTGATGCATTTTGCTAAGTTATTTATCAATAATATAACTGTAATAAGGTTCTGCCTGAACAATTTTCTTCAAAAGTAATTTCCACAAGGAAAAGAGAGCCACATAACCTCACCAGCTTAAATATATTTTTATTGGCTACATAACCTTAAGTGCAGAAATTACTGGTTTCAAAAAGAAACAACAAAAACTGCAAGTATACTGCAGAATATTAAATACTGCTACTTTACGAAAGAGTAATATAATGCAATAAGAAAATAGGAAATCCAACCCTGAGCATTCCTGATCTTCTATGAAGATACCTAAGACGCACAAACCTTGATCGTTTAAGCTTAACAATGAGCTGTTCCGTGGTTGTCTACAACAATTAAGTCCTTCCAAGGTGACAGGAGTTGTCCATGCCACAACAATTGCCTAATCATGTGGATAGCCACAAACACTTCCATTTCTGAAGGTCAAAGTGCAAAAATGTTGATCCATTTTATCTTCATCGTATTGTGACCCATCCCTTACAGCACACACACTAGCATTGTCATGCCATATGTATCACAAAACCACAGAAAGTGGCCCATCCATATCATTACCTAAAAGGCTAGGTCATCTTATTCTTTTGCAGGAGTTATAGTTAACAGTGATTCAAAACTATTAAGGGCTTGGCTGCTGGTTGCTCATTTGAATTCCATCCAATATTGTTTGAATACCCACTTGATACTTGTTCTCTTTGCTACAAAATAGTTTTATTGAATAAGGGAATGAAAAATGAAAAGGACTACTGAATGTTTAAAGCCACAATGTTATCTTAAAATGCTGACCTGGTGCAATGGTAAAGAGATGTAAACTAGAAACGGGAAAATTAAGACCTTGGTGGTTATTCCTCTGCCAGAGAAGTCCAGCCAAGACCAAAAGTTATACAGAATATACACCAGGTAATATGGAGAGACATTGTTCGCATCCCATGTTACCTCATCCAACTGTTGTTCCCCACTGGTGCGGTTGTGCTCTCCCTTTACACATGGCCTCATAACTAACCCATTCCCTCTTCTGCCTTTGTTAACATAGCATGGGCCATCCTGCCTCTACAGATTAATCATCATTATTGTTCTCCCCCCTCAATTGTACCCTGCATGTCCACAATAGAACACTATTCTATAAGGCCTGCGTAGTACACCAATACAGTAAATATAATACAACAAATTGTTTGAAAGTGCATCCACCACACATATAGTGAATTATTGTGTGCACTAACTGGTTAGTCTGTATGGGAACAGGAGCTAACTACAGGATGAGAATTATCTTTGAGAAGATTTATGCAAACATAGTTCCATCTGCAAAAGTTAACCTATATCACAAACCCATACTCAAAAAAATTGGTAATTGAAAGCTGACGGAGATGCAAGATATTCCATATGGGTGGAAGTTCCCATTCTCATCAAAGTGCCATGATTTATCACTTCACATTGATGCCCAACTGCACTAACCTTCGTTTTCAGGGCAATCTCTGAGAAGTTGTCATCATGTCACCCGTTAAGATGTGACATAAGTATTTGAGCAAGTGGGTCAGTACTTTAGATAGATAACTACGAAAATAGGTTTTAAGAGCGGATCACACGCCACAGCTGTAACTAGGAAAAGAATCCTGCAGCCTTAAAATATGGTAACCTTACTGTTGAACAATAAAAACATATGAACAAAAGTTCAGACACTTTTCCAAAGATGTGAGTGGATTATACTTTTTTGAGGTTATTTCAATAGATAGGCCAACAATTCTCATAGCTTCAATGGAGAAAATGAAAACTATATTAGCCAAAAAGGAAAAAATTGTACGGGACCTCATCAGTTAGCATCGTACCCGAAATAGAAATATTATCACCAAGCCATCTTGAAATCTCCAGATTTGCAATGCATACAACTTATTAATCATTTAGCACATCCCATCTTAGGTTTTACACCTGCAATGAATTCTCAGAAAATCAAATCACCAAACGAAGTATGAATCTAGTTCATGACAGCAGAGATGTACTAACAAAATTGGTCCAGAGTACAAACTGCTAATCACGTGTTAGATTTTTTTTTTTAAAAAAAACTTGCATTTGCTAGATGTTTTATAAAACTTGGTGCATCATTTAGCACATCTCCAAACTGTATCACCTTTGTATGAGACTATGACACTATGAAGTAAGGAAGATTAAAGCGTTGTACAAATTTTATACCTCTAAAACTTAAATCAGGCCATCAGAAGAGAACTCAACTTCAGAGACTCAATGGTATGCGATGGCTACTGAACCAATGATGTCACTAACGCATACTGATATTTATACACTAATAGCTTGAAACTGTTGTGGAGGAGTGGTACTCAATCTATAAAATAATGTGAGCATCATGGGGAGGATACAGTGAGAACATAGTGGCACAAGCAAACACAGCATAAACAGGCTAGTGACGTGCTTCAGCCTCACTTGGAATTCGACCACTGATGGTGGCGCAAATGTCAAGCAGCATTGCTCCGTAGTCTAAACCATATCCTACATAGTGCATGTACTTCACCGATGCTTAACTGGACATGCCGATGTAGCAATCATTAGCACTTTACACATATCTGGTTCAGGTTCAGACAGTAGCAGCAATTGTACCCCAAAAAAAAAACCATCAAGCGACGGGGAAATCCGCATCAAAAACCTTGCTCATACAAGCTAATCATGGTGAGAATACAAATTCAGCGCGCAAAAGCATCATGGATCAGTGGATTACCGTTACTTCCCCGCAGGCAGCCGTTGCGACCTAGTGGGGAGACCCCTCCTCTGCCCCCTCCAACCGCGACGCACTTCGTACCGGATGGAGTTAGAGGGGATCGCGAGGGGGATGAATGCACGGAGCCGCCTCACGAGCAGCCGCGATACCTAGCCCCGGCTGAAACCCTAGACCTCGCGGCGGCCTCCATCTCCATGGGCACCGCGAGGGAGAAAATTGCATATCTACCATCCCATAAGAATGGCTTCGCTAGAATACCATTATGAAAACGGGCTTCGCTGGAATACCATCCTCAACCAGAGTGTCTTCGCCAAAATGCCATCCTGGACGGAAATGCCCCTGGCTCTTCTTCTTCCTCCATCCCGCGCGTGAAGAGCTCGCCGGCGGCCATGGCCATCTCCACCGCCGCGCCGATGCTGCCTTGCCGACGGCGATTGGGGCGCTGCCCTCCCCTGCCATCCCCACCTGCGCCTGTGCAGCTGAGGTCGTCGCGGAAGGACTCCGGCGACGACGCGTGGATCCCGCCGACGCGCGTGAGCCGGTGGCGCAGCTCCTGGCCATCGCCGCCTCCTCGTTGCCACCACGTAGCCAGCCGCCGTCGACCGCGCCAGTCGCCACCGCACCACCCTCCGCCGGAGCCCACGGCCGCCGTCGTCGACCGTGCCAGCCGCCACCGCGCCGCCCTACGCCGGAGCCCGCATCTGCCGCCGTCGACCGCGCTAGCCGCCACCACGCCGCCCTCCGCCGGAGCCCGTGGCCGCCGCCGTCGACCGCGCCTGCCGCCACCGCGCAGCCCTCCGCCGGAGCCCGTGGCGAGCTAGCCATGGCAGGGAGGGAGCTAGCCATGGCCGCCGGCGAGCTCTTCACGCGCGAGATGGAGGAAGAAGAAGAGCCAGGGGCATTTCTGTCCGGGATGGCATTTTGGCGAAGACACTCTGGTTGAGGAAGGTATTCCAGCGAAGCCCGTTTTCATAATGGTATTCTAGCGAAGCCATTCTTATGGGATGGTAGATATGCAATTTTCTCACCGCGAGGCGGCGATGTCGCCGGCGAGCAGAGGCGACGAGGCGTTCGGAAGAAGCCACTCTTGTGACATGGCAATTAACGATTTGCCACACCCTGTCAATGACATGTGGGCCCTCATGTGTCTATGACATGTGGGCCTAGTGGCAAATCATTAAGCAACATCCGTAAGAGTGGCAAATAGTTAAAAGCCCCCTTCAGGTTGACGTTGGGCCTCTCGAGGGAAGAGACGGACGATGCAGCTCAGGCCCATAACTAGTCCTGGGCCTCTGAGATTTTCGACGTGAAACGCGTAGATATTGGGTCGGCCCATTGAAAGGCCTGTCAGTTGCGGCCCAATCAAGCCCCCAGCAGGGGTTTTTTTTTTTCTAATTTGAATTTTGAAATTTCTGCATTTGAAAATTCAAACGGATTGTATTGTACGCTCGAAAGGGGAACAGGCGAGGAGGAAGCAGTGCCATGCATCGGGACACATTTCAAATCCCACTAGAAGCCTCCATTTTTTTTTTTTAGATAAAGCCTCCAATTTTTTAGCTTCCCATCTATCCCTCATCCAGGAACCAAACACTATAAAAGCCCTAGCAGTCATCTCCCATCCAATCTCATCCACCTAACAAAACACCCTATTACTCAATGTACTACTACCATCTTAACTAACAAAAAGCCACATTTACCAATAAAATTAAGTAAATTACGCATCGATATCTCGTGAAAAAAAGAGAGAAGCAATTACTCCATTTTAAAACACAGAAGTAAAGGTATGACCGTACAAGTCAGTATTCATATAGATTGCTGGCACTCTGAAGATATAGAATGAGCGAAATTCGCCAGGTGTTCCAGAATAAAGAGATGGCATTTCAAGAGCAGGTTCGTAAAATCATTGAGGGGATGAAACTCTGGACTTAATTTGCGTGGTGCAAAATCTTTAGCAAGCATACATATCCCCTTAAATAGCATCCAGGCTGTAGAGTGCTTCTCTTTCCTGTTCTAAACTGACGACACATTGTACATATGTGTCCTTAATACAGCACCAGCTGTGCTGGCTAGGTTTCAAAAGAACAATGTTGTTCGAACATGAAAAGGTTGCCTAACAAACATACTCCTGGAGTACATAGGAGTAATAATTTAAAAGTGCAGGAAAGCATCTCTGTCATAGCGACAGAGCAAGGATAACAAGATGGATAGAGCTGTAGAGGAAGGAAAACCAGGCACCACCTACGTACTCCACCATGGTACATGACCCGTTTACGCCTAGCATGATACAAGTAGAAAAGCAGGCGTCAGGTCAGTGATCGTAACAACTGAACCAATCTGATCAAATATATATAATAGTAGAAAACACATCCACAAGCGGTTTAAAAACATGCACAATGAGAGACAGAATCTGTGAAATCCTAAATGTGCAGAAAACGAAAGGAAAATGAGTGAAATCAGCATAACTATTTTGGCTTGCTTTGGTGGACAAACTAGCATCTCCAATGAACATACTAACACTATCCTCTTATTACAACTTCTGGATGCAAAATGTCAGCAGTGTGTGTTTGACCTCCCCTCCCCCACAACAATTCAATAACCTCCAACAATCCATGTAGTAGATCCTAGCAAAAATACCTTTCCTTTCTCTTTGCTAGTTCAGTGCTATCGGACCAAAATATAGACAAATTAACTTTGCAATCACAAATGACGACCGTAACTAAATTTTAACTGGCTCTAATTGTGGTTTCGATGCTTGGAGAAGATAGAGCGTTAGATGCTCTCTATGCTCAAGTCCTTTTGTAGCTCTGTACTACTACTACCAGCTGTGAGATCATTTCAATCCTGCATCCACAGATGGGTGCAATAGTCCATATGTTCGGATAAGCGCAAATGCAAAGCTAAACCAGGTAAATTTTATTTTCCTCATGGGATATGTTTCTTTTCTAGCCCAAAAAACACTACATGTAAATAATGTAACCTAATAATACATCTTGTGGCATTAAACCAATACTTGTAACTAATAAACACAAAACTTTTTTAAGTATTTCCTGAGAAAATAGCCAATCACCACTAATAGCCACCCTGTTAATTTGGGATTGCGAACAGTTTCACTTCACTTTAATACTAGAAAAACATCCCAAGAAATTGATCAATCAGCTGTGATGAGCCTTGGGTGAATAAGTCGAGAGGCCAAAAAATGCATACACTGAAACAGAAACATTGCACAGGAGGGAAGACTTACCCCAGATCTCCATTTTCGCTTCACCCGCCAGTTAATCGTTAATAACCCCTGAAACCTTATATGTCCCTTGTTCCTACAGGCAGAGGGGAAAACAATGAGCTTAAGCAACAGTTATTATCAGGGAGAACAATGATGAAAAACAACAAAAGAACAGGTCACCGACCATTGTTCACGAAAGCAACATGTGTAGATATGGTAAATGATGCAAGTAGGGCTTGGTATAGCATATTCTGCAATCGTTCCATCTGATGCTGGCTCCAATGTGCCGCTGCGGAGGTGGTATTGAGCAAGATAACCTTGCTGGTAATGGTGAAAGACAATGGTGTCACCCACAACGGTAGGGAACGCCTTGGAGCTGACACACAGATTCCTCTGGCCAATGAAGAGAGCATTGCCACCGATGCATGTCACCCGGAGAGTCCTTCTTCCCAGCATAAAGTCAGCTAGTCTGTAAACTGAGATTTTCCTATGAATGCCAGCGCTTAAGGCGATCACCAGAACCTCCGAGTCGCATTCTACCAGATGGTAGAACCGGCTGTCGGATGTGTTTACTGTGTTTGCTGGACATTTGGCAATCAACGTTGGTGGTGGCAGCCAGGGTTCCATCCCTTCCAGCTCAGGTGGATCGAGCTGTAGAATCTCTGGTTCACCATAAGTTAGTTCATGCCGCACCATGTATAGCTTGCCTTGGAATGCCAATGGACTGAAAATTTGGTTGAAGTACCAGCTAGAAGCCCTCCATTGCTGTTCCCCGGAGGTCGCAAATGCTACCTGGACCATACCGGGTGACCACATCATGAGCGACACGACTTGATCGGCGCTCACGTTGATGGATGCAGCACCGATGCGTCTGAGATAGTTCCACTTGTCTCCCACCAGCTTGGAGCTCACGTACCTGAGGAGGGTCTCCAATGGCGGCAAGTCCAGGATGTCGCCGGTGAAGGGGTGGAGGAGGCGGATGGCGGTGTCGTGGTCGCGCTGGAGGAGGAGGATGCCGTCGACGGAGTCGAGGACGCAGTGGTCCCTGAAGAGCGGGAGGTGGACGCGGACGAAGGCGCCGGTGGAGAGGTTGAAGAAGCGGACGAAACCGCGCAGCTTGCCGTGGCCCGGGTAGAGGCCGTGGCCCTCGGGGAGCAGCATCCACCGCCGCGGGTGGAATCGCCGGTCTACGATGCCGCGGCCGCGCGGGCAGGACGTGCTGGACCGCCAGTGGGGGCAGACGGCGCGGAAGCGGACGTAGTCCAGCAGGTCGCCGTCGCCGGCCAGCACCCGCCACGCGATCAGCTCCAGTAGATCCTCGTGCAGAGACTCCCACGGTGATGGATCATCGCGGGTGGCGGCAGAGGCGTCAGCGGGCGTCCGCCGCCGGCGCTTGCTGCTGCGCACTGGCCGATTCTGAGACCTCGACGAAGACATGGCGGTGTACCGGATGGTAGATCGATCCGGAGGGGAAGGTGAGGAGGAGTTGGATTGGTTTGGTTTGGTTTAGTGTCAATTTGGAATCCTTCCTTTGATAATTGAGCCGGCCCATTGAAAGTCTGATACGACGTTTGGAAATCCTTCTTTTGATAATTGGGCCGGCCCATTGAAAGTCTGTCATTGCAGCGATGCCAACCAAGCCGGCCTAAAACGCAGGTTTTCTTTTCTGGTAATATATACTGTAATTTCTCTGAGAAAATTCCGTGAGCACCATGAAATTTCCGCATTTCAAAATTCAAATGGACCATTTTGTATGATTGGGCCAGCCCATCGAAAGGAAAGTTTCTTGCAACTGCATTTCAAAATTCAAATGGACCGTTCTGTATGATTGGGCCCGCCCATCGAAAGGCAAGTTTCTTGCCGCCCGAGCAAGCTTTGTTACTACTCCCACTGTCCCAAAATAAGAAAAAATTTTAGATGCATACTAGTATGACTCATAGGACCATGAATCTGAATCTGGACAAGGAGGACAGAGGGAGTATACTAGTGCTACAATATTTGTGATGGTGTAATTATGTACTTCCTCCGATGACCTTATTAACAACATTTGATGTCGATGTAATTCCTCCATCCACAAACCAAGATAAAATTCATTCCCAACAGAATCTGGACTGATACATATTTACAATCGTTTAATGGAGAGTCTCTGAATATTGTGGTCTTTCCATCATCTTCTACGATAACTAGATGGATTGCATGGTTGATGATGATAGTGTTACACATGGTAAGCCTTGCAAGTAAAAAGGATACAATGAGCTATTCACTCACTTGAAAGCATGGATAACCTTGGATTTTTCAAGATCCAGCACAATCCTTGTGGCCTCAATGACAATCTGACCATCCAGGTAGTGTTGCCTACATACAGGCATGTACACATCAGCTCCTCCAATGAGCTCGGTCTTAGTTTCCCGTGTCTTCCTCAGCGTGAAGAATGCACGGCGACCGCACAACTCACAGCGTGCGGTGAGCTTGGTGACCGAGTCAGCCAAGGGTATAATGTCCAGAACTGACCCAAATTTGTTCCTGCCAGTATCACAATCATCAAATGCTAGCACAATATTCACTGGAAAATGTTGGGTTTTGCATCCAAATATCCTATTTACCACGAGTTTAGTGCTAATATTCAGATAAAGAACATGCCTAGTCCTAGCTTATTGTTTGATGCTGTACCAAACTTTGCTAGTGCTTGGGTAATTTTGATAGGTTGTAAATGGAAAGGATGTGTTATTTTGTGCCAAAATTGCAATACGGTGACATGAACAGGTGTGTATATTACCAAAATTTTGGTAATGTGGAATTTTTGATACAGTTATTGTCTACCATATTTTGGTATGGTAGAGATCTAAACTCACCCTCGGTTTAGATTTGAAATAAATCATCCAGTAAGTACCTTTTGTAGTCACCATCTAGCCCTGCGACTACAACAATTTTTCCATCACGGTCAGCAGCTTTGCAGCAGAAATCATGAAGATCGTCAAAAAACTGTGCTTCATCAATACCTATGACATCAACCTGCAAGAGTTATTTCAGTGACTACCATATTTTCATCTTTATGTTGGCTCTAACACTACCTTGTTACACCATGTAAGATGACATCCAACTGTACTGTAAATAAAATACCTATCACTGGCCCCTAATGGGAGAATTCCCCACCAGGTATCAGGGGTCAGGGCCCCATTGCAATCCCTACTTCCAACAAACTAGCAAGATGATTGGTTTGAGAAACAAGATAGTCAAGGACAATCCTACCCTAACTCCTCATTTGGTTTGAGCATTAGAACGGATTGTGCTACCACTCCTCATTTATTTCCCCGAATAGCACATGCGTGGTAGAAAATTGAGGAATGAGGCATTGTAATGACTGACTCATCGTATAATAGTTTGATCCTCATACCAAATACTAGCATATATGTGTCCACTGAATCATTTAAAAAGATGGCAATTTGCATAAAAGACAGACCTAGATGAAGGCTGAGAAAAGAGGTGAAGATTATCAGGATTTTTATCTTTCTAGCTTCTAAAATGATATTAAGCCTGCCATCAACAATACCATGGTGAAAAAGGGCTACCAAATAGGGATTGAACAAGAGTATCTAGCAAAATCATCTAATTAAGGGAGACAGCTTGCTCCTAAAATGCAGCCAAAATAGCTTGTGTGCTGGGCATGTGGGGCATGGCAACTGCCAAGTGCCAGCAGCTGTACATGCAACCCACATGACAAAACCTTTTGCCAAGTTCTCAAAATGTTCTCGTATAATGTTAGGCACACATGGAAAATGAAACAGATAATCATCTATTTTCTACTTAGAGGGCAAGCTAAATCTAAGATATATCCAAGTATAGTCAACTTGTGATGGTGTCCTTGCTTTGATTCAGATGGACAGATTGTGCAAACATTTCTTCTGAAGGCCAGGGATATCAAGCATGAGTCAAATCTCATTACATGATATTTCAATATACTGCTACAGTACCTGACTTACCATGTGCAACATTAAACACTCAAGTCTCTATAGCATTCATAATTCTTATCAGCATATGCTTTCTAATTCTTTATACTAACGGTTTGGTGAAAGAAAAAAATATAAAATATTGATTACCTTATCGTAAGCCTCTGTTCCTAATTTATCTTGGAAACTTGAAAGCTCAGGTAGAGCCCAGCATGGCATCTTTGTGCCATCATGAGTTACGACAGAATCCAATCCATACCTATTGTCCTTGTCAGACTTGATGAGTGCCACGTTCCTGCTTTTCAAGGGATGAAAAATGTCAAAATGTGCATAACCCACTCAAGAAACAAAGTTCCTTAGGCATTCAAGGGGCTGTTTGGTTTGGTGCCACACATTGCCACACCACATGTTAGGCATGCCACAGATTGTTAGCTTAGCGTTTGGTTGCTTGTTTCAGTTGTGGCAAGCCACACTTTCTTGTTTCATGGGCCTACATGTCATATACTCATTTTCTAGCTAAACATTGCCACACTTGTGACCAACAAATTGTTGGCCACACTTTGTTTGCCATGCCACATCTATGGCAAATTGAGTTATGGCAATGTTAGGCAACAACCAAACAGACCCTCAATTCTTCACGCATGCCGTGTTAGAGCTCCATTTAACATAAAACTTTGTACCACAAAGCAGACACCCTAATCAAAATTCAAAGCACATCCATCTGCAACAAGGCATCAAAACATTCACAGAGACTCTTGTTTATGAGCCTGTTCAGATTGATGTCATTTTAAATCATACCATTATTTAGTTTAGTAAAATTGGCAATCATGTGGCTGCATTTAGTTTGTTACCAAATATTGGTAATGTCTATGGAATTTTAGCAACATTATATTGAGTCTATTCTACCAAAACTTGACAGTGTTGTCAATTTACCAAAATTTTGGCATCAATCTGAACAGACCCTATATGTTAAAGTATTTTCTGTACTCTTTACATTGATACCATGGATCAGGACATCACTAGATAACGAGCACCTTTAACATAAGAACATGTAATAGAGTTGTTAGATGTAAGATTTTGGGTGAGGGATGTCACTAGCCAGTAAGTAGCCCTACCATTTGTGAGGAAACAGCGAAGAAGGAATACCTGCCAGTGCCGGCCTCGACCTGCACGCGTCGGAGAAGGGCAGTGGTCTTCCCGGCGAACATGGGGCCCACGATGACGTGAATCTCACCGGGATACGACGGCTGGGCCTCCATCGCGGAGCCGCCTCCGCCTCGAGACTTGTCCGCCGCCGCCGCCGCCGCAGAGACCGGCCTCACCGGACCGAATCGGGAAAGATTCAGGCGGGAAGGGAGAGGACGGGAAAGGGGCCGCAGCAGAGGGGAAGCGCCGGAGCGGAGGAAGGTGGAGGCGGCGAGGAGGGATCTCATGGCGCAAATGGAGCTCATGCGGGAGGTATTTGTAGAGCTAGCTGATTGTGGGGAGGCGCCGGGAATATCTTTTTCAACCTAAATTTGAGGAGGAGGAGACAATTGGGTAGGTGAGAATGAGATGGCGGGAATAAAGCGTGGCAGATTTCGAATCGAGTTTTGAAATTTGGGGAGGGAAAGGTGGAGCGCCGCCGCTGCTCGCAGGATGGAGATCGGCGGGTGCGGCGGCGGCGGCGGCGGGAGAGGAGAAGAGAGGAGAGGAGACTGGACTGGACGGGGCGGCGATTTCTTCCAGGTTGCGAGTTGGGCCTCTCGATTGGGCTTCTGATGGGCCTCCGTGTTTTCCGTCGTGAGATGTGTAGCCTTTCCCATTGGCCGGCCCATCAAAGGTCAGCTTCCTACAGCCCAAGACAGCTCAGCCCGGAAAAATGAACTTTTTTTTTTTGTTTCCTGGGAAAATTCTGTGAGCCCTATTAAATTTCTGCATTTCAAAATTCAAATGGATCGTACGATACTCTTCGAAAAGAAGAAGGAGAGGGCGAAACAGTTGAGTGCAAATGTGCAATGGATCGGGTCACATTTCCAAATCCCACTGGATGCTCCATTTTTCCTAGCGCTATCCACTTGCAATTGCCAGGCCTCCTAACATTTTTGTCAGATCGTGCTTTCGTTATAATAAAGTAGTGGACTAACAACTAAACCTGATCACCCCTCTCCTTTTGTTTCTTTAATTAATTAATTAATCTGCATGCTAATCAATGGTCAAGCAGCCGCTCGCTCTCGTGATTGGAAACCGACATGAATTCAGAGTGGATACGTGACGCGATTGCAAACTAGAAATCGTGATATTCCCTTCACTTTGGATAGTATCATTTTCTTGAAAAAAAAAGTTTATTGATTTGTGTATTAGAGTGGACGAAACGGCTGCAATTAAAACTTGGTCATCTCATTTCGTTAAGACGTCCTCGTCTCCCTTTCTATCTCACGCTTGTACCGGGATGGGCCAGTGTCTGAATAGCACGGGCTTGGCCTTCCCCTGATGCTGATTAGTGGAGTTTAATTTGTACACGTTGGATGGCGACGTATGGCCCGAACCACACCGATCAATCAGGTCATGGCCCTCATCGATGGCTTAGCTTTATCCCTTTCCTTAATATTAATTAGACGTAGCAACGGCCAGCAGCAGCAGAAGCACTCTCGTCTGAAAAATATTTGGCATGATCCCCACATTCTCAAAGATGATACCCACTAGTTCAGTTAAGTTTAAGCTTAAGTTCAGTTCAGTTCAGACTTTGTTTATACACGCACTAGCAGCTTTTCTTCAGAGTCTAGCAGACTTGTTAATGGCGGTTGTGTGTACCTAACAGAGATTTGCAAGATGCTGTCTTGTGACGGCTAGTGAAGCTGATTAATACAAGACGGAATCGGAACAATTCAGAATGCCAAAAGTTTATGTCGTCTGAAACGCACTGTCTGCTCGATCGCTGGCTAGTATGTGCAAACAGGATACAGTCGATGGAAGGCAGCGACCAACCAGCATCAGAGTGGAATTATTCTGCACAGCATACTAGACAGTGGCAAACATCTGAAAACATGTGATCCAGAACATATATATATATATTTAGCAGCTGTAAACACGGCCTTTCCAATGTTCAGACTGCATGGGTTAATTCTGTGCAAAACTTGGGATTATAGTAATATTGCCTGATACTCCAGCTAGCTAGTTCTTCAGGATCATGCATGCAAGAATGTCATTATTGAGCTAAGAAAGCAAGCTTACTTCTGCAATGCAGGTATAGTTATATACTCCAGTACAGAGATGAATCCTTTTGCTGATTCCCGTTGTCAGAAGGATCCAAACCTTTATGATCCAACTGACGACGACGTGGTTTCTAACTGATTCGATGGAGCTCGCTGGCAAAAATGCTAATTAAGCGAATCTGCTGGTGAGTGCTGCAGTAGTCGTCGTGTGAGTACGTCACCCACAGTTATGTTATGCCTGCTCTTCTCCAGAACGAGGAATTTATATTGTCAATCATATACAAGATTAATAATAAGAAAAGGGGAAAAAAATAAACATGTCACTCACGATGAAATTATGTACACTAAAATCGCCTTTGTTTATTCAAAACATGCATGTTTTGTTTTGTTTTTTTTAATAGCTGCTACTGCTAAATCTGAAATTAATTTGGTGCACCTGAACTTGAAGCGGCTATATATACGAACACCAGACGATGCGGCCCAAAAAAGCAACACGCGTCTCGCGGAGGGAAACCCGCTTTTGCCGGGAACAAACGAAACCAAGCGAAGCGAGGAGAAGATGTTGCTGCACCGGCACCGGCACAGGCTGCTCTGCTGCGGCGGCGGCGTCGCCACCGCCCCCGGCCGGTTCGCCGGCGATGCCATCGCGGACCATCAGCAGGCAGCCGCCGGCGCCAAGAACGCGGCGGCCACGTCGTCCGCGAGGCAGCTGTCGTGGGCGCAGGTGGAGGCCATGACGCGTGGGTTCACGTCGGCCGTCGTCGGCGAGGGCGGCTTCAGCACCGTCTACCTCGGCCGCGTCGCCGGCTCCCTCGCGGCCGTCAAGGTCCACCGCAGCAGCGAGCGCCTCCAGCGCGCCTTCCGCCAGGAGCTCGACGCCCTCCTCCGCGTCCGCCACCCCCACATCGTCCGCCTCCTCGCGTTCTGCGACCAGCGAGGTATAGCACTCGCTCGCTCTGTAAGCTAGGCGTCCGTACGTCGCCGGCGACCATGTCGACCTCACTGACAATCTGTGACGTCGACGCATGCAGACGAGGGCGTGCTGGTGCTGGAGTTCGCGCCGAACGGGAACCTGCACGAACAGCTCCACGGCGGCGGCGGCGGCGGCGCGATGCCGTGGGCGCGGCGGGTGGCGGTGGCGCTGCAGGTGGCGCGGGCGCTCGAGTACCTGCACGACCGGTGCGAGCCGCAGGTGGTGCACGGCGACGTCAAGTCGTCCAACGTCCTGCTCGACGCCGCCATGGGCGCGAGGCTCTGCGACTTCGGCTCGGCGCGCGCGGGGTTCTCGGCGGCCGTCCACTGCCCGCGCCCGCGTCCGTCGGCGCTCGCCGTGCTCGGCTCGCCGGGCTACGTCGACCCGCACTACCTCCGCTCCGGCGTGGTCACCAAGAAGAGCGATGTCTACAGCTTCGGCGTGCTGCTGCTCGAGCTGCTCACCGGCACGCAGGCGTTCCGCGACGGCATGCTGCTGACGGCGGCCGTCGCGCCCAAGCTCAAGGGCGCCGCCGCCGGCGACGTGGAGAAGCTCGTCGACGAGAGGCTAGGGTGCCAGTACAACGCCGCCGAGGCGGCGACCGTGGCGGCGCTGGCGGCGGCGTGCATCGGCGACAACCCGAGCCTCCGCCCGTCGATGGCCGACGTTGTACGGACCCTGGAGAAGCCCGCGCAAAAGGCCGGACGGTGACGTGCAATGTTGTGCGCCGTAGGATGGTTAGATATGACGTGGCAAGTATCAGGACCGTAGGATTGGATGCTGCTCCCGCGCGTGGAACCCCTTGCCGCGATTGGGTTGGTGAGGAGCAAGAAAGCAATAGAGACGAAGCGTATCAAAATTCAAAAGCAACCAAGCAAGCAACGATCGAGGGTTTGGTTCGGACAAGGACTTTTTGGAGGATGTTTGTGCAGTTTTTTCATAGTATTTTGGTGGCCGATCCCGATCATTGTTGTTCATCTTCTACTAGGTCGTTGGCACACAAGTGCATGCAGCAACTGTAAGAGAGGATTCAATCCACATCCACTGCATGCATATTAAATTTTTAGATGTTTTTTGCACGCCTTCTTCCTGCTTCAGCAAGCACCAGCACGTAAAATAAACGTGCACAAAATCTGTAAATACATTTGTTCAGAGAATCATATGTTTCCAATTCTCTCATTTTCTTTTATTTCTTGATGATTGTACTATATATGTTGCCAACTCATTAATTGCTTACATAGCACTCCACAATTGAGTAGTAGTATCATCATTCAGTACCATGTCTGTCAATGGCGTTATCACTCTGAAATAACTGGACTTTTTTCTGACGGAAAGCTGTGCTTGGCCAACGCCAACGACTCATCGAATGCTAGGCACTAGCTATAGCTCCACCAATCCAGTGGCGTATTCTTCATCACCCACAAACCGCCGTACTGTCATCTTCCTCCAGAAAGAGACCGGGCTTATATTAACTTGTTCCTGAACAAAATCTCATAATCCATCACAATTCACATAGACAATGATGTCCTCTGGCCATGCCCGTCTGGCCGGTTGCATCATGCAACTAAACTCTGCCATCTTCTAATATACTAAATGTGTAACCCGTTTACGCATTCGCGAAAAATTCACATTGACAATGAACAGTAAGCTTGTACATCCAAGGACGAACTGTTCTGGGCGCCGAAGGCCGACGGGACGGATGGACGGCGGGGAAGAGGAGAGGAGAATAGAGGAGGTAAGTATGTGTAGCTCTCGGCGAGGCAGGGCGCCGGTGAGGCGTCCCGGTCGTTGATTGCACAGCCAAACCACCAGAAAATTGCCGCCACATCTCTTTCAGCAGCGACCTCTCTCGCGGTCAGGCCATGGCACATAGAACTTTAGCTAGCTAGAATCCAATGTATAAATACCGTCTATAATATCATCCAATCCTGCTTAATTAATCACATGATGGGAGATGTTTGAAAATAAGCAGATGCTGTAGGCCAGTGCTGCTTTGCTTTGTCTCTTGGGCGGCGTCCGTATCCTGTCATGACGTTGGCACATCGAATCTTCAAGTATTTATACTAGTATAAAACTAGTACTTGAATTGCATTTCTGAATGTTTGTGGCATTGAAACAATTTGTGCTTATGTGCTTGGGTGTGAGGACCGCATGAGCATGACAGGGGAGTATGACAAAAATATAGAACTTGGCTAGATTTCGCTTACTTACGTCTCAACCACTCTGCTCTCTCTGATGAATGGATTATGGATGAATTGGCGCACAACGACCAAATTGGCTTTCTCTCTGAATGGAGGAGGGACTGCTTCTTCGTTGCAAATCTTTATTCATGCCAACAAGGCAAAACACACTCTTTCTATATTGTATTTGTACTTTGGTCCAAAACCTCAAATCTTCAGTGCAGCAATAATTTGATCTTGGGGGGGAATGGCTTTAGAGTTTAGACTTATCTTTAATCAGATGGTTGCGGCTAGCCTCTTTCATTAGTGCAATTGCGCTGTTTGCTTTTGGTAATGCTAACAGCTTTCTGCTTTAACTATCTCCTCGGCTTTTTCTGAAGCAAGTGCGTGCCATTTTCTGAACTACAACTTGTAGAACAGAGAAGTGCAAGTTGCCTCTCTCTCTAAGATCTCTGCCATTTTTTACACATGCATGGTCATGGAGGAGAAGAGCATGCATAGGGATGCACATGTGAGAGGAAATCGATCGCTCCGTGGTTGTGCGTAGCCAGAGAGAATGTTGGTGTTCGAATCAATCAGCTGCTAGGAAGTTAGAACAGGATAATGCCAACTTGTCCATCCATGTACATGATCCATTCCAATCTGGCACTGCTTCCGTGGCCAAACGGGTGTGCACGATGTGTCGTTGGGATCTCTGTGCTGTGATGAAATGATCGCACCATGTGGCGGTGATTGGGTGAATCAGCATGGCCATTCGTATGCAGCAGCACATGCGTTGATTGATTCATGGCGCTAAGCTTAGCTTAGCTTAGCTTGACAGTTTGCAATTTGCCAAAAAAAAAATAATGCCAATCAGCAACCAGTCCATTCAGCCCAGCACGCATGCAGCACACAGCGGTTGGTCTCTCTCTCTCTCTCTCTCTCTCTCTCTCCGGTGGCAATGGATATCCAGTTCGATCGAGAAAGCACGCAAGCTCCACCTCGCGAGAGAACATCTCTCGAGTCTCAATTCGATTCCTCAGCATCGTGCGCTGGCTTACGGGCCGCCACGAAGCCCTGTTCTTTTCGTTTGGGCCCGTAAGTTCGTTCGAACCAATCAGTTGGCCCATGTCCTAACTCATTCAGATAGGCACCCCTTCTTTCTTGGGCCGAAATTGATTAACCAGTTGGCTTAGGTTGGTTTGTGATTGAAGGGAGTTGTGGTCTGCGGTTTGCTATCTGGGGAGGTGGCTATGTCTATGTCTATGTGGTTAGATATTGACATGGGCACAAAGCAAACTAAACCTTATGCCAAGTACATCTGATCCACATCATTGAACAGGTCAAAATACAGTATGTGTCTAAACGGATATAGTTTCTACCATTTATAAATTGATAGTTATTCATTCATTACAATATGTAATGAGTAGAAAACCACTAGATATCGTAACAAACTAATCCTACATGCACATGTACAATTTCGACTCAAAACAACCTAGTGAACCAAACCCGGTACACTTTTGACCTAAAACGTGCGGTTTACGTGTTGTTAGGTCACATACCACATGGTATTACATGGCACGTCAATTATAATTTAGGCATTTCGAGATGAACATGACGTACACACTTGTAAGATGAAGATGTTCTCTCCACACAACCATAACCAGCCCATTACCCCTCACTATATATACTACCAACTTCTTCATCGGTCGTGCATTGTTGTATTCTTTCGCCAACTCGTTTCTTGTTTTCAAAGTTGTGTTTGAGTCTGTTCAAGACGAAGATGAAGTGCAGGTATGTAAAACCAGAAAGTCGTTAGCGTATGATTAATTGGGTTATAATTATTACAAACTTGGAAAACATATTTATTTGATATTTCTAAAAACAACTTCCATATAAAAATTTCCGCATAAAATGTACCGTTTATCAGTTTAAAAAACGTGCTAACAAAAACCAAGATAAATTTTGTATCTTAATCAAGTTAGAACGTATACCCACCAATGTTTGATCCGTCAATTTCATATTGTATTGCTGATTAAGTTTGGTATAATTTGCCATTCTATTTGCTCTTAAGGCTATGGTAACCACTGTACATCTCTTTGCATGTTTAATCACTAAATTCATGATTTTATTTGCTGATCTTGCGCATATTACTGTGTTGTAGTTGATATTTTATTTGTATTCATTTGCTCTGTTTTGGATCCAAGAGAATTTAATGTGTATGTACTTTCTGTTTAGTTTCAGGTAGGATAATTGAAGTTGGATGATCCTACACCTCCCTTTAAGTATTTCATTCACTCCCACAACAACTGAATTATTTGTTTGGTGGCTGGGTGTCCTTCTTCAACCGTGCATATTTTCATTGTGCTAAAAATGTTATATTTCCTCTTGAGTTAAAGTGGTCTCAAATATGAAATACCTAATAATGTTTTCCCTTTCTAATCCTAAATAAATTAAATTCCTGAATATTTCTTTGAAAATGTTTTTTTAGTACATATGAAGTATACTGTATACCACATATGCTTCAGTATGTATATGTGTAAAGCGGCATATTAATTGGATATGAAGTGTATGGCGTAAAATCGGGTTAGATTATAATTGTAAATTTCAGTTCAATTTGCAGGTTTAAGCTGGTTATCCTTAGATTGAGAGTTTTTAATCAGTTCCATGAATATAGAAATTATTGCTGTTTTTTCCCGGTTGTAATAAATCCACAGACAAGGTTATCTGAACCTTGCATGAACATACTCTTTAATACTATCTCCATTTTAAATACATAGTATTGTTTACTTTTAAACATATATGTCCATTCGTCTTATTTAAAACAAATATGCTAATATGCAAAAATATAAACTGTATTTAAAGTAACTTTAATAATAAAATAAATGATGTTAGCATATTTTCTAAATAACATGAATGATCAAATATATGTCTAAAAATCAACGGCATTATATACTAAAGAAAATGGAGGGAGTAGGAATCAGCGTATCTGCTAAAATTAAGTCGGATACAACCTTATAATCTCAATATAACCTCGTAACCATTTTTCCTCTTTGAGTGCCAGGCTATCTAACAACACTAGCTCCAAAAGTTCTTGATGTGGCATGGTGGACATGAATTTGTAACTGCATGCAGGATTCCAGCTCAGAGAATTGCAGGCTGTTGATATCTCATCCCTGATTTCTGGTGCCCGTTATTGTATCATCTAGCACATTTAGAGCTGATGCTTTTGATAATTAAATTAAGGAGAAAAAAAAGAGAGGAACTGATGTTTTTTATCCTAATCTGAGGAGAAAAATAAATAACAGTTGCTTTTAAGTCACTAATCTAAGGAGAAAATAAAGAACTGATCTAACCACTAATCCAAGGATGAAAAAAATAACAGAGATGAACTGATCCTTTTGCCAAGAAACCCGGAAGAAATGATCCAGGAATGAAATAATCTTCCCCAAACTTTCGTTGAGCAATTTATACTACGAAATTTCTACCTATATAAATAGGCGCATTGCCCCTCTCCCATTTCTCACCAGCTTCGATCACATTCCGATCAAGCTGCAACAATGGCGAACGGCGTGGCAGAGTACTTGCTGATGGACCCGTGGCTTGTTCTATGGCTCGTCCTGGCCTCCATGGCGTTCGCATTGCTGCACCTGCGGCGGCGCGCACGCCGTGGGGCGCCGCCGCTGCCGCCGGGTCCGCGGCCGCTGCCGATCATCGGAAACATGCTCATGATGGACCAGCTGACGCACCGCGGGCTGGCGGCCATGGCGGCCAGGTACGGCGGGTTGCTGCACCTCCGCCTCGGCCGCGTCCACATGGTGGTGGTGTCGAGCCCGGAGCACGCGCGCGAGGTGCTCCAGGTCCAGGACGGCGACTTCTCCAACCGGCCGGCGAGCATCGCCATCGCCTACCTCACCTACGGCCGCGCCGACATGGCCTTCTCCCACTACGGCCACTTCTGGCGACAGGTGCGCAAGCTCAGCGCCGTGCGGCTCTTCAGCCGGCGGCGCGCCCAGTCGTGGCGCGCCGTCCGCGACGAGTCGGCCAAGCTGGTCGGCGCCATTGCCAGGAGAGCCGGCGAGGCCGTCGACCTCGGTGAGCTCATCTTCGGGCTCACCAAGGACGTCATCTTTCGCGCCGCCTTCGGCACGCGCGACGGCGGCGGCCACGGCGAGCTGGAGGTTCTCCTGCAGGAGTTCTCCAAGCTGTTCGGCGCGTTCAACGTCGGGGACTTCATCCCCTGGCTCGCGTGGCTCGACCCGCACGGCATCAACCGACGGCTCCGCGCGGCGCGCGCCGCCCTCGACAGCGTCATCGACAGGATCATCGACGAGCACGTCAGCAACCCCGCCGGCGACGAGGACGCCGACATGGTGGACGACATGCTCGCGTTCCTCGACGAGGCCGGACGAGACCAAACCGGCGGCGGCGGCGAGCTGCAGGGCACGCTCCGGCTGACGCGCGACAACATCAAGGCCATCATAATGGTACGTGCCATTCTGACACCACTGCCATGGCATGCACGTCGCGTTGCTTGATGGAGTTGGCGACGACAAGTGCAGGACTTCGTCTTCGGCGGGACGGAGACGGTGGCGTCGGCGATCGAGTGGGCGATGGCGGAGTTGCTGCACAGCCCCGGCGATCTCCGGCGGCTGCAGGCGGAGCTCGCCGACGTGGTGGGGCTCGGGCGCGGCGTGGAGGAGGGCGACCTGGAGAAGCTCCCCTTCCTCAGGTGCGTCGCCATGGAGACGCTGCGTCTCCACCCGCCGATCCCGCTGCTCCTCCACGAGGCGGCGGCGGACTGCGTCGTCGGCGGGTACTCCGTGCCGAGGGGCGCCCGCGTGGTGGTCAACGTGTGGAGCGTCGGCCGCGACGCCGGCGCGTGGAAGGGCGACGCCGGCGCGTTCCGGCCGGCGAGGTTCATGGCGGGCGGCGAGGCGGCGGGGATGGACCTCAGGGGCGGATGCTTCGAGCTCCTGCCGTTCGGGTCGGGGCGGAGGGCGTGCCCCGCCATCGTGCTCGGGATGTACGAGCTGGAGCTCGTCGTCGCGCGCCTCGTCCACGCGTTCGGGTGGGCGCCGCCGGGCGGCGTGGCGCCGGAGGAGCTCGACATGGCGGACGGCTTCGGCCTCACCGCGCCGCGCGCCGCGAGGCTCCGCGCCGTGCCGACGCCCCGGCTCACCTGCCCGATGTGACGCGCGTTCTCGATTTGGCGCGAGAGATGCGCAACGCAGCTCGAAGTGTGACTGTGACAGTGTGAGCGTGTAATCTGGTGTGGACATCGTATGCATCATGTGTGCTTATGGATAATTAAATATATAAATAATATTTGGATGTGGATTTCGGCTGAAATTTTCTGTCATTTCGAAAAAAATTCGTCCTAGAATTCAAATAGAATATTTTTTTTCTCATTATTTTTTATAGTTGCACATTGGCTACATTATCTGTAGAAGCTTCTTGATTCACGAGATCTAGCGGGCGTGACAATATGGTCAAAGAATTCTTTACCCTAGACATGGGCGTCGATATGGTCGTAAAGCTGCTCTTCAGCTTAGTAGCCACATCCATAATTTAATCTTAGGATTATTTTTACAGTTGATTCCGATATTTTTTCATCGTAAACATGGGGTTTTACATCATTAAAAACCCACATATAAAATCCTTTCCCTTAAAAGAATGATGGTCTTTGAAGCCCTTATTTCTTTTTTTAATCTTCGAGTATGTATGAATAGTTTGATTACGTGCATTTTAATTATGTAGAGATTTGGAATGCTATTCGACAATTATATTATCTTAATGTTACATTAAGTGAGATGCTTTTATTATTTAAAAATCGATTATATTTTAAAACAAAATCTGAAGCACTCCGTGGACCGTGGTTACACGTGCCAGGTCGACGTGTTCTTCTGGAAGAAATCTATGTCTACTTTTGAAATGGAATATACTACCTCCGTTAAAAATAAGTACAAACGTAAATAAATAAGTACAAACGTAAATATCCGTATGAACGTTCGTCTTATTCCAAAAATTTATAAAAATAAATTATAAAAAAACAGTCACATATAAAATATTATTTATGTTTTATAATCTAATAGTAACAAAAAAATATTAATCATAAAAGATAAAGAAAAATTTAAATAAGATAAACGCTGAATATAAATAATATTTTATAAAGCTGTACTTATTTTAAGACGGAAAGAGTAAAAAATTTTGGAAAAATTTCTAGTGCAGCATGCTGCTCATTTGGGAGGTGTGTGCTGCTGCTCTCCAGTCTCCCCCAACCAAAATTTGACCGAGTTTGGCACGAAAGAAACCGCCTCGACGCCGTCCAACGGAAGCCAGCCGAGGCGACCAACCCAAGGGTAGGCCTAGGCGTAAACCCTGCACCTGAATCGATCGCCGGCGATGGCCACGACGCTGACGCCGACGCAGCGCTACGCGGCGGGGGCGCTGCTGGCGCTCGCGCTCCGCCAGGCCCAGATCCACCAGTCCGTCCTCCTCGGCGCCCACCACCACCACGACGACGACGACGAGGAACAGGGGCGCACCAGCACCAGCAGCGGCGGCGGCGGCGGCAGCTCCTCCTCCTCCTCCAACTCCGGCGCCGGCGCCGACGCCGACCTCTGGACACACGACTCCCACGGCCTCCTCCGCCCCGTCTTCAGGTGTTTTCTCGCTCCTCTCCGCTTGTAAATTTGGGGGGTTTGAGATGAATGCTTCCGCTTTACTTGGCGATCGGGGGGCTCTGCTAGGTTCCTGGAGATCGATCCCAAGGCGTGGTCGGGGCTGGAGGAGACGGCGGCGTCGTCCGAGGCCAAGCATCACATCGGCGCGGTACGGCACTCACTGCATTTTCTGCCCTCGTATTGTAATTGGCCGTGCGTTTTGGTCAGTGTTGCAGTGATGGTTTGGGGCTTAGGTGTTTGATTATATGCCTACAAGACTGTTCAACTTCAATTTCCGCGTGTGCTTGACCAGTGAAATTTGTGTTTTCGTAGCATCTCATATCACTCTCATTTTGTAGTTTCTAAGGATAATATTCGAAGAAGATGGCGAAAGCTCCTCAGACAGATCCGTTCAGGAGCTTGCCTTGGCAAAAGGAGTTGATGTGATGGTAATGAGTTTGGGCAATGACAGTGAAGTGGGTAACACAATTAAAGGTGGGGATCAAGATGCTTTGCCTAGCAGCTCTGGAACAGATAAATCCCCAGGGGAAAGCTCTCATGATGACCAGTTAGGAATCAATAAATTGACCTTAGATGATATTCCTGCTAACAATCACCGGAAGATGGCATTGCTGTTTGCTCTTCTCTCGGCTTGTGTTGCTGATAAACCTGTATCACAAGAGGAAGAGGACAGAAAATCAACCCGCTTCAGAAAGGGTTATGATGCTCGGCATCGTGTTGCTCTTCGGCTGCTATCTACATGGCTTGATGTGAAGTGGATCAAAATGGTTTGTACAGACTAAACTTTTTTGGATTCAGCAGAGTAATCACTATGGGTACCAAACAATATCCTAAGGCAATTAAAGAAAAAAGAACCCCCAATGTTTTTCATGTTTCACCAAATTTGTCACCAACCATGCTTTTTCGCTGCAGGAAGCAATTGAGGTTATGGTTGCATGCTCTGCCATGGCAGCAGCGAAAGAACAAGAACAATCACAAGAAAGCGCATCACCCAAAAGTAAATGGGAAAAATGGAAGCGTGGAGGAATAATTGGTGCAGCTGCTTTGACTGGAGGAGCACTGTTGGCTATTACTGGGGGTATGAAAAAACTTCAGAAATTCTGCTGGACGCTGAACATCTGAACTAGTTTCTGTCGCTCATATTACTCTAAACGGTTGATATTCTCTTCCAACTTGACAGGTTTAGCTGCTCCAGCAATTGCTGCAGGGTTTGGTGCTCTTGCTCCAACCCTGGGCACACTTGTCCCTGTTATAGGAGCTAGCGGATTTGCTGCTATGGCTACCGCTGCAGGATCTGTTGCTGGCTCTGTGGCAGTTGCTGCATCATTTGGAGGTGTGTCTACATGTTCTTCAAAACCCTTCTGGTGATGTTGTTTTGAGCTTTCGTTTCGTCATGCTACATTACTATCAGCTGCAGTCTCCCTTTCCTTTTGTCATGAGGGTTGCAATATTGTTTAGTGAACTTACCCAAGAATATGCACACAACACTTTTAGGGGTGCATTTTACAATTAGATAATAGTTCGATGGATTACCAGAAGAAGGATAAGACTTATACAATGTATGACCCAAAATTGTGAGAAACATATGGATGAAAGCGTAATGAGAATAGTTGTGGTGTGGAAATTTTCTATTTATTCATGCTTATCCTTTGAAATGATATTTTTCAATTAGCTGCTGGAGCTGGCTTGACGGGGAGCAAAATGGCCAGAAGAATTGGGAGCGTGAAAGAATTTGAGTTCAAACCTATTGGTGAAAACCATAATCAGGGTGTGAGTTCCTTTTCTCTTTCTGATGTCACAACAAATTTCATTCTACTAGATTTTTGTTCACCCTTTTAGTAGTCAAACTGATCTGGTCTGGTTAAATGTTCTCAACACTTTCAGCGGCTTGCAGTTGGCATCTTAATTTCCGGATTTGCTTTTGATGAGGATGACTTTTGTAGACCTTGGGAAGGATGGCAGGATAACCTAGAGAGGTATAGAGTGGTTTTTTTGACATGTTCTTTTTGCTGATCACTATTCTAGTACTTTGTCATGTGTTACCAGCTAAGAGCATCCTTAAAAATATAATTTCAAGAGTTGAATAATGTCTGGCAGGTACATCCTTCAATGGGAGTCTAAGCATATAATTGCAGTGAGTACAGCAATACAGGATTGGCTGACATCAAGTAATATTTGTAGTTTTGCCCATTTACACTATCAGCAAAAACTTCTAATTTACACTGTTATTTATGATTCAGGACTTGCTATGGAATTGATGAAGCAAGGTGCAATGAGAACCGTATTAAGTGGTCTTCTTGCAGCATTTGCATGGCCAGCTACACTGCTTGCGGCTACAGACTTTATTGATAGTAAATGGTCTGTTGCTATTGACAGGTAATTGCAAACTCTCCCATTTCTCTTATGTTGCTTGCAGAGTTGCAGTGCACACTGACTATCTACAGTATTGGTATTCTTCTGTTGATCGACACATAAGTTTGTGTATTCAAATTTATGAAGATTATGACGTAACATTTAGACAAACTTTTAATGTATATATCCCACAGTACATATATTGCAGTTAAAGACATCCTAGCAATTTGTTAACTTAGCCAATCAAAATCAACTGTATCTTCTCAGATCAGATAAGGCAGGAAAAATGCTTGCTGAAGTGCTTCTCAAGGGATTGCAAGGAAATAGGTAACTCCATATGCATTTATTTCATTAGCGATGTTGGCCGCTCAGAAATATGCCCCCCTAATGCCAATTTTTTCCCAGGCCTGTGACTCTCATTGGGTTTTCACTAGGTGCACGTGTTATATTTAAGTGTTTACAGGAACTTGCTTTATCGAGTGATAATGGTACCTGTTCTGTAACCATCTCCTTCATCCATAAGATTTTCCTTTCTTGGTGGCAAATTATCAGTTTTAACCATCTCCATCTCTTGTTTGCAACCAGAGGGACTTGTTGAGAGGGTGGTTCTTCTTGGTGCTCCAGTTTCTGTGAAAGGCGAGCGGTGGGAGGCTGCAAGGAAGGTAATGGCGATGAAATCATTTTTTTCTCTATTATCTCTGTAGGAATGGTGCAACGTAACAACAAGAAACAGTGAAGTTGCTGTTCATTTTATCCCAGCTTCTTCCCTCGGCGCTTAATTCACTCACTTGTCCTCATGGCAGATGGTTGCTGGAAGATTTGTGAATGTGTACTCCACAGATGACTGGATTCTTGGTGTTACTTTTCGTGCGAGGTAAACAGATTTATGATTTCAGAGCTCCTAGAAAGCTCATATCACCATTCCCCCATGTGAGCTATGACTTAAGTAATCTTCTCGTGCAGTCTGCTAACACAAGGGTTGGCTGGCATCCAGGCCATTGATGTCCCTGGTGTTGAAAATGTAAGCATCTGGGGTGCCATTCTTGTGTTCTTACGTGATTTTCATCTATCTTTTACACGTCTTTGTGTACAATGCAATTTACAGGTCGATGTTACGGAGCTTGTCGATGGCCATTCGTCTTACCTGTCGGCAGCACAACAGATACTGGAGCATCTTGAACTAAATACCTACTATCCGGTTTTTGTTCCCCTGAGCGCAGCCAACGAAGAAACAGATGGAACAGTTGCACAGTAACGTGTGGGCAGGATTCGATGAAAATCGTATGTAGACAACCAAATGTAACAGACTATATATACAACCAAATGTAACAGACTAACTCGTTCAAACTGTAAACCAGTCTCAGCCTGAGGCGAATGTGTCTGGTTGGTGAGGCTTGCTGTTTCTGGCCGTGTCAAACAATCTGTGTTCGTGAATCGCGATTCCGTTCCTTGGCTTGAAGAGAGATGCTTATGGTTAAACTTAGACCCAACTGTATCTGGGCCAAATCAGGAATTTAGACCAGAAAAGGCCCAAAGAGAACGCTACCTTATTGCAAATACATTTAGTACGGCAGTGATTTCGCTCAAAAAAGAAAACAAAATAGTACAGCAGTGGTACGTTGCCGCACAACTGTCCATTGAGAATGGAAATGGATACAGGAGAGACACAAAATGGATCTGGCTACAAGAGAGCCACGAAATGGACACTGGATACAGGAGTAATGACGACAACCGATAAACTATTCCACAAGTCCCTTAATACAAATTCAGTAATCAGCTGCCTAACTTGTACTGTTGTATATCTGACCTTCGACAAGCCATCCTCTACCAAATTTCGGTGCACAGTATCAGCATGTTAATATCACAATCACATCATGTATACTGTTAAGTAGTAGTATCATTTATAACTAGTCAAAATGCTAAATAACTATCCTAACCCAGTGTACTAATACCGAATACATTCTGTCAACATAAGACAAATCAGAAACTAAACCGATGGGTTACATATCGCTATTTTCCGATACATCTGGCGGATGCGGGTCAGGCCTCAGGCCTCGAAGAAACAAAAGCGGGGAACAATAGGGATAGGGATACACAGATGCAGTTCAATTGAACCAAGCAAAACGAAAATAGGCCGTGTCCCCAAAAGAGTGGAATCTGCTTGGGCAGTACATTCAGTCATCCTCCTATGCTAGAGCTAGACATATACTCCGTCCTTGCTACGGTTGAATGAAACCAAGAAAAGGTTGTGTAGGCTCTATGTTGACTACCACTGTAATTAGGCTATACAAAAAAGTCAAAAGATATGGGCAAAGAATGCAAACCCTCGTTATCTATTGCAGAGATCAGGGGTGCAGGTAGTTACAAGATGCACCCTTCCTGCAGTAGCCATTCTCATGAAATTTACATATCCCCCTCTGAGTTTGTCCCCTTGGGGTTGATCTCGACGATCCACCAGTGCCAAATCCATCAGACCTACTCCTAGAGTAGTTTGAGCTAAGAAGCCAAGATTCGCTTATTTGAGAGTACCTGTCACGGTGATGATTCCGCTGGCTGCCCCGATTAGCATTACCAGCATATGGATTCCAGTTCTTGGTGTTCCCTAACGCCTCCTCTGAAGTAGCAACATTCAAGTCAGTAATAAATCCGTGTTTTCTTGATGCTTCTCCAGAACTTCTACTCAAGGGTACCGCTGTTTCATGGTTGAGGGACAAGTTAGTATTATGGTTAGTGTTCCGTGCAGTACCCACATCTGAGCCATCATTTGCTGATGGTTGAGAATCTACTAATCCTGAGTTCTTGTCTATCATTGATACCGATGCATCATTTGTTTCTGGATTCACCTATTGTAGTGAGAACCCAATGTCAAATGGAATGTCATACACAAAGCAAATGTCAAAGGCTGACATGATGTTGGAATATCATTACCTGCTCAACCAATCCCCAATCTGTGCAAACACCTGAGTTTGGTAAACCCACCTCCTCCCCTGGCGTGCTACTTAGAACAACTCCATTATTTCCATGGGTGACAGTTGCTTCATCAATAAAATGAGCAGTGCTACCTGCTGGAGAGAGAATTTTACAATGCAAAATTAGTAGGTGTAAGCTAAACACCACAAACTGTTTAGGACTAATGGATGCATGCTAAACATCAACAGACTAACCAGATGAATACTGGAGAGCCGGTGCTTGTGAGGATAATGGCCAAATATTACCGATTGGATCATCGTCCTGGACACCCCATAAAGAAGAACCAACAGAATCTCCTTGATAGTAGCCATGTTCACCCCAAGGGGATAATGCAATGGGGCTAGAGCATGTGGATAAAGCAATGGGGCTAGAACATTGCGGTTCTTCCTTCGTTGAACCAGACAGAAAACCTTCTAAGGCTGTTGTACCATCCATGTAAAAAGTTCCACAACTTTGCTCCATCAAAGATTCCAAGAGATTTTCAGACATGTCTATGGACTCAACTCCAGAGGCAGGATTAACAACCATGTCATCTCTTATAACAACAGTTGATTCAACATACAGTTCTTCTTTAACCTTTGAATCTTCACATTCTAAATGCGCCTTTGCCATATCAAATACTGATTTCAAAGCATCATCCCCAGCCAGAGTAGATTTTGGAAAAATAAAAGCAAGTGAAGAGTTTTCACCTACATCAGTAGAAGCTGTTTTTTCAGGTGCTAATGATATTGATCCAGGGAGGTCCACAGCAAGCTCTTTACTCTCAGTTATCAGAATGGAACTAGGACACTCACGTTCAACATCTTGGTTATCAAGATAAGATTCAGAGAGAATCTTAGATTGCGGAGACACCTCTTTACTCTTAGATATCGGAGTTGGGCTAGGATCTTCACACTTAATATCTTGGTTATCAGAAGAAGATTCAGGGAGAATCTTAGACTGCAGAGATAGCTCTTTACTCTCGGGTATCGGAGTTGGACTGGAATATTCACATTTAATATCGTGGTTATCAGGAGAGGATTCAGGGAGAATCTTAGACTGCTGAGATAGCTCTTTACTCTCAGGTATTTGCGGTGGACTAGGGCATTCAGGTTCAATATCTTGGTTACCAGGAGATGATTCAGGGAGAATCTTAGACTGCCGAGATAGCTCTTTACTCTCGGGTATTTGAGGTGGACTAGGGCATTCAGGTTCAATATCTTGGTTATCAGGAGAAGATTCAGGGAGAGCCTTAGAATGCGGAGATAGCTCTATACTCTCCGGTATCGGAGGTGGACTAGGATATTCATGTCCATTATCTTGGTTATCAGGAGAAGATTCAAGGATAGTCCTTGACTGTGGGGATATCTCTTTACTCCCAGATATTGGAGGCGGGCTAGGATATTCACGTTCAGTATCTTGGTTATCAGGAGAAGATCCAGGGGTAGTCCTTGACTGTGGGGATAACTCTTTACTCTCAGATATTGGAGGTGGACTACGATATTCATGTTCAGCATCTTGGTTATCAGGAGAAGATTCAGGGAGAATCTTAGACTGTGGAGACTGATTAACTGACGTGTTTGATATATCAGCTTCAAGTGTTTTTTGTTGATTCATGTTCTCCTCCATCTTGCATGTATCAGAAGCAGACGCAGAAGGAGCTGACTGTGGACTGCAGATTGGTGCTCTTTCCGAGAGACTCAGCATACCAGAGGGTGAGCTTGAACCTCTGTCTTCAACAGGAGTTGCTGGAGCAAAGCTTTTAGCCTTTGCAGAAGCAATTGAAGAATGAAGTTCATCATGAGTGCATAGATTGGTTGTTGAACTCAAGCAAGAACCTTCATGTTGACTGGAAGCAGTCCTGGACTCAGATGGACTCCAGGCAAATACAGGGCTGGGAACATCTCTCGTGATCCGTTGACTAGGAAGTTTCTGCGCAATATCATACCTCGAATTCAGATCCTTCCCAGAACCTGCTTGTAAACTATTTTTAGGATCATGTTGAACCTGTGACCACGAAGGATAATGATCGTGATGAGATTCCACGTTACTGTGTGCACTAGAACTTGTCTGCGGCATGGATGGACTCCACAGTTCACTGTTGTGTTGATTGTTCCATTCACCAGAGCGTCCTCCCTGTACTTCATCATGGTGCAAGTCTGATCGTTGATGTGGACTTCCAGGAGATGGAAGAGAGCCTGAATGCTTGATCTGACACATTGCTTGACTATTTGAAGCGTTAGCGTCCTTTGGTGGAACTGAGTCAGTCGAGTGTGATAACCTGTCATCTAAAGAGTTCACGCTTTCCCTTTCTGGAGCAGAATGCTTAGTAGACTGAACAGTGGTTTCAAAAGAATTAAGCATACTATAACCAACAGGAGAAGGAGCTTTGTTGAGATCAACAATTTCAGTGTTTCTGTTTTGTCCAGTGTCTGCTACTGTCGACTTACTACTTGTAGTAACAGATGCAGGTTGACCAAAATCTTTTGGTTGCTTTGAGAGCACTTCAGTCAACAGCAATGATCTCTCTTCACTCTCAAATGTAAGCCATACTCTCATATCACGTGGGAAGTAACTTGTCCATTTGGATAGCTGCACAAGAGTAAATGGGCCCTGAACATTTCCAGAAGGATCCTTGTAGTGCCAGACTTTTTCTGGTTCCATGTCACTTGATACAACCCCATGAGATGAAGGTGACGTAGTTTCACACCTGGTACTCTTTACATTAGTGCCAGATTTTGGAATATCCATACCAACTGGTGAATGGGAATTCTCAAAGTTTCTTGCTGCTCCTGATTTACGCTCTGTATTTTGTTTAGACAGGTTTTTGAGATGGCGGGTAGCATCACCATTCTTTTGTGAACTGTTCGAATATTTAACTTTAACGGGTGAAACGAACGGATCTGATCTTGCCCAATTTACACTACGTTCAACTGCACATAGCAAATAACCAATGTTACCAAACGTTAAATGTGTTTAATGCTAAAAACTGCAATAAATATAAACTAGTGCAAGAAGTTACTATCCTACAGATGCCAGATGACTAACTGCAGCATAATATTCAAAATTTTAGAGCATTAACATCTCAAGGATAAAAGTACCAGCTTTCTTGTTGCCAAATTCATCATCAGATTCATAATCAGGATCCATATGCGAGTCAACATGCACGTCAAGAACTTCATTAATTCTGCGTGCTCTTTCCTCAGGAGTGTTGAGAAGCTGAAGCTTTTCCACACATTCTCTAAGCGTAAGATGCAGTTAAGGATAAAAAACAAGCAAACTCAAGCTGCTTGGCTCAAATAGTGTCCTAACATGGGCAGAACGAAGAGGTCTCTCTGCCTTCTCCATAACAAACAGAAAAACAACAAAATAAAAGGCCAGCCGGCCCAAGATTTTCGTAACAGATTATGAATGATCTGTGTATGTTAAAAGAGTTCCTCAACACTAAAAACTTTTTAAGAATCTTCAATTATATGGTTTGGACTCTTCGAAGAGAAACACCACGCCTAGCCAGCCAAAGAAAAAAACCCAGACGAAGTAAGAAATGCAAAAGTAGCAGATGATAATAAAGGTCAAAAAGGATATTCCTTTCTACGCCCAGTTTCACTTGCACGGTCACGAAGATGGCACAGCTTCTGCTTTTCGTTTTCAAACCACTGTAAGAATTTAAACAGTAGCAGATAAATATATCTTTTGAAGAAAACAAATATTAATGGAAAAGCTAGAAACATAATTTTCCTTTAGTAGGATTGTGCTCACATCATTCACTCTTACAAATTGGAAGATCTTGGCTTTCTCTTGGATATCACCCTGAATTAACAAGACAGAATATAACACAGATCAAACCTATACATATCTTGTTAACATGAAAATCAATTAGATCATTGGGTGTTTAATTTCATCTAGCAGTACCACTTTCAGTCGGCTAATTAGATCATACTTCATGCTCTGCCTTAGGCGCTTGCATTCCTCCTACACAAATAAATATGAACAATCCATTGAGCCAGAAGGAGATGACAAGGAAATCCAATGGTAGCTCAGCTAGATGCACATTTAGAACACACAAAACCAAATATTATACCCCACAGACCGAAAGAGAATTTCTGATATGCAAGAAACGATGAGGCACATATAACACAAATCCTTTTCTTCAAAGGCTGAGAGAGGGAAAGTCCCATATTTCCAATAATCTTAGCATTTGTAATAAATAAATCAATATGCGCCATCAAAATATATATGTTATTATTATAAAAAAAGTAGAAGTTAGCTTAATTATCTTCACTGCAAACAACACAAAATTGTAAAATAAGGAATGAAATTGCATATCAATTCATGTTCCAACATAGACACCAGAAGTGCTATATGACATTCATTGAGAGAAGAGAACAAAATAAAAGACTTGACCTCTGTAAAATCCTGATTTGATACTGTGTCCATCGTGATAATCTCCTTTTTGTTTAAGTTCATTATCTCAAGTGCAAAATTTGTCATCTTCTTCCCGATGCTGTATTTTTCTGAAACCTTATGTGTCCCTGCACAAAAAACTTATATTCAATTAAATGAATAACTGTATAGATAGATGTTAGAGGTTAAATATCTTACCGACAACTTTCACCAGACGATACATATCTTGCTTCTGACCAAGTCCCGAAATTCTTATCCTGACAAAAGCACCAGAAATTTTGTCTGACAATGTGGGATCATCAATAAGATCCTCCATCAAGCTACGGCGCAGGTAAATTAGGTTAATATTATGCATATCAATTGCTGCGTAATCTTCAGGATTAGCCTGTGGTTCTCTTTCCATCTTTCTATGCATCCTTCGTCTCCTATCAGGAGAGAACTTTGCTGCCATGTCATTATATCCACTGGCATGATCTATTTGAGCTGAATCAGGATTGATAATCCCTTGGCTACCATCATTTACTGCAGAAGGCTCACTTACAATAAAGTGCATCTCCAAAAGCTTCAACATCTCAAAATGAGCGACGCGTGTTTTCCTGAATAAACGGTGAAGCCTTGAGTCACAGATAATTTGACTCTTTCTTTGAGGGTCACGGAGGTTGTTCTGTTTTATATAGTCAAGCAAAAGAGCCTGAACATCAAACTGGGAAATAAAAGATTGATCGCCATCTCTCATGTGCCCTACAAACTCCAGTAGCTCTGGCGAAGCCCATTTGGTGTCTACCGGCAAGGACGCCTCTTCAGTTGGTACCTTGTTGGGCAGGGTTCCATCATCTCTAGTAACAGTCTCAACCTTTTTTGTGGCAATGCTACAATCAGAATTTGGTTTCCGACGTTTTCGACCCTTTTTTCTCGAAGAATTTCTCTTTCGCTTTCCTGAGGAGCAGTCAGAACCAGCATCATCGTCATTATTAGCATCATAAAGGTCATCAGATGACTCATCCTTTTCTTTCCTAGTGTAAGTAGTAGGTGCATTCCATCGAGCCTTGGCGCTAGTTAGTTCTTCCAATGTTAATGAAAGCTTCCCTTTCAGATCCACCCAATATAGCTTGAACAGGTATTCCCAACTATTTTGATCATCAAAATCAACAACAATCTGCAATGAACTCAACACACACATGAAAAGGCGTGAAACTTTTAGAATTTGAAGCGCAAAGCTATAAACTGTGAAAAAGCTGAGATGCAAGAACATGAAATCGAAGGAAACATATAGCAGAGCTTGAGCAAAGATGCAACTTGAACAGGACCTGATATCAAAATCACTTTCAAATAGTGCAACCGCACAAATCATGTAGTGTGCTAACATGTTGCTGTTGTTATTTTGTGTGTGTAATTATTTCCTCTTTTTTTAAGGGGAGGGGAGGAGGAGGGGGGTTACGATTAAAGGAGGCCGCGCAATATACATGCCGCATACAATTTCTTCCGAAGAAGGAATGACCAAAAACAGATGTTTTGAGAAAAAAAAAGCAGAATATTTTTGTGGTTGGTAATAGGCATACCTTTGTATCACCTTCATCTTTGGATTCTATCAACAGTATAGTTGAATAACAGGTATCGCAGAAGCCCTTGGTCCCCCTGACACTGAAAAATTTACCTTGCTTGATGCATACTTTGCAAAGGGAGTATGTACACGTATAGCACATGTAGTGCACTGCCTTTTCACAGCTGCTGCATATGTGCCAACCTGGCGCAAAATGTCAGAAGTGCAATTTTAGTATGTTTTCGTCAATTGCGGAGTCTATAATTTTCCCTATGCGAAATTGTAGATACTACCAAAACTTTACTGCAAAACTATGGAAGCCATTAAAAGAACCATCATGAGCAAAAGTTTGGAAATAATAATAAGATCATTTTTCCCCTTTTGCTCTCGGATTTGGATTTATGTGAAATATCAGTCCATGATTTCTCGGATGAGGAAGAACCTTGTTCATTCAATCATGAAAAGGTAGTGTTTCTTCTAGCATCCCACAATAAGACAGCAACAGCAGTGTAGCATGCAAAGCTAGCTAGAGCAGTTCTCAAGGCGCGCATCTGACAGCTCTAATCGATTCTAACACTGATTGGGCGGCGAATCATCTCCCCCAAGCTACACGGCAAACACGCGTGCGAGTTATCTATTATTATCCACCTTCATTTTTCCATCTGGTGCCTTTGGCTATTATTGGTAACAACGAGCCAATAAATATGTTAGCACATTTATGCTCAGCTTGCTAGTTAGCAGTGAGCAGCAGGAGAGCAAAACAATGGCGAGCAGGATGAGCTCACCGCAATTCCACTTGCTGCGAGATTGGAAGAATGCCTCATCGCGCTTGATGCAGGCCGGATGGTAGACCTTAGGGCATCCCCTACATGGAGGCAAAAACACAGGCGCGCGTCTCAGTTGAATTTTTCCGAGGTATCCAAAAAAACGCAAGCAGCAATCCACCCACCCAACCCACCCACCCACCTCCGATCGCACACGACGAGGTTGCCCCCGTCGAAGCAGATGAAGCAGACGACCTCCTCCTCGTCCTCCCTCCTCCTCGCAGGCCTCGCCGCGGGAACAACCGCCGTCGCCGCCGCCGCCCCGTCCCTCTTCTTCGGCGGCCTCCCTCTCCTCCTCTTGACCCCGACCACCGCGAGCGCCTCGGCCGTGGCCTGCGGCGGCTGGGCGGGCAAGCCGATGATCGATCCGAGGAACTGCGAGTCATCCATCCCCACCGCGGCCCGCGCGGGCGGCGGCTCCCCCTCCGATGCGGCGGAGGGCGGGGGCGGCGGTGGGAGCCGCAGCTCGGGAGGCCAGTCCGCCTCACCTGGGGATAGCATCTCCCCGCCGCCGGCGGCGGCGGCTGCTCCCTCCATGGATCGGCGATGGGTTCAGCGGCGGTCGTCGCGGAGGCGGTCCAATCCGGCGGTCGGTCGCCACCTCCTCCTCCTCCTCCTCCCCCCCTTCCTATGGGCCGCGTCAAGCGTGTGAGAGGGGAACAAGAGAGAGAGCGACGGGGGAGAGGAGGAGGAGACCAGAAGAGAGAGAGAGAGTGGAATACTACTACTAGTCTAGTGGGAATCACATAAAATACAATAAATGAATACTAGTAGTAGTAATTCCGGGTTTTGCGAGGGGGTTTTGGGGAAAAAGGAAGGCAGCCACGCCTGCCTCTCCTCTGCAGGAGGTGCAGGTCGCACACGCAAGGGGAGGTGACAACACATGCGGCGGTCAGGTCAGGTTAGTCAGTGGCTGCTCCTGTACTCGTAGTACTTGATGGGGAGGGGGGGGGGGTAATTTGGCGGTTTGGCCCCTGCACTTGTGTTGTCTTGTGTTGTGTTGTGTTGGTGCGGTTGGAGAGGTGGACTGGGACGGCGTTGGCTGGTTGGTTAGGTGCGCTTCATAAAGACGCACGCACGCTCCAACGCTACGCTGCGGGGCGGCGCTTTTGCGCTTGTGTTTGCGTACTACTGGGCCGCAACGAAACGCGAGCCCACACTGTTCCCTCTCCCTCGTATTCATATATGCGCCTTTTGACCCACCCAAGCGGCTTTGGCTTGGAAACACAGAGCACTACACAAGATGAGATGCTTGAGGGCATCCACAATGGTTATCTATAGGCTCTCTATAAGAGATCCATGTCAGCATATTTTCCTATTTAGAAGAGATTAAATGAAGAGAGAAAGCAAAGCTATCTACTAACCTGAAGATAGTCTATAGAGAAAAACGAGACAATGGATTAGAGAGCTATAGATACCCATGTAGACATACCATTGAAGTGATTTACTATTAATCTAGTCTATTGCTGAGATGTATATGTTTTGTAGATGGCACGTTACTTTATCATTGCGGATGCTCTGATGCCCATATTCTGCCTGGGTTTCACGTGTGGTTTCGAGGGAGCGAGGCCAGCCAGAACTCTTCTTTCCGGCGCTGGCTGTCCCTTCGTTTTCAGTTTAACGCGCGTGCGACAAGCACAATACGTACTCCGTTTCATTTGTTCCATTTGAAGCGTAGTTGTATGTTTCTAAGTCTAACATTTGATCATCCGTTTCATAATGTAAAACTTTACAGCACTGTCTATATTCATATCAAATTTATATAAATGCGGACAGTGCTATAAAGTATTACATAATAAAATGGAGGAAATAATAACAATAAAAATATTAATCATATTTTTTTAAAATAAAACGAATGGTCAAACACTGGATATAAATAGTGCAAAACCACGGTCTCTCTGTACCTCCGTCCTACCCCCTCCCTCCGTCAAAAAAACAAAGTAGTAGAATGCAAAAAATTTTAGACAGATAAGATACATCATAGTATTACGAATTTTTCATGTCTAGATTCGTAGTAGCAGGATATTTCGTATCCATCGAAAATCTCTTATATTTTTATAAGGCAGGAATAGTAGGCTGCTACAGTTGATAGATTTTATTTTTTGCGCCGTCGTATCGGATGGAAGTGAGAATCACTGCTCATCCCTCTCAAAGCTGTCCTTATCTGACGGTGGCCTCACGTACGTACACTCGTACAGTACGTAGCATGTATTGTGAGCATGACGTATAGGTAGAGGTGCGTCGGCTTTGCGGGGTGTGGCTACGCCAACGCACGCAGCAGCAGCAGGAAGCCAAGTAGTACATGGGTCGCGTCAAGATCGTGCGTCGCCACGTAAGACGCGGCACGTTGAGCACGACATAAAACCCACATGTTCCGTTCCCACCACGCGAGCGAGAGTGATATTACGATACGATTGGAGTGTTTTCTCTCCTTTTTCTTTCTCCCCGTACGTCGTCGTGTGACTAACTCACCCTTACCGCTTCGCTTTGATTCAGCACGCTATGCCTCGGAACGGAGAAAGCGTGAACACTGACATAGGCCCTGTTATTTTCTCCAACGAAAAATGAATAAACTTTTGATAAAAATGACACATTTTTCAAATTGTTAAACGGTGTATTTCGTACGAAAATATTCTAAATATGAGATTAATTCATTTTTTAAGTTTGTAATAATTAAAACTCAATTAATCACACGTTATTATTGTCTCGTTTTACGTGAAACACTTAAACACTTAATCTTTATCTTTATTTTTAGGAGATCCAAACAACACCATAGTATAGCGTTGCAATCTTTGAGACAGACTGTTCATGGGATTCTTGTTGTGATTATTTACATTTTGTTATAAAGGTAAATTAAATATTTTAAGAAAAAAACCTAACAAATATATTTAACACATGCTGTGTAAGCAATACCACAGTACAAGAAAAATAGTAGTAGTTTTCAAAGAAAGTACTATTTTTTTACCCCCTCCGTCCCAAAATAAGTGCAGTTTTACACTGTTCATATCTAATGTTTGACCATTCGTCTTATTTGAAATTTTTTTACGATTAATATTTTTATTGTTACTAGATGATAAAACATGAATAGTACTTTATGTGTGACTAACTTTTTTTAATTTTCTCATAAATTTTTCAAATAAGACGGACGGTTAAATGTTGAACACAGATTTCCACGGCTGCACTTATTTTGGGCGGAGGTAGTAGATTGGAGGCGTTGAATAATCTGATGGACTGACCAAAAAGAACAAGAGTGCATGTCTATTCCGCCGCCTTGTGGTCAGTAATTCACAGTATGTCAGGACACAACTTACAGTGACGCACTGTGATTTTCAGGGAGTACGAGAGCTGCCTTAGCGGTACACATCTCCCCTTCTACAATCTCGACTCTGTAACTAAGAGCAGGCTAGCAGGGTATAAGCTGGCTGCAAACATATTTTAAGAAGATAAATGATGAGAGAGAAAAATAACGGGTTATAATCTGATGGACTGACCAAAAAGAACAAGAGTGCATGTCTATTCCGCCGCCTTGTGGTCAGTAATTCACAGTATGTCAGGACACAACTTACAGTGACGCACTGTGATTTTCAGGGAGTACGAGAGCTGCCTTAGCGGTACACATTTCCCCTTCTACAATCTCGACTCTGTAACTAAGAGCAGGCTAGCAGGGTATAAGCTGGCTGCAAACATATTTTAAGAAGATAAATGATGAGAGAGAAAAATAGCGGGTTATAGATTTATAGCTAGCTGTAGCATGGACTCCAAGACGCAGTGTGTATAACACGTGGGACCAGACATTAATAGTGTAATATGTAACTATTATATAAATGAGCTATTAGATTAGCTATAGATGAATTAGAGCTAATAGTTCGCTAATACTATTAAACTTGCTCTAATACATGCCGACCAGGGACAGGCGGACAGCTCGCATTTGACCATTCCACGCAGCCCTGCTGCCTTCTCGGATCGCTATTAGAATCTTTAAGAGCGTACGAACGCAATCCGGGATTACAAATGAAGCCTAGCCCAACCACACATCGCACGATTAGGAACAAAAGGAAGAGAGAAACAACACGTAACAACGTGCAAAAAATCATTACAATGATGAACTAATTAACCAATCAATCAATCAAGCCACCCAAGACGACAACGGATGGAGAATGCTGCCCGGTCACACGATATTCCATGCGATTAACAAAAACCTATATGAATTTCTTTTGCCTATTCCAACATTATTGGTACAGTAGTACAAATCGTAGTAATGCAATGCGCATACATGGCAACTTTACAATCGGTTTGGTGGAAAAACCTAGCAACTTATATAAACACACAAAAACTACTCAATGTTCACCACCACACCTAGGGCAACGCGGGTATACAAGATGGCAGGGTGGTGGAAATGACGGAGCAAAACGAACCTTACACACTATGGCGATGAAGGGGCCTTACAAGGGCCCAAAAAATCTAGTGCTTTCCCGGAGAAGAATCTGAGCTGAGGGGACTACTCCGCCAGCCCTCTCTTCATTGACCTTCATCCACACGTCGTCTTGGCAGCAGCAAGATGCTTGTGGTGATGTTAGATCCTCACATTAAACAACTGTCATGTACACCAAGATGCTATTTGTTTCAACTTTTTATAGCAACCCAGCTAGCATTGCACCAGGGTCATTGTATGTGGCAGGTACTGCCGCCGGAGGCAACTGTGGCTGCACCGGAACGGGAGGTGAGGCTGTTTGTACCCTTGGGATATCAATTAAATGTTCCTTGATGTACTCTTTCAACCTGTTTGGTAAAATCCCGAGATCAACTTTGGTTTTCCTAATAGCCATTAACCACAAGATACAATAAATATAATGGAACGATATTTACTCGAATGTCAAATACTGATCTCCTGATGCCACTGTGAGCCGGAGTTGCGTTCTATCTTGTGGATCAGTTTCGATTCTGACCTGCAAATGGTCAAATGAAGTTGGCAAATGCTGTCAGGCCAATTCTTACATGATCAGAATTCAGAAACCTACAGTACATCTAAAAGGAATACCATAATTTATGAAAAGATCACACATACAACAGAAATATGCAATGATATATGACACAAGTACTGAATTGGAAATAGATAAGCAAGATATTTCACATTTAGAGATTGATTGGTTGTTCTAGAGTTTTGCTACACTAAGTGCTCTCCAAAGAGCAACTCTTCTCGAAATCTCAAAACAAAAGGTGCTGAGTTGGAATCCCATTCTAAGGATTCTTGTGGTTCCGGGGAATCCAGCTACAGGAGAATAAGGAACTGGGAGCTCTCCCCTTTTTCCGCCCGATTCTTTGATCTTAAACTTAAGAATGCTGGTTTTAAGAACGAGTGATTGTAGATGGTATGACCAGTTGAAACTGTTGGCAAGGAGGAACAGGTGTTCTGGTAAGGAATGCCCTAACTGGACTTTGCAACATTCCATTTATCTTAACGCTACTGCTTGTTATATCCATCATGCTAGAGACAATACAAGCAGAGATACACTGAATCATGAGTAACACGAAAACACTAGGAAAACCACTGAGTACTGATTTATTTACTTTTTAGTGAAATGAAGACATGTTGCTGGGGCCCACTATCCAACCAAAGAAATAATATTCTCATGGCTGCCATTTGGCAGGTGCAAATGACCTTTCAGAAAAAAAAACAATGGTTCGGGTGTGCTACTTTGTGTAAAGAA